CCTTTGCCAATGTGCGCCCTGAGACTGGGGAAGTCTACATGACTGATAGCTACGCTGATTTCGAGAAACACTATCCGGGTGACTCATGGTCTGACCCTGGCAACAATGTCTACGGTTGCATCAAACAGATGTATCTCTTGAAGAAGAAAAACCGCAACCTGAAGGTCATCCTCTCCATTGGCGGGTGGACCTACTCCCCGAACTTCGCAAAGGCCGCGAGCACAGACGCTGGACGAAAGTTGTTTGCCGACTCGTCCGTCAAGTTGCTGTCCGACTTGGGCTTTGACGGAATTGATGTTGATTGGGAGGTCCGCTTGTCCCACCAGCCCTCCAATATTGCGTACGATCACTGATTTCGTTGCGATTGTTTTAGTACCCGGAGAACGATCAAGAAGCCAACGACTATGTTCTCCTTTTGAAGCAGATCAGAACTGTTCGTCTCCTTCCCAATTGTGCCTCATAGAGTTCTAAACTAATGCCGAGCTAGGCACTAGATGACTACAGTCGAAAGAGTGCAAATGGCAAGCATTTCCTCCTCACGATCGCAACATCGGCAGGTAAGCTAATCATCAGGCCCCTCTGAGCACCTCAGCGTTCTATCTAACATAACTATCTCTGCCAGGCCCGGATAAAATCAACAAACTGCACATTAAGGATATGGACGCCCAGCTGGATTTCTGGAATCTGATGGCTTATGACTATGCCGGAAGCTTTTCCAATTTGACTGGGCACCAAGCCAACGCATACCCTGATAATTCAAATCTGGATAGCACTCCGTTCAGCACCCAAGCGGCACTTGATCTGTATCTAAAAGGAGGTGTAGCAGCGAACAAGATTGTTCTCGGCATGCCTCTGTATGGCCGGTCATTCGCTAGTACAGATGGTCTAGGTAAGCCATTCACGGCAGATGGCGAGGGTACCTGGGAGAAAGGGGTGTGGGACTACAAAGCCTTACCAAAGCCGGGATCCGAGGTGCATGAGATGGATAATATCCTTGCCAGTTACAGCTACGACAGCCAGCAGAAACGGTTGATCAGTTATGACACCCCCAAGATCGTTCAGTTGAAGGCTGGATATATCAAGAAACTGGGTCTGGGCGGCTCTATGTGGTGGGAAACCAGCTCTGACAAAGGAGGCAGCGACAGTCTGATTAGTACGGTAAGTTTCTCCTTCCTTAATATGGGCTATGTTGAAGTTGTCTGACTGTATGAGCAGGCAGTCAATGCACTCGGAGGCACAGGGGCCTTTGAGAAGGTTGAGAATCAATTGGATTACCCAGCCTCGCAGTATGACAACTTGAAGAACGGAATGAAATAGGCTGGGCAATCTCGGGACACGTACGATGTATCTTGAACTGTGGTCCGATGTTTGATTTAACTCGAATCTTGTGCTTGTGATCTGGCAACGTTATAGTTCATCTACTGGTATTCTTACTGGTCACTGAATTTTACTGTTTATGGCTGCGATTAAATTTCTTATCCCTTGTGTCTTGTATTGGTTCTACTGTAGTCGTCTTACCCGATTGCATCTGTGAGGATATGAGAATTCGTACTAAGGTTTCTCTTGGAGTGTAATCTACTCCGATCATCCATCCAGTATACACCATTGTAACATTGGCATTTGATAAGAGGGGAACATGTCAACAAACTTGTCTTACGGTCAATCGAGCTAGTAGGTCATGACCTGACTCGGTCCTCTTCCATGTTGTTTGCTAATTATAAAAGATCATGGTACGTATATACACAGCGCATCGAAATGGCAAACAGCATCTCACTTCAGGAATCGTCTCGTACCTCTCTATTTGTAGTATTCAGCAACCCATGACTTGATCTGAGCTACTGCATTGTCAACTACTTGCTTCACCCCTGCGTTTGCATAGTAATCCTTGAGATACAAGTCCGAGCAGTGAAATCCACCAGGAATAACCTGCACTGGCTCTTCAGGTGTGCTCGTTAGTGGGCCACCAGGGCGATGGGTCGATGAAACACCCGAATCGCGCCAAGGATCATATTGCCTGGGAACATGTTAATAAAGTGTTTCCTCAATCCCTCGTTGTGTCGCAAGCTCAGGCTATCCTTACCCATTCACCCAGAGCAAACGACTGGTGTTCCTGTTTTCAGACCACCCTCCTGTCCAACTATTGACAGTCGCAGCAGTCTTTCCTTTTGCACTGCCATACGTGTAACCATTCACTTCGGGGAAGTATAGTGAGCACTGGCGCTGCCAGTACGCTGCATTCACAGTCCGGGGAACAATTGTTGGGACACCGTCCGGGGCACCGCTTGAGACTAAATTTTAGATTATGCTTGGTATACAGGTAAGTGAAACTTACTCTTGCCACCAGAAGAAAGGTTCATTGCAGAGAAACCATTGCCACTGTCGATCGACCGCATTATTGACAGAGGTATCCGTAAATATGGCACTAGATGGATTATGCGTATCGAAGCAGGCCACAGTCCGGTTATCCTTCCAGTATCCGTAGTTGGCGCAATCTAGAGACACAGTCAGATTCATCGATATAAAGCTCAATGCAGGGTACCTACAGCCGGGAAGAATAGTCGATTTGAACCAATTCGCGTACCCTGTAAGAGCCTTCTGCAAGCCAACGCCTTCTGTCCCTGGAACAACAGCTGCGCCGGCTTTGACATTCTGTACCAAATGAGTCAGCCCCATGTATCAAAGAAAACCACAAATGTGGTAGAACTATACCTCAATAGCGTCGCAAAAAGCAAAGAACCCAGAGTATCCAGTCACGAAGGTGTTGTCCTGCCAGAGGTAGGGCCCTATCGGAAGGGCACTGTAGAGGTTAGGTCTGCCTCCGACGTTGCGGATTCCTTGCACTTACGCCGCAAAATCATCATAGTGCTCGAGAGCTCCCAGACCGAAGAGCTCTTTTAGAGCCGATTGTGCTGCGGCGGATCCATTCTTCCCAACACTATCAATGTGATTGGCCACCAACGAGACATCTCTGCTACAGTTCGGTGCCATGCCATGACGGATAGGATCGAAATATTGCCACTACGACATCTGTGAGCCATCAAACCAACATCTATGATGAGCTTGTGGCACTCACGAAATCGTCAATTGCTTCAACAGGAGCGCTTGTGGCATGATAGGCCCAGAACGTCTCCGGGGCGACGGCAGCGGTCCAGGCTGCCAAAGCACCACTGTATGACCCACCAACCAGCACCCATGGCTAGTAATTCATATATCAGAAACATGGCTCTTCTTGTTTGGTGATATCGTCTGGATGAGGACTCTATCTTACAGCTCTCGGCGCATTGCTGCTATTGGATGTGTCAAATTTCAACTGAACGGTTTCGGCGAAATAGGTTAAGTCCAGAATGGACTGCTCCAGCGTAAGATACTGCAGCGTCTCGGCTGTGAGTTGCTCATAAGGCGAGGATTCACCCCAGTAACGGTCTAGATCATCTTTAGACCAATGTTCTACTCTTCCCCAGGGAAATGACCCGCTCACGCTCAATCAGAATCACAGCGCCCTGAATTTCCTGCGCATAGAGACCAGTCAATGTGGTATTGGTGAGGTAGCCCTGATATCCATCGGCAGACGATTCGCCAGGAGTGAATAATACAACCTACGGTGTCCAGTCAGTGACCATGGTGCTTCCACGCGAGGTATCGCTGCAAGGCAAATACCATACCGGTGAGCCGGGTCCACCCCAGTACTCCGTACTCCACCAGTAACGCTGCGAGAAGGTCCCCTTTGAGGAGTCATGATGATCTAAGAGTTGCTCGAAGGTTGCCTCTCCTTCAACTACCGAGGATCGCGTCGAGACTGGTCGAGAGACCGGCGGAGGAACCGGCCTGGGCGGATGAATCGCGCGGCTGAGCGAGGGCCACGAGGCAAAGAGCGTGACAACGCCGAGAGGTGAGACGAAACGCATTGTGTCGAGCCCTCTGGTCACAGTGGGACTGATTCAGGAGAAGGGATACGGTTACACCCTCAGTGCAACGAGACATTGAGCGTGGCTACATGCAATGGCACGAGCCGGGGGAGGAAGGAAATTAAAGAGCATCCATAGCTTTCCGGTGCCACCGTATACAAGGACCAGCCATCGTATCATTCAGATTCTGGTAGTATGCGCGAACTTTCAAATCTCCGTCGGAGAGCGTCGGACCAGCGCCAGCCATGCAGCAGGCACATAATCTCAACTGTGATAGTGTTGAGCGGACTTGCAGTAGCGGGGACCCGGCTAAGACTAGCAGAGGCAGGTAATTTATCTAAGCGAATTAATTGGAGCTCTCAGCATGAGATTCGGCTTATCGCGAGCTAGCCAGCATCAAGTGCCGGAGTGTTTTGGGTCTACTTTCACTAGGTTCATTTTGACGGACAGTCGTATGCTTCCAAGGGAAAGCCCCTTCGATTCGTAAACAACGTCCAAAGGAACCTTTTCATCATTTTAGTGACTACGCGTCGTGGACCTTCGTGCGATAACCCATTCTGATGGCCATACCGAGATTGAGACAGTATCAGTCGCTTTCAGCGGGAGACGTCAGTGTTGCGCATAGCAGAAGATACAACGTCTTAGATCAGTTCTAGTATTATTACTGGGCTTTCCCATGAGAAAGATCTCCAATGTTCCGTAATTGTTATGTTGAATCATCAGTGTGAACTTGAGGAGATTCTGTCAAGATCAATCCCCAGATATCAAAAATATATATCCTCGCCGTCAGACTAGTACAAGACTGTTGGGATATACGATGATGTGTATTAATACAAGAATTGAACGCCCTTGTGAATGCTCTAGTAAGGCTCCATACAGAATCCCCGTCCACTCCTCTCATTCCTTCATAGATCATGATTATTTGTCTCTTCCCTCTTCTCTCCGTCGAATGTCCAAATGGCAAAATGTCTAAAACTCCCCAAGACTTCACCGCGTTAGACCTGTTCAGGGAAAGAGCACTAAGCTGATTTCGGGTATCGGCAGAAAAAGTGACCGCCCCAGGATATTTCGGTTGAACTGAACCTGAACGGACACTCATCCTATCAACTGCTGAATCTTGTCACACAGGTCTTGCATCTTGTATGGCTTATGAATAATGTCGTCCATGCCTGCTGCCTTCATCTCCGCTTGCTGCTCGGCCCGGACATTTGCGGTGACGCCTAGAACCGGGACATGCGCCATCCCATGTTTCTCGAGATCGCGAACGGCTCGCGTCGCTGAATTTCCGTCCATCACTGGCATCGCCTGATCCATTAGAATGCAGTCGAATGTACTTTGCTGGACCATAGCCAGAGCCTCGCGCCCATTACTGGCCGCGGTCACTCGAAACCCCATGGACTCGAGCTTGCGTGCCACAATACGCTGGTTGATTACGTTGTCCTCTACCACCAGAACCCGTCGTTCTTTGGTCGCGTCCGGTGGAGACCGTGGTGATTGGGATGGTTGCTGCTTGGGATACTGAGATTGGTCGGTGGACTGGGCAAGACTGGGACTGTGACGCATCACCTCCGTGTTTCCTGCCTCGTAGGCGATTCGGGCGGTATGTTGCCAGGCCTCGTCTTTGGACGCGCTGGGGGAGATCTCCTTCACATGCGTGATCTCAGGACTGGTAGGAATGGCCGGATTGGTGATCTCGTTTGTCCCTTCCGTTACCTCATGGCTGAGCGCTTGGACATCCCGGCACAACTCGGCGATGGCCCCCGGCTCTTGTCGAGGTGGCTTGCTCTTGGCGCTCTCGACACTTCGACGAACGGTGAAGAAGAAGCCGAATGTACTTCCGTGACCCTCCTTCGAGCTCACGCCGATTTCGCCCCCGTGTATATGGCAGAGCCTCCGACTGACGTTGAGGCCAAGCCCTGACCCACCGTAGATCGACTCGGTTCTCGGGGTGGCTTGATTAAATCGTTCAAACAGCCGCTTCTGTGCTTCCTCGGTGATTCCAATGCCCGTGTCCTTCACCGCGACCATGATATAGGCCATGCCACCCTCCCCCCACTCGGGCCGGTTCGTCGCATTGCGTCGCAGAGCCGACTCATCGGAGCTGAAGAAGACTACGTTGGGTGGGTAGGACGTCGGGCGCACCTTGGAGGCACCCATAAACACCGATATCTTCTTCTCGTTGCCCGCCTTGGCCGTGAACTTGATCGCATTGCAGACAAGATTCACGAGAACTTGACTCATGCGGTCGAGATCGGCGATAATCCAGTCCACTTCACAGTCGGCGTAGGAGTGGTCCAGCTTGTATTCGAAGTCGATGTCATGCTTTCGTAGCTCTGGTCGAAACATGCTCAACGACATGGCCAGATGCTGTCGTGGCTGCACGCGCCGCGGCAATAAGGTGAACATTTCTGCGTCTAACTTCGAGAACGTCAGCACGTCGTCAACGATCTTCTTCTGATGCGCAACACAAAGACTGATCGTTTCCGCCGCTTGGGCGATGTCCTTGACCCAGATGTCCTGTTGGTCCTTCTGCTGCACGGCTTCCAAAATATCTTCGGTGCAATGTAGAATGGCGGAAAGGGGATTCCGGACCTCGTGGCTGATCATATCGATAAAGCGTTCCTGTTGTTCCTTCCGCCGTTGCGCCTCCTCGGCGATTTTCTTTTGTGAAATCTCCGCCCGCTTTTCTTCAGTGATGTCGGTGATTGTGCAGTAGGAGCCTCCCTCGGTACCGAGGGGGAGTCCGCGCAGTTCTTCCTCGCCGAATGGCGTTAGCATGAGGAGGCGCCATTGGCATGGCTCGTCGCCCGTACGGTATTCGGTGCGCAGCGCTTTGTTGGCCTTCAGCGCGCTGTCATATGCCGTTGCCACCCGCTCGTAGTCGCCCCGGGCAATCGATTGTGACCAACCGTCGAATGCCCTGCGCGATCGGCAGGTCATCAGTTCTCGGAAACGGCGGTTCGAGAATAGAATCTCATCTCGCACATTGAGGACAGCAGTTCCGATCGGCGAGATATCTGCCAGCTGCTGAGCTGACAGATTGCCGGGGGACGGAGCCGCCATAAATCGAGGGCCTGAATGGTATGCCGCCCCCAATCCGGGATGCTCGACGGCCGCGTCGTACTTTACCGTAGGAAGGAATCAAGGTAGGACTTCGTTTTGACCGAATCTGTAGGTCTCTTTTCGGCGTTTAACTCCGCTGGAAATGATTGACAGCGTAGTTGACTTTCAAGGTTGTTGGTAGATATCGGTACTCCACACAAAAAGCTGCAATGGCGGCGAGTAACAATTCCTCTGGCTATAACTGTATCCCGCTAAGTTTCGCCCTCGAGAAGCCGTTCGGACCTTCGTTCAAGGACAACAGGGTTGTCTGGGTCGCGTTGGTTGATGGCTTCAGGGCTTGCATCGGAAACCCTCATCGGCAGTCAGGTCGTGACGTCACCCCAGCCAACTCGTGTCGTTGGCCACCCCGACATTCGGCTGATGTGAAACTGTACCTGGCCGTGTGTCGTGGTTACCCTGGATATAATTTTCTCTAGCGGCTGTCCTTACCCGTCTATAGAACTCATCGCAGATGGTCAAGGATCTCTACCCCCCCGGTGATTTATTTGTGATACTAGTCATCTATTAAAAAGGACGAACAAGAGCAATGTGACACCGAGAAGACTACTGGGAACACTAGGCAATAGGGTCAAGAATCGAATGTGATTTACGGACAGCTGTGCAATCGCTCCTACAGGGCCTGACTTGGTCAAGTACTTGGTTATAATGAAACCTGGGGATGAGTCTGTCGCTCTCTTTTCGAATTTGGCTGTTTCGTCGAGTCAAGAGTATGTCATGGCCATAGCTGGTCCCTTTGCCAAACACCATTTTCTGTCTCTGGCACATAGCGTAGCCTATAATGAAGGCGATCATTCGACCCTTGCCAAAATTCCACCGCCATCGGCGCCACGGCATATACTCTCCACTTCTGAGAGCCGTCCTCTTGCCCAGTGGATGCGGCACGTTCTACTTCCGCAATGCGACGGGTGAGCTCCTCGCGGTCCTGGAGGACCTGACTTTGCTTCGAGGCCATGGCGCTCACCCTCGATTTAAACGGACGCTCGGCGAAGTCCTCCCTGCACTCAGCTTCTGGCAGCTGTCGGGCTGTTCCGCGCAATCGGATTTGCCGACCAACCTGGGGCCAGTAGAATGTCAGGGCGGCATATCCATTGGTCTCCAGCTGCTGAGCTTTCGGGCTATCTGCCTTGACGGCGAAGTGCCAGCCACGATCATCGACATTCTTCAGGATGAGGACTCGAGCGTCTGGGTAGCCTTGTTCGTCAACCGTGGCCAGCGTCATGGCATGGGGCTCTTTGACGCCGGCCATGATCGCCTCGTCCAACCAGTTTTTGAAAGCATCGTGAGGGGTGTCAGGGAAGTGGTCAAAGTTCACTTCAGCGAATGGACCTTCAAGGACCGGAAGGTGGCGGAGTTGCGTTCGGATGTTGTTCTGGTCCGCCATATCCTTTGGGAGTGATATCTTGGTTTTGCTCGTAGTCAAGGGCTGGCCGAGGAGTCCCGGACAGGATTGAGGGTCTTCTTAACGGGATCCTCGACTGGACAGCGAATTTAACTGGATACGAACGGGTGCTTTCGCTTCATAGGTGTAACATGCTGGGTGTTCAATTCAGCTCTCGTCCCGGATAGCAACATAAATAAATGTCGGAGACTGCACGTCGACAGATGAGTCATATCCTGCAGGCATGTCGAACAAATAAAGCGAGAGATTATGTATAATATTTGACTGATTTAGGCAAAACTAGCCTTACTTGGCCACCGATTGAGCTGTCTATACGATGGCGGTCTTGGCAACCTCGGATGTTGAATCGAACAACAGCTGTGGCTTTACTTCCAAGGGAATATCATTCCGATCCGTCCATCTGGTAACAGTCGACTTTCCGGCATTCGTTCGGAATTATCTTTCTCCACACCATGGCGCAGCCAGCTTCCTCGAGTTCATTATTCCGGAGTATATACGAGGAGTCCGCTGTGACAGACATGCGGGGGTGGGGATACCGCAGCCCGTTCCACGGTTCTTGAGGTGAAGCTTTAAGTGTCGCGGTCATAGCTGCATCATCACCTCACTTAAATAGCTTATGCTATCCCCAACCCACCTGCCATGAAGCAGGAGAGCTTTGTATCGGTGATCAACAAACATATTACTCACTATCTTAATTCTATTGAACAGCATTGTGTGCTCTACTAAGTCGACATGCCTGCGGACGCTTTCGGCCAGTATGTCGATATCCAGATCGAAGATGGCACGAAATATGATCTGCGCATCGAAAACGCCCACCTTGACAGGTACGTACGCAGTGCTTCGGTGCTGCCTCTGCTGTTGTTGACATTGGTTCAGCGGGCAATTCTATCGGCAAGGGGACCAGAGCGATATCATGACAGCCGACGATGTGGATGATATGATCATCCGTCACAATGGCGGCATCAGAGACATCTGTTCATGTGGTGAAACCGACTCTATGTCGGGAACCCAAGGAACATTCGATCTCATGGACGATGTGAAGGACGCCCGCATCTGCACGCTGGCATGGAGCGCTCCCATGCAGACGGGAAGACGGAATATGTTCAAGATGCTCAACCATAATTCGAAATATAAAGTTGATATTGGAGATTGGCAAGAGTCCGGTACCATGGGAACCGTCACTGTTGCCATCAAAGATGAGTGATTTTTGATACTCGGACGAGCCCAGTCACTTTTTTATTTGATCCCCCCCCCAGAAAAGAGGAAGAAAAAGAAGAAACTTGGAAATACTTAGTTGTCAGTAATCACGGACTGAAAAATGTTCAAAAACCTTAATGCTCTAGTGTCAATTTCATGGAAGGCTTAATATCACTGCCATTGGTATCATTTATACTCCCACGAGAGCGTGCATAGTCTATAATGCTTGTTGTTCTATCTTTTGATAATATAAACCGCGACACCACAACCAACATGCACCAGGTCAAACAAAGTCTCCCAACTCATGCGAAACCAAGTGCGCCTCACCCAGAACCCCCTTGATCACCAGTACTAATTCATCGATGGTGCCGAGGAATTTAAGATACGCGCTCATGGCCACGCAGAAGCGGCGGTAATGCTCATCCCGCACTGTATCTGGAGAGAAGTCAATCTCTGTCGGGTGGGACTGCCAGTAGTCGAAGGCCCGTCGGACGAGTGGCGTGGGTAGAATCTCAGGCAATGCATCGCCTGTCTTCAGCGCCTGTTCACACATCCCCAGGACAGCCATGATCTCGCCAATGCATTGGTGGTCCAGTAGGGCGGTTTGTTGCGTGAGTCGATGTTGAAACTCGCTCGGAAGGTTGCCAGACAACACCAACAGCTGTCCCAGATTACGGTTCATGGCATGGCAGAGCAGCTTCACGCGGCCCAGACTCTCACTGTCGAAGCGGGAGCTCGAGAAGTCGAACCGTAGCATCTCGATAGGGCCGTCGAGCATGACCAGCCCTTCACTCAACTGTAGGGTGATTGACTCGGCGATTACACGCCCATCGTGACGGGAGCGGCCCCAGCACGATAAGAGCAAGGCATAATGGTCGGACAACGTTCGGATCGTGTGAGATAAAGTCTTGCAGATGTGTCGGGCGGCCGATGGCGGACGGGGGAACAGCTGGACAATCGTCGCGGCAGCAACGCCGATCAGGACGAGAAGTAGCCGTCGCCAGAAGACCGTATAGCCAACTCCAGGGTTGCCGTATTGTGGAATGTGCCTGATTGAAAGGTTAGCAGAGGAAGTGGCGCTATGTGACATCGAAGGAGGGACTCACGTATCATCGTAGCTGTATGCCACCACCAGCATAAAAGTGGCACCGCCCATAATTGCTCCTTGAAGTAGGCTCGGGGACACATAGAGACGAATCCACATGAAGATCGCCAGCAACACGGCCATAACGGCCGATAATCCGTAGGGATTGCCAGGACCGTTGGCCGAGCCGATATACCATGCCAAAAGCCCGAGAACACCTCCAGCAACCGTCCCAATCAGTCGCCCGATAGTGGAAAAGGTAAATTCCGACATGTAGACAAGCAAACCGGTTTGTGCCATAATCAACCCCCAGAGGCCCTTTTCCCGATAGTAGAATGCAGCAGTATGGGGAATGACACCGGGGATGCCTAGGGCGATGGTAACAACCACCATGCGTAAGGCGAAGACGCCTTCGTTCGAAGTAAACCAATGATAGGTTCCTAAAATCGCTCGTCCCAGGGGGCTGCGGTGCTTGGGTCGATATCCACGACTGATACGAAGCTTTTCTTGGGCAACTTTAGTCAAGTCCTCTGCCTCGTCGGGATCGTCCTCCACAGCCATGGCCGCTGTTGGTGTCTTCGCTTTCTTCCGAAACGCCCAGGAGGCGGCATATCGAAGGCTTGTCGGCCACCATAGCTTGGTTCCTTTGGAGTCGTGGAAAGCCGTCGATACGCGAGCGAGGAGAGCCTCTGTGCGAGTGATCGTAGTACAGACGTGTTCCTCGAAGACCATCCCAACGACAAGTGCTCCTAACTTGCGCTGGTCACGAGAGTCTCCATTTGTCGTCGGTGCGAAATGCCCAATGAGGAGCTCGGTCATATCGTGCAGAAAGCCGCTGTGAGCCTTTCGGAGATTCTCGAGTGCTGTCTGGCTTCGCTGGTACAGTTCCTCGCGTTCGGTTGGGGACGCTCGTCTCACCCATCGCCGGCAATTGACCATATGAAGGCACTCCCTTGTCACTGCCAATCCCTCTAGACACGCGTCGATAGCCATTGCGCTCGTGCGGACCAGTTCATCGACGACCTCTTGGGACAGTTGTTGGCTGTCCGGGCAGCGCAACCCTTCCAGAAGCTCCACGAGTTGGGAGAGCTGCTGGGCTCCAACCTTGTGGGGGTGCTTCTCGTCCGTGATAACAGCCTCCTTTGTTTGTTCGGCATGTTCGCGAAGGATTTCGTCCGTGCGCGCTTCCCCATGGATCCGACCGATGTGGAATTCAAGCAGAAGAATAATTGCCGCGACGGCCTGGCGCATCGGCTCCTTGAACGACGCGACTTCTTCGGGGCCCCAGAGGCCTACGGAGAAGTCCAATGGCAGAAAGGCCAAGCCAGGCTCCATCTCTCGATATTTCTGGATAATCCGCGCATGTGTCTTGCGTAGTCGGTCGATGTCCGGTTGCAGTGCTTTCTTCCCCAGCGTGACGGAGGTAAACGCCAGTGGCTGTTGGAGTAGCTCCAAGATATCCTCCATACTATCCAGCACCACATGTGAGGTCGATCGGGGAAAGAAGAGTACCGAACATGCAAAGCCGAGTCCCACACCGATGGCGGCCGGTTTCACGAGCGTCACAGGCAGCGTTCCCGAGAACGAGGGCAGAAGGGGGATAAAGTTGAGAAAGAGGTCCGAGATGATGATTCCGAAGACGGAGGTCAAGGCTGCTTTGGGATTACTTGCGCGTAGACGAGCCTATGCATGGTTATTACGCTTCTCGCTGGTCAGTTTGTATCACGGCAGAGGATCTCCTACCATGAAGTAGATGAATGTGCAGATGAGACAGAATGTAACCGCCGTGACCCGCGTGTCCAGCATGTAGCCATCGTAGATAAGTTGTTGTACCACACTGGCAGGCGGAAGTCCTGTCGCATTGGCTTGGGCCACCGCCGTCTGTTGCAATGATGCAAGTCGGGCCTGCGTGTCTGCTGCTGGTCTGGCTGCGAAAGCGGCCTTCATCGTGATGACGCCCCATGCCCAAGCCAGACACATTCCAATAATCAGAGTCAGGGCTCCCAATAGGTAAATGAACACGATCCCGGACGGCGGGAGGATCAAGAGGACCATGCTATTGATTCACATCCTCAGCATTGCGAACGAGGGACATATGCGCTCAAAAGAAAGATACAATAATCGGCCATTGGGTAGCTTTACCTCGCAAAGAAAGTAGCGGTGCCAATGCTGGTCAGCGATGGGGTGATGAAGATTAACAGACTCGCCACCCAAATGCCAACCCAGCACCGGAAGAAGACTTTCAGCTCCCGCGCATTGAAGTGATCGAGGAACGCGGGGAGCCGGAAACTATTCTTAGGGATTGCATTATTCGCATTGGAATCAATAGTGGCCGGTGGAGGCCGTTCGGACATCGCTGAGAGTGATCTTTCTCAGCCTGTGCTGGTGGTCATCAAGGATCCACGAGTGTGACGAAGATTGAAAGATATCTGAAAGCAAGGGATAGGGAATGCAGAAAAACCTCCCAGTGGGAGGAGGGGAATGCATCATTAAGTAACATAAGGCTGGCCTTCCAATAAAGTCCACGGAAAAGTGCAGATCCTTTCTTAGTCTCAATAGTTCCACTTCGCGTCCAGGATATCGGGGTGCAGATCATGTCCGGGGTCGTCTTATGCCGGCATTTATGCCCTCGGCTTATGCATTAGATTACGTACTCGGAGCTGGCTAATGCATTAAAGCTGGCAAATGAGCAGCAATGCCAGTTTTTGGGTCTGGATGGTTGACTCTTTTACCCCTTTTATGTCTTCAGGCTATTTGAACATGTTCCTGCTTGGGGCTCTGTGGGTTGGCCCACCTCCTGCTATTGAACTTAGCCTCTATTTATTTCTATATTTGCATCCGTACGACCCAAATAAGATTCTACCCCTTTATGAAAGTGCCACGTTTAGGAATCTCTCTCGTGGGATGGAATGCCACGTTCCGGTCCTTTTCCATAGACATCGCCCGTCCCTGCTGTAATGTTATTCAATCACGAGTGACATCTCAACCTCTCGGAGGAATCCGCAAAAGGTGACCCAAGCAAAGATGATCGGGAGAAGGGGCTCATATAAATCAATTGAAGTTGTGATGGACATCCGGTAGACTAGTATGCGTAGCAATGAGGCAGTACGGGTATGATGATTCAACCGTTTAAATACTTCTCCCGTCGAAAGGCACAGCCGACCTACTTTGTTATTAGGTGCGCAGCCAGCTATGAACTGTAGTTAAGGATGGTTGCTGATTGTCTCCTGCAGGTTGGATCAGAACACCATTTGGATCCCTACAGCAGGGCATACGATTAAGTACGGCCATGCTTCAGGCAAAGTTATTCTATGCCTCAGTGAACCTACGCGAGTGTGGGATATCAAGTTGCATCTTGAGGGCCGCTACTATATTAAGTATGTGACATGTTCACCACGTTTAGGAGAACGAAACTATCACTGACCTAATGTGTTCTCCAGCTGGGACGCAACGTTCCCCAGTGACTCACATCGACATTGCAAAGCTTTTTGGAAGGAGTTACCCTTCCATCACGATGTTTGGAGCTTTCTGCGGGTGTCGGCAGGAAGATCCACAACAATCTTGGGGCCGGGTAATTATGAATTTCCTTTTGAAATGTGCCTTCCAGGACGGTTACCGGAATCTATGACGGGTGTGGATGACTATTATATTCGGTATTCTTTGAGAGCACAGATCTATGGCCGGAAAGGCGAGAGTGTCGTCACATCGAGAGAGATCAGCGTTCGAAAGGTATACGATACGCCTTTGCGTACTGTTCCCAGTGTAAGTAACTCACCCTACAAGACAGCCCCAGAGCTTCAGGAGCTAATATTAGGTAGAGCATCGAGAACGATTGGCCGAACAAGATAATGTACCAAGTCGGCATCCCAACCCCGGTTGTCCAATTCGGCGGCAACATACGAGTCACATATCGCTTCGTTCCTTTACTTAAGAGGCTGCACTTGAAAACCATTAGATCGGCTATCATTGAAACGCACACGGTATCGAGACCAGCTCCTGCTTCTCGATCTCGGGAGGTTTTGGTCGATGCATTTGACCCTCCCACTTGGGAAGACATGGGTTTAACTACCGACGACAGATGCTGGTATCAATGCTCCCGGCTGCTTCATTTACCAAAGTCTACCCAGCAGTGTCTACAAAGCACCGCAGCCACGGTCCTGCAGGTTAGACATTCGATACATATTTCAATCACTCTGTTGAACCCTGATGGTCATCTATCCACGGTAAGTTAGCCGTTTCTATTCACCCAGCCTGGTACACCATCCTTATCGCTGGTAGGTCCGTCTTTCCCTCCCAGTATATATACTTTTCTGTCCGCCGGCCAGCGCTAGCCGCCAGGCGCTGTTAGACATTTCGACTTGGGACGAGGGAGAAGAAGTTCCGCCCCAGTATAGTAACCATGTCCATGATGCGAAACTGGTTGAAACATGCCCAGATAATCCTTCAACACATGACGGGCACGAATCCAACGCAAAGCCCCCAGAATACGCGGTATTAGATGACGCATCCGGAATTCCCAGTTATTGGGATACTGTTTAATCAAGTATACTCACACTCTTTCAGTGATGGCATCGTGCTGTCCCAAAGGAGTCTGATGAGACCCACGACGGAGGACTAAATTTGTAGCATTTGCCCACAACTGACCCTTTCCGTGTCGAGAGTCAACGTGGCGAATGCCGGCTGCTTTTTTCTATATAGCTCTGGGTCCGAGGCAATTCCAGTCCGTTTGACCTATGGATTGAAGCTATGAATGGATGAATTGAGACGTATGATTTATAAGGAAATGGAGGCGGTGCGCAGGAGGAATCCTCCGCTTAATGCTCTAATCGGCATCTTCTTACGAGGCAAAAGTGAGCTCGTCATAACCGTATTCTGGACGACGGCCACCGTAGCTTTCTTTGTTGTGGATGCACTCAGATGTATATATTGAGCCTCTAGCGAGATTTTGCTACTAATAGAGTGCTGATCAGACGTATGGTCGTCCAAGACTTCCCAGTGGAGCTCAGCCAGTTCATTCAATATTGGTCTTATTGCATCAGGCAGGTATTCCCAGTGGAATGCGTCGAGTCACAAGGTGCCATGACAACCTCGTCTGGATGTTGATGCAGAGGCGGTGTTTATATATAAAAGTCTGACTTTCTAGAACTCTTATTCAAGCTTCCGCTCCTCAAGATGTGGAAATATGATGCTATCTGCGCCCAAGATGTGGTTCCGCATAGCTTTATTTGCACTTGGACTTCACAAATCTCCTTTGCGTAATGTACATTGAGCATATCAGGATATTATGGTGTATCGTGCATCTTTCATACTTAGTGCGGTGAAGTCGTCCAACATGAGTGGATACCAGAGAGTGAATTGTTTCGTGGCCAGGGGGTGTGGCTGAAGTATATCTATCGGCTAAAAGAAAGATCTAGTGTGTTTCCAAGTATACATTGGTCTCAAAAAAGACCCTTGCGTTCTTTTTCAAGACTGACCTGTCATTCTGGAGGAAACTAGACGCACAGGCGCGTGTCTCAGGCCACGCATGAGATATATACATCTTCAAATCAACGATGCGATGTCACTGTGCATGACCCGTCTATTGCAGCATCGTTACACCAGATCAGTAATATTTGTGCAACAATGTAGTTAATCTTGCAGGACAGGATGGAAGCCTCGTGTCAGATCTCAGGGGCGTCCTCCCAGCTTATTATATACTGGGTCGCTTAGCGCCTTCCTACCCGGCACACATTTCAATCGATAATCGGCATTTGTGAAGCAGTCACATCACCATGGCCATCGCTTCTTCTGAGCAGTTTCAGAGCGACTTGGTTCAAGTGAGTAAGCTGGCCACAGATGGTATGTCCCAAACAGGGCTTGCGCCCGAGGCTGCCGAAAGAATTTTACAAGTACGTATGGATCAAAGTACATTATCCTCTGGTTCAGGTCAACCAGCTAATATACACAAGTGTCTTGTTCTCAACAACAAAAGGCGGAAATATCCTACGTGGCCGTACTGTTCTTGACAGTGGCTGGATGCTGAATGGTCAAAATCTGTCCCGGGTCCAAAACGAGGACCTGAAAGTACTGGGGTGCCTCGTCGAACTGCTCAACGCTGCATATTTGATTTGGGACGATATTATGGATGGATCATCCACCTGGCGTGGCCAGCCATGCTGGTATCGCCGCGAAGCTGTTGGCATGATGGCTATCAACGACGCGTGTCTTGTGAAATCTGCAATTTACGTCACGCTCAAGGAACGCTTCCATGAACACGAAGCGTATATAGACCTTTACGAGCTGTTTGCTGAAGCATCCCTACGGACTGAGCTTGGACAGCACTGTGATCTCATGTCTTCAGCAAGGTTAGTGGAGCTCGATCGGTTTTGCTGGGATCATTGTGAGTTTATCACCATGCACAAAACAGCTTTCTATACCTTTTACCTTCCCGTGGCCATTCCTCTTGTTTACTTGCGCATTGCAACCTCTGCGAAGCTAAAGCAAGTATATGAGGTATCAATGCTGCTGGGCCTTGTCTTTCAGGCCCGAGATGACTTTCTGGATGTCTATGGGGATGAGAAAGTTACTGGAAAGATTGGTACCGACATCCAGGAACACAAATGCAGCTGGCTTTCAGTCATGGCCTTACAGCATTGCAACGATGAAGAAAAGAGCGTATTGAGAAACTGCTATGGTTCCACGAATCGGGATAATGTTGCAAAGGTCAAAGACATCTTTCAAGAGCTGAACCTGGCCAAGATCTTTTATGGTTAGGATAAGGAGATGTTAACGAAGATCAACACCATGGTCGACGAGATGGCAGACTTACCATTAAAGGAGATTTTTATAGAGTTTCAGTCAAAATAATTTCGAGACTCGCGAAGGAATTTAACTCAGTCCACTGCAAATGATATTGTTACCAATCAAGCACTTGAGAGCCATCTGAATGGCTGAAACACAGAAGACGACGAAAGCACCGCGTTTCCTCTCTGGTTCAACGTTGCAAACTCTACTACAACACAGCACTGCACAAACGGATGAAAATAGTTGGCTAGTGTAATTCATCATGGAGAATCAGTCGATATTTGATATTTTTGACAGTGGGACAATACTATCATGTTGTACATCTTATTATCTTTCTTTTCATGTATATTCTGATCTCTATTTCCAGCCCCTCCGAGGGATTCATGTTGTGAATCCAGGTTCTACATGGGAGATGATAAGAGCCTCATATACTGAATTTATTCTGTTCCTGTTGTTGTTCCCGTTTCAATCCAGACCGATTGGAAATCCATTTGGGCTTCACTCGGTGTATGTGTCTTTTCGAATGAGAATGCAAGCAATCAATCTTCCTTCTGAAGTACAACAGTTTAGTCTTGACACCTGTGGTGTTTCCCTTTGTAGTATATCCTGCTCCATCCCGGTTCTTTTCGCTGACTTCCGCGGCGAGGTGTTATGTCAAACTATGATGCTTTATGATCGCATGTGCATATTTTAAGTGCAGGGGCATATATGCAAAGTTCATCAAATCAATGCAAGCAAGGCATGTGGAGGGATCGTCTGTGTCTATCCTATACGAATTCGTTTGTCCCAATTCATTGCCGTGATGGTGACAGCCAGCAGCCTCCTGGTCCCTCCATAGCCCTTCGTCGAAGTCACTGAGAGGATGCGACACAACGATGCACAATCGACCGGAGTCTTCGATTCCAAACTGTATGCCACCTGCCAGAAACAGCGATGTTGATGTGCAGCCTCATCGATGGCCTTCTCGTGCTACAGTTCTGACCGGGTTGTCTCGGATGGTTGCCGTAAAGTCGCCCAAATAACAACGCTGGCATAGGAATACTTTAGACCTTCGGTGTGCAGGGTGTAGATAGGATATCTATAAGCTCTGACCACTCAATTGGCTCTCTGCTGTCTCCTCTGCGTGGCGCACTGAACAAAATGACCGTATTTGTCGCCAAGGTATTCCTTTGCTACTTGGTCGGTCTCAGACGTTCCACCGGATATATATTCTCCTACTTCCCCAACAGGAGCATATCCCAGACTTGGTGCATTGTTCTTTCATTATGGAGGTTCACTTGAGAGTCGTATAATGTATCGATGGACCATCCTGGTAAATATCTGAAGCCGACGGGTTGGGTCTGAGAGCCAAGTGTGGGGAGAGGGTGAGGAACAACCCAGCGATGCAGCTAGCAATCGGAGAGACTCAACTCCTCCGGCCCGACGACCGGGGAACAACTGTGGGAGCGGTATTTACTATGGCCGCCAGCTGGACCCTGTGGTGCGATTCCGCCGGTGGGAACCCGGTGGATTCCACTGAGCAATTAGGGTTGCCGTTTTCTCTCGATCGGGATCTCCCCATACAGGCACCCGGAGCCACCAGTTTCCGAATCATGTCTGCTGCACCCCAGGCAGATATTTTGTGGCACCCTTGGTTAAAGTAATCAATTATGATAAATAGACTTCCGAATGATAGATGGGAGGGTCCGAATAGAGAACATGCGGTGGAGGTTACTCTTTCCCCTGGCCGTGGTAGCCGTGGCACAGCCTTCATCCAGTTTAAACCATGACCACCGAGTACATCCCGACTACGACCATGGAAGAGGATAGAAGGATATCGATGCAATTCTACCATTAAATCTCGTCAACCAACCGTTCAAGTCGCCTTGGGTAGGACTTGAATCATGTTGTGGGGCGGCGTGCGAAGCGAGAGTTGTGGGCCCAATGTTCCGCCAGGATCTGTCGTGACTCTTAACGTACGGACACTCCAGAAGAACTAGCAACGCGTATGCGTAATGTACGGAGAAGAAAGGAGCCTGTTCCCCGTAAATCTGTCAGAAGAAACCCCCAAACGGTATTCATGGGGCGGCCCAGATTCGGTATAGGAATTCGACATCACTTGACATAGAACAGGCGATGCTTACCATTAATTATGCAATGTGGCATTCCATTTATGTGAATAGAACCATTGCTTCAATTTCGTACCGATCGTAGATATGAATAAAAATACGTGACAAACTACCCTAGGCAATAGATATTATGTACACCAGTCTCCCACCAGGATTCATTCAGCTCATCAGCGTTAACAGTAAAGGCAGATCCGATCTACAATGCTGCTTCTACGTGCTCAACCTGTTTCACCTTCAGGTCACTGTGGTCGTCCTTGTTCTCCAACTGCGTAATCTGGGCCCCCAGACCCGTGCAAACATACGTGGAAAACTCTCTCGTGGGGATCTTGTTCTGGAACATTTCGTCCAGCTCCTCCAGGGACCGGTCTTTGGTCTCGGGCAGCAGGAAATACACGAAAGCGATCGCGGCAACGGAGAAACTGCCGTAGATAAATGTGACACGACCGCCGATAGACGCTTGAACGTATGGATTCACGAAGTTGATGGGAACGGAAGTGACAAAGCTGCCGAGCGATGCCAACAGCAAGGTCCGTTCTCGCAATTGCCCCGTTCCGACCTCACCGGACAGGATCCACACACCCGGCCCCCATGATAAACCGTAGAAGACATACCACAGAATGAGCATCGCGACGCACCCGTTCTGGGCTATCGCGGTGAGGTTGGCCGTCCCGTATGCGCTGGCGCCACCGACCCCCATCATCATGGCGGCCATGAGCAAAGCACCCACAAGCATGTTGATCCGCCGTCCGAGCTTGTCGAAAGTGTATAGCGAGATGCAGTTGGCCACCAGACCACAAGTCTGGACAATGACGTTCGACTTCAATGGATCCGGAAATCCCAATTGCTTCATGAACGTTACGATAAAGTTGTTGATAAACGAGATACCCTGAGCCTGCTGCAGGATTTGGACGCCCATCGCGATGATGGTCCGTCGCAGGTTCACCCCACGAAAGCAGTCTAGCACACTTGTTGCCTTATGGAACTCAAGCTGCTCTTCGAGCTGGAGTTGCAAGAGTTGGATTTCCTCGCTGGCGTTGTAGTCGGCCCCGAACAGAACTTTCATGGACGCCTTGGCTTCCTGCAGCCGTCCGCGATAGACCAAGTATCGAGGGGTCTCGGGGAGAAAGGGATATCCCAGCACGATGCCTAGTGGAACCAAGAGCTGACAGAGAATGACCGTGCTACGTGTTGGTTAGTCAATGCAAGCATTTCCAGAGCAAATGGGTGCAGAGAAGCCATGACACTTACAGATAGGCCCACTCGCCTTTGATATTCTGACAGAGGAAAACCACCAGGGTCGCGAGGAAGCCACCAAATGTATTCCAAATCGAGTATGCTGTCAGAAACGCCCCTGGATGGAGATGGTCAGCATCCACCTTCTGTCTGCCAGGAGATCGCTTGAGCACTGTACGAACCTCTAACCTTGGTGGGAGCACATTCGGACTGATACATCGGCACCACATTGGAAGCTACGCCGATGCCGGAATAGACCACAATACGGCCAACAACCAGTTGCCAGAAGGAGGTGACGGCGGAAGCCTCCAGAACCGTTCCGACGGTCAGAAGTCCCGACATCACCAACAATGTCGGTTTCCTTCCCAAATGCGAACATAACCAAGGAGCTGCGAGACATCCTAGAATGATACCAGCCGAACCGGTACCCGTGCCGGCCGACTGCTTCTCCGAGGGAAGAACATATCCACCGGTGCTTGGATCATATACTCCGTAATGTTTGTTAAACTGCTCGAGACCTAACGCACCTCCCCACCAGGAGTTGTCAAAGCCGAATCCCATGGCGCCCAAGGAGACTAAACATCCGATGAACACGAGACGGGCATTGAGCTCCTGATACAGAGCGGACTGCTTGAAGGACCCCAACATCTTGCCGACCGTCGCCAAATCGGCACAATTAGAGTCAGTGGAAGGTGAGAATAATAGATGACATGCACATCGCGACGGGACAAGAGTCTCCGCGGCATACTTATATTTTTCGAGAACACACCACGTCGAGTCGCCACAGCGGAAAGCGGAGTGGTATACGGACCAGACCGATGGCTCATGAGACTAACGAAGCTACCGACGCCATCAGCTTAGGGTTGGCACCGTTCTTGGTAGCCTGGTGCTTCCCCATACTGTCTATTGGGGATAATTGTACGCCCGCGGGGATTGAGTTGGGACGACCAGGGCTAACTCCACGAGATTGGGGGAAGCCGGAACCCCCATGGGGCTTTTCTGGGTGGATTAAATTGGCCAGTAGTGAAACTGTGGGGAACGTCTTGCTCCGCCTCGAACCTGAAGTCTTGAAGCTCCCGATGAAACTCCCGATGCAATTCCGGCTTGCTTGGAACTGCCTGTTTCGGCCCCGCCTGGGCCCACTCCGGTTCTTCGTCCTGGCGAAGTAGTTGGTGGCTGCAACTGCCTGTTTCCGCCAACGGTGGATGCTGGTGCTATCCTCGCAACGTGTTCGCATATGTGGACTTCTGTCCTGGGCATGTCGTCATATTTTTTATCTGTCGTGGTCTGGAGATTTGAAATAAGTAGCGGTTCCCAGCAACGTTGAGAAACTCATTGCATTTCTCTCGTTTGACTGCAGAACTCACCATGGCACACGCCGAGCGTCTTCAGACATTCACCTCCAAGCCACGGGTGTTCATCCTCAGCGATATCTCCAATGAACCCGACGATGCCGAATCACTGGTTCGGTATCTTCTCTACTCGAATCAGTTCCAGACAGAGGGATTGGTGGCCTGTACATCGACCTGGATGAAAACCAAGGTGTGTCCACAGGACATGCATAAGATCGTCGATGGCTATGAAAAGGTAGTCGACAATTTGAATGCTCATGCCCATCCACAAGATCCGTACCCTACGGCGGAATATATGAGGGGTCTGATTAAGAAAGGCGCTGAGGTAAGTCTCCCTGCAAATATGGGCTTTCCGTCGGTGAATCGACAGCTGACCCAAGTGCGATAGACATATGGCATGTCCGCGGTCGGAGACGATATTCCACTCAGTGAGGGCGGTCAATTATTACTAGAGCGCATCGAGGCTGATTCGAATGAGCCTCTCTGGATTTTATGCTGGGGTGGCACCAATGTACTGGCCTCGGTCTTGCTCAAGATCCAAAACACCAAGTCCGAAGAAGTTGCGGCAGCACTCCGATCGAAGCTGCGTGTCTATACGATCTCCGACCAGGACGATACCGGTGTATGGATTCGCAACAGATACCCTGATCTCTTCTATATTTGTTCGGTTCATGGATGGAATCAATATGGCATGGCAGCATGGTGCGGTATCTCCGGCGATGGCTGGTATGGATTTGATAAAGGCGGTCCCGATCCAAGCAAGATCAGCAAGGAATGGATCCGAGAGAATATCCAAATTGGACCTCTTGGCTCCACATACCCGGACTACATGTTCATCCCCGAAGGTGATACCCCAACCTTCCTCTATCTGATTCAGAATGGCCTTGGAGTGCCAGAACATCCGGAGTGGGGCTCATGGGGAGGTCGATACATCGCGACGGATATCAGCGCCAAGGGCCTTCGGAATGGACACTACAGTGACACTGTCGATGAAGTGGTTGGGTTAGACGGACGGACGCACAAGTCCAACCACGCGACGATCTGGCGGTGGCGTGACGCTTTCCAAAATGACTTTGCGGCGCGGATGCAGTGGACACTCTCGCCTGAGTTGAGCAAGGCCAATCACCAGCCAGTCATCATCCTGAACGGCAGCAAAGGATTAGAACCCTTACATCTCGAGCTGGAGGCTGGTTCGACATTCGAGCTCGACGCCTCGGAGACATACGACCCGGACACAAACGATTCCCTTACGTTCAGATGGTATCAGTACAAAGACCCGAGCGCGACACAGTGGTCCGTCCGTCACGAAGTTGGACAGCTGACATTTGAGCCACTCAACACCGCTGGAAGCAAGGTCAAAGTAACTGTGCCGCCACCAGAAAAGTGCTGTCTGGAGCTCATTAGTCGCGAAGCGCTCCCTAGAGGGCAGTTATTGCATATCATATTGGAGGTGAAAGACAATGGAACACCACCGTTGACTAGCTACCGACGAGTCACGGTCCAGACTTTGAACGAGAAGCTGCTTGGCGGCGGCGGTGGTGCAGAGGCTATTGGCGATGTTATGAGAGACATGATGTAACACGATGTGATGTAGACAAATGTATCAATTGATTCAAGACATTAACAGATCCTTCAATTTTCCGTTATTTTCACTGCTAGCCACTCACTCCTACGTACTTCAGGGGCATAGTCCGACCCTTCACTGCAAGTACGGCAAAGGTTTCAGTCCATTACTTTATTCTGGTCAACCCACGCCCGGATGTCCCAAAAATTCCGACATTTGTGCATGGTATTGAAATCGACATAGCGACCCAGAGGCGCTGTCTCATCTGCCACGATCATCACCGGTGTAACATCCGCCGTGCACATCATGTTTAACCGCAGCGTCTCGAGGCAATGGTCTACGCGGTTGTTAAGAAAGGGTAACGTCGTGATTTAGGATAGATACACAGATACTCACCGATATGCGTGGCTGTAATATTAGCGTGTTCCGGCTCAAACTGGGCCGCTGGATACCCGAATTCTTCCTCGTATTCCTTCTGATAGATCTTTAGTCGGACCATGTGCTATCCGTCTCCGGTCAATAAGTTGTCTCAAGCGAGTGGCAGAATGTTTGACCCACCAAGCAGTGCAGCTGGTGAAACACTTCCAGGTACCCGACGTAACCGTCGCCTTTATCCTCGGGAGTTCGGAGCCAGTTCACGGTGGAAGACTTATTCAGCAAGGGGAGTTTTGTCTCTGGGACATTGATGCCCGGTGCTGAGGAGCTCAGCTTCAATCTAGCGACTGCAACATACATTCTCAAATTGAGGATCTGTCATACCTATGAACAATTTTTTCCATGCTGCCTCTGTTGTGTTAGTCGGTCGTCCTCGGTAGACGGACGGTTGTTCAAAATCACCAGCTATGTTATAAGACGTATATCGGATGACCCCTGCATCTATGATTGGTGCTATTCCGAGTTCAGCTACCATACAAGATTTCCATATGTCCGACGTACGTACAATAGGATGAAAGGCGGGAGGTGCACGCCTGCTCTGTAGCGACTGTCTGATACCTGAACGCGAGAAACCCAAACGTAGTGAAAAAGAACGCCAGCTGTAGGAACCAGGGCAATGTGCGGGCCAACAAGGAATGAGGGGGAGCAGACAATGCGTTAGATCCCACCTGGGCGTATTGCTTCCTCTGGAGTGACACGTGTGCTGAGTGTCTAATGTCCTGTAAGAGGCGCCTCATGGTGGTCAGGCCGCACGATGAAGCTCTAGGCCAGCTGAGAGGGGTGTCTTCAAGATAGACAAGAGTGCAATTGCGGTGGTAGGATCGAATGCACACGGCACAAACCCTTCTGTTCTGTGCAAGGATAGATATCCTCGTTGAGCAATGAATCTAGGTATTCTGACTGCATACGGTATATCCTGATTCTTCATTCAAGATCATATTTTAACATCTCCATACCATGTCACCGAACAGCGTTACATTGCATGGCATACTCCAGAGCCGTTGGATGAAATCCCTGTTTAGCCCAAAGTGCGTCAATGCCCATCCACGCGTAGCGAAGTGAACAAAGGCAAAATGATCGGAGGACTATAATATCCCGCATGCCTTGAGCGTCTGCCGTGGTTACATCTTCCTTCTCAACAGCGGATTTCTCACCGCGAAGACCAACACCACACACAAGGACATGCTCATGCTCTTAGGCGTCCTAAAACTCGTATGGCTGTAGCTAGACAATCACTAACATGATGAGTTCAGCGATGGATCATGTTCCCGGACCATTTCTCTTGGGTATAAGTCCTGCAGGTCTTAGCTAATCCCACCCATGCAAGAGGAACAATATCGCCGATCAAATCACCTACATGGGCCAAGAGAATATGGATCCACAACAACGCATACTATAGAAGATACGCCGGCGGATACCGTTCCTTGGCGGCTCAAGCCCCTCACACAGGATTTCCTGGTTACTTAAGATCTATCCTAGCGCTTACGTAAACATGGGAGGAGGTCATGAGAATAACAATCTGTTTGGCTTGGTAGGGAAGGGTAGCGTGACTAAAATCAGGATAATGGAGGCAGGCCCTTTTTCTCAACCCATTCGTGAATCTCCCAAAAGTTCCGACACGTATGCATGGTATTGAAATCGGGGATTCGTCCTTGAAAGGCGTGGGGGTCATCTATAAACACCAACGGTGTCACATCCGAGGTGCACATAAGAGTAATGCGTAGGAGTTCAATGCAGTGATCTGAGTATTGCATTAGTAATCGATGCTAGATAGTGGTTGTCTGGCTTGCCAGTGGTGGCAGAAGTACCTATATGAGTCTGCTTAACTTCCTCATTCCCAGGGCCACTTCCATCTGGCCACTCGCCGAAATACTCGTAGTAGCTGTTCTTATGGACCTCCAGACGGAGGGTATTCTAGCCAGGATTGAGTGAATAATTGATTGTACAATGAAAGACAGGAGAGGGACTTACTATGCAATGTAACTGGTGGAAGACCTCAACCAAAGCAGCAAATTCATCCTCGGCACCATGATCAGAAGTACGAGGAGCAGGGAACCAGTTCAAACCTGCTGGTCCGGACTTATTGAGTACCTCTAGTCTTTCCTCTGGTACTCCGATTGCAGGAGCTATCTGGCTTAGTGTCGCGTCTGTGTTGGAGAAGTGGTGTAGCTTACTTTCCCAGAGCCCTTTCCACGATGCTTCGGTCAGATCGTTTGGCTTTCCACGATAGTTCGAAGGTTTGTCGAATTCGTTGGCGAAGTTTTTGGATTCATACTTAATAGACCCTTCTTCTATAAGTGGAGCTGAGGTTTGCGTTAGACTACATCATGACAGTATTATGCTTAAGGCAAGCATGGTATGTAGATGGGGGGTGATGAGGGAGAGCATACAGTATGGCGACAGTTGGCGGGTACACTGCAGGGCGCTTGGCTTCATGGTAAATGCCACTAGGCCCAGTGTGAGAGACACGCACAAGGCCAAAATGTGAAGGATCCAGGTCAGACTACCCCTTCGCGGGATGAAGGATTCCTCTTTCAAAGAGATATGCTGTTCAAGGAATGGCTGAGTAGGACTCCAGCCCTCCTCCGAAATACGTTCGGGCGATCTTTGAGGGACCATGGCTGTCTTCCTTGCTGGTTGCAGCAAAGACAGGATGTCTGAGATGAACCGATGGAGAACAGGCAGTGCTCGGTGGTATTGCGACTGGTCGGATACTTCTATGATTTAATTTGCTGCGATCAAACAACCATAACAAATAGCGCGGCATGAGACAGATCCTTCTAGCAAAGGATCAGATAACCTGGCGTGGCTTAATGTAACGTTACTGCATTCTGCTCCCGGGGCACGGGGATGATTTGCATCCGATTACGGATATCATGACAGGTTGAGTGACGAGCCTTTCGTAGATTGATAGGCCATTGGAATATGTTCTCCTTATCGTCAAAGTTATATAAGTACCCTAACCTGGCGGCCCCAAGTTCTCCCATACTGCAAGTGACACAAACCAAAGCCGTTCCAATTTTCACTTTGAAGCCTTTAGCAAGAGAGACTTGAGCAAAAATGAAGACCTTCCTGCCCCTTGTTTCGCTCCTGATGGGTGTCAGCATGACCTCTGCCGCCCCTACCTCGAAAGTATGGACGGATCCAAGACCCATAAGTACGAAGTATAAGAATTAATGAATGCGAACAGGTCGCTGCTGAAAAGGATGTCGCACCGGAAAGCGCACACTCATTCAATATCAACGCCTACAGTCCGCCACCCGCCGATCACAAGGTCAATGATGCCTTGCACCGCAGGGAGGAGGTTACCCCAGAAGGTGCAAATCTATTCATCATTCATTCCTATGGTGATCGGCCTTCAGAGCGCAAAGTCGAGAATACCTTGGAGCGTCGAAACGAGGACAACGCTGACGGCGCACGTCTCTTTAATGCTATCGAGGCCTATACTCCTTGAGTATTTCAATATCTGATTATGCTGTGCGGCGTGCGGAGGATTGATGATGGCTCGGACTATCCGTGTATTCCCATAGGTAGTGGGTTTTGATGAAAGAACATATGTATATTGTGGACACGTCGCAAAGACTATAGTATGATCAAACAGTAGGGTAGATAACCTAGTCCAATGTGAACCGAATTTAGCCTCACAAGTGTGCCAGAATATATTGAGATATTATACCTGGACATGTCTTTGCTGCTTGTACAGTATCACGAGACCATCATGTGTCAACCGGGCTATCAACAAGACCCGAGTCGCTACTACTCAGTTCCTGCACGCAATCAATCTCTTCACACCTCATCCCATCTGTTAATTCTCTTTTGGTGAAGATTTATTTAACTGGACTGGAATGATGTGAATGCCATATTGATTGATCAGCCGACGGCCTGAAGGATCGAGATACTTTAACTGATTGAAGCCTCGAGAATGAGGCGCTTTCCAGAGTCCAGATCAACCTCATCCTACAGGCTGTTCTATGAGAACAGAGGCCCCCCCCTTCCACCTTCCCCCCCAAGAAGCCAGAACTATGCACCTGGGGTTCGAGACCCCAATGAGCATCGGGCTTTCGCAAATGGTCGTAGCGTGTGGCGAAGCAGACTATTCGATATGGTATACCTCACACAAAAGCCAAGCACATCAATTAATTATATTGGAGGCTAAGAAGGCGAGGCATGTAACTTCGGGATCGCCCCAATTGTTGGGGTACATGGGTAAGCATTACGAGCTGTTTTATTGTCTATATATGCCATAAACTGTATATCTAACATTATAAGCTAGGCGCTGTCCAATGCGCATGACGTAGCGCGCGAAAGTCAAACGTCGCTGTCTTTGGCATCCTCCCAGACGCATATCAATGGGACTTTGTGCGTCTTCATAAAATGGAAAGGTAAAGAATGACCCATTTAATCTGGTCAATCTGAATTTGTCACTGACATACTATAGTACTCGTGGATTACTTTTCGGTGGGAGTCAGGCCAATCCCAACAAATCTGGGGTATTTTGAATTGGATTGTCACTTGTGCGGAGATTCAGTGGCCCGGGGATTCAGATTTTTTATGAGCAATGATCTCACTAAAACCATCTTCATTGGAACAAATATTGGGGATGGTTCCTTTAGCTTCAACTTGAGCTGCAGAATAGTACAATCGTCAATAGAATGGGTCAGTTGGCCCACATATGTGTGCGCTCAATATCCACATTGGTCTCTTCCCAGGGCTTGGGTTCAAACTCTTGCCAGGCCATATCGCCTTCAACAGACTCAGGGCCCAGACCTATCTGTCCTTCGGAGTTGTAGTCGGTGGCTGACATTACGTAGATCAATAAACAATTCATGGTTTAGGTAGTTCTTCAGGTGCTTACGATAGTCGTCGATTACCACGAGACACTCTGGAAATTTATAGATGCCATTCCGCTACGTAAGTCAGCTTGGACACATGCCAAGGCCAGTTAGACTTAAACATCAGTGATACTTCCACACTGCCTAGACTTCAACTATTAGATTATTCTGCAACGACTCAGTTCTCGGGGATATCCAATAAATTATTAGCTCTGGGAGACCAAACCTGAGAGATCCAGATACATGCACAGTGGATCTGTATCACTACTACCGTCTAACGGTCTGATAGAGGTAAAACTCCCCATACAATATATCATAGCATCACCAAGAGTCTCTAAGATCAACTCCATCCATAGCGAGATGCTTGTGGGTCTGCTGACCAAGCGACCCCAGCTGCTGTACGGAACGGTACCGTGTACAGTACCACTCAGATACAGACCAGTACCGTCAGTTCAACTCGCCTTTGATTACTGATCCCACTGGCAACGAGTCCTCTTGTCACTACCCTCGGCCACTTCTCGGGGACATTTCTCGTTGATGACAGATCTGGGAGCAAAGTTGACCCACACGCATGAATATGCCTGTACTGGGACCTACTCCGGTCAATCAGCTCTATATGGTATATCTACGCGGTAGGTAAATCGATCTTTGATGCCCAATTCCTCATCCCCATCAGTACCTTTACTCTCATTCGCTTAGGCTTCCCCTGCTTTGGTTGGGATGTAAAGCTGTCTTTGCATCAAATATTGGTGTCTAAAGGCCGTTGCCTTGGGGATATTGCATTTTTTGGCGGGTCGATTTCAGAGATGTAGTGTAATATACCGAGTAGGGTCAGTACTCGAGAATGTAGGAGGAGCACAAACAAAATCTAGAACGCCTAGTCACCTAGTTCATGTTACATATTTACTATTCAGGTAGCTACCCGACTATAAATGGAGCAGATTAACCATGGCAAGGGTCTCTTGGGTGATATGTTAGAAGAATAGAATACTGTCCATTGCAAAATTGTTGGTTTCTCGGGCGAGAGACATGTTGAATTTACCGAGTCTCCTCCCCCGCATTACTGATCAATCAGTCCAGCGCCCGAGGCCAAGGTATATATATCACTCGGAAATTTCCTTGCTTGACTTTCTCAGGACGAGAGCAGTTGCTACGGTCATCTTCATACGAAGTATAATCAATCATGCCATTGTATGAAGTCGAACACTGTATTGCCTTGAGTAAAGCTCAGCGCGACGAGCTTGCTCAGGCCATCACCCTTCTTCATACGCGCAAATTTACCACCCCCAGCCTTTTCGTCAATGTCCGCTTCGTGGATGCAAGTAATTCCTGCAGCTATATAGGAGGAAAGGAGGTTCGTTCTTCATACATCCCTTGAGAGATTCACTGCCAAACAGTCAGCAGCGTTCGATCAATCGCATCATTGCCTATGTTCGACCCGGCGGCAATCGAACCACGGCCGATTTCGAAGAGCTCGCCCAGCGTGTCACTGATGTTTGGAATCAGATCGTTGTGCAGGGAGACCAGTCCGGAACCAAAGAAAGCCAGCTGAATCGAGTCTTCATTATGGGTACTATTACCGCGGGGATGGAAAATGGGTTTCTTTTACCACGGGTAAGCGGCGTAGACGATCCCCTCAGGAAAGATCACTTTGTAATTCACGGTCCTCGCTTACGGTGGCTGCAGGCTGGAGAGGACGCCACTTGGTTAAGAGATCATGCACCGAGGTTTGAGGAGCTGGCGAAACAGGGGGATAGTGACTTCATTGAGCTAGTGGCGGAGATGGAAAGCAGAGACGATTTATCCGCCAAGACGAAGCAGCGCATAGTATAAGGGGGTCACAGGCTCATAACTTTCTAGCCGTCTACGTATATATCACATCAGTGGGGAAGGCGACTTCTAGTTGTCCATCTGTGTTGCACTGCCAGCTGTAGTATGTTGTAGCGCAAATTACACCGCCAGGACTTCCAGTCCATCAGTATTTACACGCAGCAATGATACCAGTGGGATTTGGGTAATCATGGGGCCTCTCAACATTCCACCGAGTCTTGGAGATATATGTGATGCTGACCAAGGTTGCCATGGGGTCAAAGTAGGGGTAGTTTAGATCGACTCTCTGGCGCAGAATCACGGCCTCCAGGCCCCACTACGCCGCCCTTAGTTTCCGGTCGCGCCATTTTGATTCCGAAGTTCACATCACAAGTCGCAAGATAGTCACTGTCCTCAATTTTGCGTGAATTTTCGAATCTTTGGAGGATTCGAATGTGATCAGAGTCTAATGCGTCCGAATCGATTGGTCGAAATCCCCGAATTATCCGTCGAAGTCGATTTTCCAATCTGGCGGTCCTTGTGGCAGAGGATAATGCTGCGCGGATAGCTATGTCGTCAGATTAGAGAGCACTGATGATAATTGGAAACTTCCCACTTCGAATCCAAATTTAATAGTCATGAGTCTCGTGACCAGCCTGTCAGCTGACTCATCGCCTCCAATTTTGGCCGCAGCCAGATAATCTATGGTTTAGCGGGCGGAATGGCCGTTCGGTTGTGGATTACGTTATGTTTTCGTTGGAAATATTGATATCACCAGATATCCTAGGACCTAGTCTATCTACCCACGAGATATGAATTCAGAATATCTAGTGGTTGGTGAGATATAAGGGAATTTCTGCCATGGTTTGGTAGGGAAGTAGTGATGGTTTATAATATATACATCAACTTTGACAATTACTAACTCTATAGTCTTAAGAACGATTAATTAACCACCACCCACTTCAACCGTATAAATATTCAACTGACATTTCAGACCTAGATAAGTATATTGATAAATACCACATGTTTCATATAAACCACTAACTTTATATAAGTAGGCGCCTAAGGTAGGAGAAATTGAATTCTGAAAGCCATTGAAATTTAGACCCATAAAACCGACACAAATCAAGGCCGACTGGAAGTGCATTTAACCACGGTTGGTTAGTAGGGGCCTGCTAGCGGGGATTTGTGGTGAAAGTCGCACATCAACTCAACTGCGTCCTTTAAATAGACAATATTTCCCAACTAGACCGGTGTATACAAGATAACCAATGGGGCTGAAGGCATCCAATCACAGGCAAAGGAAAGTGACCTCCACAGCATCCTAGTAGGGTAGACCTGTTCTCCGGGAATATGGCTATCCAAGAACAATAGCTCGTATTTCAATACTCGCACGAGGAGGCGTATCCAGCGGAGCAGATGGATCGAGGAAGGCTGCATGGGGACACACTATTTCCATGATTAAGATCTGGCTCTACCAAAAGTAAAAAAAAAAAAAAAAAAAATAGAAGAAAAGAGAAAGCCTACATGTAGCCTTGGTAGAGTCATTGTCAAATATAGTGAACAGGATCACGTCGTCGACACTCATTCCTGGTTTATAAAACCATCGATGGTGTGGGCTGTGCCTGACTTCGAAACCCTCATTGCAGTAATGCGGGAAGATCACATCCGTGGCAACGAGGTCAGTCGTGGAAATACTGCGAAAATCACATACGGCCAGAGGATAGTCTTGGGATGGTGCCGTGAGGGGCCGCCAGAGACTGAAGACTGTGTTAGCAACACCATAATGGTGATATCGTAAAAGAATTGAGAGGGGTGACGGGTTATACTTAATAAAACGATGCCGCCTCCGCCGCAAGTCGGCAGCCTTGTCAGGCATTAGAACCTTTAAGTTGGTAACGCTGGCCTTCGGGGTGATATCTGCCATTATGAGAGAAATGAAGAATGATAGACAGGAAGGTAATCATGGGGATCATACCGCAGTGAACGCGCATTACTGGATCCAACCATGGCTGGGCAGGGTTTCGGTGTTTATCTTTGCATCGGAGCTAAGGAGTACGGAAGGGAATTAATAAACGGGTTCAGCTACTCGGTACCATCGGAAACCCGAGAACCTACGCTGTATGTAAAGATATAAACGAGCTCACTGCCAAAATACTCTTTTAACCACTGCTGCATTTGTGGCAAGTATTGATTGCGGATGGAATCATCGCTCCATTCGTCCATTTTCGCTGGAACCCGTAGAAAACTGAAGCCGGATGTGTCGAGAGTTAAGTGGTTCTCCGCCCCCGAGATATCATGGATGGGGACCCTGTAGGGCTGACTTAGCACATAATCTTGTCTCAGCCCATCTAGAAATGGGAGGCGGGAACGGAATGGCTTTTCAACCAGGAACCTGGGATCCCAAGCCAGGTACTCGAAGTTGTTGATTTGCTGCGCCGGAAGCTCCAACGATTTGATCTCCTCGTCAATCCGTCGCGTATTCTCTTGACGCGATAGTTCCTTTTGTTTTGCACCTTCATCAGCGACTTTGCCATGACTACTTGCCACGGGATCAGGCCGTTGTGGAGGGTCTAGTGCGTAGAATTTGCCCGCTTCTCGGAGTTTTTTGATCCAAATCTTCCACGGCTGGTCAAAGGGGCTGTCCGGCTGGAAACGCCAAGTGAGGGCGTCGGGAATCTCTTCCTCAAGCCACTTATACAGATGACTCCCGGGCAGGGGCGGCCAGTAGCTAGTCCAAGGGCGAAATAGCTCTCTCTCGCCGTCTGAAGTCTCTAAATGCTGGAAGGTCACGGCCTGATGGTGCCCCATTGTGCTGAGGAAATTGAGCTTGACTTGTGCCAGTCATCAGCGTATATTGTGCCATAACCTACCTCCTTTATTGAACCACATCTAGTGGCTCTATTTGGTTCACCGCTATTTTAAGCCCTAGTCCTGCTTCTGCCTTCTCTCTGCATGAGCTGAGACAAATATGCCGTCCGATGCACTAGTTTTCCCATCCTGGTTCTGGTTACATTCACCGTTCACTGATTTGTTTTCCTGTTTTCCTGTTTACTCCCTATGATATGGTTTGGTAAAGAAATTAGACTTTACCACATCGAATTGGAGCTTAACAACAAGGCTGATGCTGTTGTTATTCACCGCCTATGAAATAGGATTCGCCAGCTTGTATGGTACAAGAATGGTATGCCGTTTGGGCGGGCATCTCAACAACCGATCGGACGGCCTCCGTTGGACAATTGCTCCTTACCATTGCGTATCCAACACAATGATGCTTATTTCGGCGTTTATCTGCTTCCTAGGACTGAATCTGTGCACCTTGATTTATCTTACGTCCCCCAAGACGAGGCTCCCCAGGAACATTCCGGTCGTGCCACTTTATACCCTGGTCTATGATATCCTGCGTGGCCGCTCCCGGGTGGAGTTCTACAATACTCGTGTCCGACATCTGGCAGAGACAGCCGGTGCTGTTGGCATCTGGCATGATGGGCAATGGGTCGTTTTAGCTACCAAGCCCGAGTTTGTGTCGAGGGTATTCAAAAACGAGGGTCAACTCTTGGAGAAGAATGGGCTCTATCACCGCGTGCCGGGCGGAATATTCGCCTGGTTATTCGGCGAGAATATCATCGACTCTGACGGCGGACTTCATCGCTTCTTCACTCAAGTCGTGAAACCAGGCATTCTCCGACGATTTTCAATTAAATATATGAGGGTGAGATCGGCTTTGCTCGCAGAGGAACTGTACCAGCAGCAGACACAAGCACCCTCGTCGACTTCGGGGACCAGCGTGGGCGAACACATATGGCGCTGGGCAATTGCGATTTTCGGAGTGTATTTCTTGGACCTGGAATTTCACCCGTGGGATCTGGACTTTCGCCAGTATTCGATTCAGCAAATCATCATTGCGCATAACCAGTCCCCCATGGGGAGGCTGACGGGCCTTTTCCCAGTATTGGACCGGCTACCATGGCGATGGGGGACTACACAACGAACATTAACGCGATTTGGGAAAGTCGAGAACCTTGTCCTCAGCAATGTGCATGACCAGATAAGAAGAAAACCGGCGATCCCTGACCCAAAAGAATGCGATAAATTGATCCACCACCTGAACCGTGCCTATGCAGATGGCAGTTTATCTAACTTCCACTATCGCTCTAACCTCAAGCAGCTCTTTGTTGCCGGCCACGAAAATGTGGAAATGGTCGCTATATCCGCCATGCTAGAGCTGGCAAAGAATCCCGGTATCCAGCAAAATCTCTACACCGAGCTAACCCAAAGCCTGGGACCGGACTACTCGGCAGAGGATGTCGACACGCTCCCACTACTTACGTCGGTGATCTACGAGGCCCTCCGACTGTATCCACCATTGATTACATTGGCGAACCGCAGAGCCAAATCATCCATGCAGCTCGGGGACGGGATTACGGTTCCAAGGGGGACCCTGATTGCCTGGCACTCCTACGGCACACACACGGATCCCCAATACTGGGGCCCTGCAGCTATGGAATTCAGGCCAGACAGATGGGGCAGCGACTGCGCGGTGATCCAGCGGGAATTTCGGATTAGACAGGCCCGGGGCATGTACTTTCCCTTTGGATTGCACTCGCGAAGATGCCTGGGAAGCCGATTCGCTCTCATACAGCTCAAGGTAGTCCTCTGTGAGTTGGTTCGCGAGCTAGAGTGGGATTTACCTCGAGATTACCAGACATCATTGAGTACGGTATGATGAATAGTCTGTTAACCCACCGAGTTTCCCCCTTTTTTTTTTTTCCATTTCCATTATCTTGTTTTGTAAAATGCCTGGGATGCACACTAACTTTGCGCCAGGGAACACTACTTGCACCGAAAGACTGCCAGCTTGTTATTCGCAAACGCAGTGAGGGGGCGGAACGCATGCACGCAAGCTTGACTACGAAGTAAATGACCTTCTGTGGGTACACTTTGGGACACAATCTTACGGTATCGCTAGGAAAGGCCAATGGGGATAGGCAATCATCGAGCAGGACTTCTGAAGTTTATAAGATAGAAAACGATGTCAGCCTACATTCAGACTATTGGATGGCGCTGTACTCGCTCACCGCCACTTTTTCTTTTCCACATATCTTTTCCTTCTTTAGGAAATATTACATGGCGATGAGATATACATCCAAGCAGCGCCTAGATTTACCCCCTTGGTGATATGATACCGCAATGACTCGTAGTTATGACTGGTAAGGTGAGATTTCTCTGTCTCAGTGGGACTGGCATTAGCGCAATCCCCGTGCAGGCGCAAAGCTTGATGCTTACGAGAAAGATGCAGCCAGAATCCAAGTTGCTCCGTCTGGGGACTGTCGTAGTCGGGGCTGCACTTGGGGTGTCCCTAGCGTCTGTTTATTGCGAGACCTACGACGAGTGATAGTGGGAGCGCACTCCCGAAGCGGCATAGGATGCTTTTGATTATCTAGACCGGCCTGGTTTCAAACAAGAGCGCTTTCCATGCATCCTGGAATTCTTCCAAGGCGTGGTGATAGCAGTCATGTCTAACTGCCTTGAGGGATATGAGCTTCCGTGATGATGCAATTGAGTAATAGACAATTGATGCCCCGCTCGTCCACGCATTTACCTCAAAGAAGTCCTATTATGAGCAGTCGTCTTCCGCACGGAAGCTGTTTAAGCGGCGGAGCCAACTGGTGTTCTAGCATATTTAGCGATTTCATATACTGCGGGATCTGACGCTGGGATGTCAGGTAGTCAAGGTATATGGAGGAAATGACCAGACGGACTTCTTTCCAGAGACCTCAGAGTGGGGGCACCGAAGCTGAAAGGATTTTCTCGAAGCGGTGAAGATGCAGGAATGACGTGGTTCATGGAGTGTTCAAGGTAGCTGAAATCCCCATGAAATATGTCCGCCGGGGGGGGGGGAATAAGGAGGGTTAAGTGGTGGGCGAAGAATTGACATCCAGCGTAGGTCCTGTTCATACCATACATAGGAAATTGCGTGTCAGTGATAAATCAATTTCCAATCTGGAGCTCCTACCTCTAGAATGGCCTATTCAGAGTCCTCCATTGCCGTCATTGGTAGCGCATGTCGCCTCCCTGGGGGCGTGAATTCCGCAAGTGGCTTCTGGAAGATATTGAAAGAGACACCCAATCTCGTTCAACGCATTCCCTCCGACAGAGTCAGCCTTGGTAGGCACTATCACCAGGATGGCAGCCACCACGGAACACTGAATACAACCGACTCGTACCTCTTAACTGAGGACGTTGGGCACTTTGACGCTGACTTCTTCGGAATCTCGCCTGCAGAGGCGGACTCGATCGATCCACAAGGTAGATTGCTTTTAGAAGTCGTCTACGAGGCAATTGAAAATGCCGGAATGCCCATGGAGCTCCTCAATGGCTCTGACACAGCTGTATACGTCGGCCAAATGTGTCGAGATTACTACTCGATGCGAGATAGGGACCTAAATACCATTCCAACATACCATCTGACCGGTGCAGCGCCCAACAACACTGCGAACAGAGTATCGTATTTCTTCAACTGGCACGGACCGTCGCTCTGCCTTGATACCGCGTGCTCGTCAAGTCTCGTAGCCGTCCACGAGGCCATACAGCAGCTCCGGTCGGGCGGTTCCAGGGTGGCCGTTGCCGCTGGGACGAACCTCACCATCGACCCGACGATGTACGTGGCTCTGAGTAAACTTCATATGCTCTCTCCAACAGCACGGTGTCGCATGTGGGACTCAAAGGCAGACGGATACGCGCGCGGGGAGGCTGTTGTGGCCGTAGTCTTAAAGACACTTGCGAATGCGCTGCAGGATGGAGACTCAATCGAATGCGTTATCCGGGAAACCGGAGTGAATCAAGATGGCCGCACGGCGGGTATCACAATGCCCAGCGCGAGGGCCCAGGCTGCTCTTATCCGGGACACCTACCGACGGGCAGGGCTCGATCCGGAGTCTCCTTGGGACCGGTGCCAGCTGTTTGAAGCCCATGGCACGGGGACCCAGGCTGGTGACCCACAGGAGGCTGAGGCAATCGCGACAGCTTTCTTTGGCAGTGGAAGCCACTCAAGCGACGAGAAGCTATCCGTGGGAAGTGTGAAAACGCTAATCGGTCACACTGAGGGCAGCGCGGGGATTGCCGGGTTGTTGAAGGTCAGCCTGGCACTGCAGCATGCGGTGATGACCCCAAACCTTCATTTCGAGAAGTTGAATCCGAAGATTGAGCCATTCTACTCCCACCTGCGTATCCCACTGGGAGTAGAGCCATGGCCCGAGGTACGTGATGGACAGCCCCGACGAGCGAGCGTCAACAGTTTCGGTAGGCGATACCCTTCTCCAGACATGTAGTGTAGAGGTTTGTTAATGTGTTGAATACAGGATTTGGTGGTACAAATGCGCATGCTATCGTGGAATCCACTGACCATCTCCCGACCCCTAAGAGCGAGCACCACCCGGGGACGCAGAATTTGATACCATTTACCTTCTCTGCAAATAGCGACAGGGGATTGACCAGAATTATTCAATCATACCTCAAACACCTCAAGGAGCACCCCTCAATTTGTCCTTTTGACCTCTCGTACACCCTCAGCTGCCGCCGCTCAGCGTTGCCGGTAAAAGTGGCCTGGCCAGCATCAGACATTGAAACATTGTGTTTACGCATGGAGGAGTGGCTAGCAGGTGCAACAAAGGAAGGGATTGAGAATTGTGGCACCCGTTCGAAGACCGGGCAGGTATCCATACTGGGGATATTCACCGGCCAGGGAGCTCAATGGAGTGGAATGGGGTGTGAGCTTGTCAAATCGTATCTGCCTGCGCAGCACACATTGAAACGACTAGACGAATCTCTTCAGTCTCTCCCCGAGGATAGCCGTCCTCAATGGACTATACTCAATGCGCTCATGTCAACCACCGACGATGAGCACATGATGAGACCGGCGTTCTCCCAGACGTTATGCACTGCGGTCCAGATAGTATTAGTTGACTTACTACGGGCAGCTGGGGTCATCTTTGCAGGGCTTGTTGGCCATTCGTCGGGGGAAATCGCAGCAGCTTACGCGGGCGGGTTTCTCAACGCGAGTGACTGTATCCGAATTGCGTACTATCGCGGGCTCTGTGTTGAGAAGAGTGCATGTACGTCCGGTCAACGGGGCGCTATGCTGGCAGTAGGGACATGCCCCGAGGAAGCCATGGCTAAATGTGAGTCCAACGAGTTCGCCGGTCGGGTCCAGGTAGCAGCGAGGAACTCGTCGTCCAGTGTGACGCTGTCTGGAGATCGTGATGCGATCGTTTCCCTCCAGGAGTTCTACGCAAATCAAGGGACATTTGCGCGTTTGCTGAAAGTAAACACGGCTTACCACTCCTCCCATATGCATCATTGTGCGGGTGAATACCGCAGGGTGCTGGAAAGATGTCGAATTCAGCCCCAAGCCACGGACAGGGAAGGTGGCTCGTGGATTTCGAGTGTCTACTCGAGCACGATCATGCAACCGGGAGACAAACTACGGGCGGACTACTGGGTTGACAACATGATCAACCCTGTTTTGTTCTCCCAAGCTCTACGTACGGCCATCCAAACGCGCGAACCGTACCACTTCGTCCTCGAGGTTGGGCCCCATCCAGCCCTGAAAGGTCCGGTCTTAGAAACATTCCAAGATGCTACAGGGGCATCTTTACCATTTTCAGGCACTTTATACCGGGGCAAGGATGACTGTAAAGCACTATCAGATACCTTCTGCAAGATATGGACCACCCTTGGTGAATTGGGCGTAAGCTTCCCAGCACTCACACAGAAGACAGGGCACGGACGTACCCTAAAGGACCTTCCCTCATACCCTTGGAACCACAACCGCAGATTCTGGTCTGAGAGTAGGATATCAAATTTCGTTCGAACAGATGACCATCCGCGACACGAGCTGCTAGGTGTCCTCACTGCCGATAGTAGTCCTGACGAGTGGTGCTGGCGTAATGTGTTACATCCGAGAGAGTTACCTTGGTTGTCAGGTCATACTCTCCAGGGCGAAATGGTTTTCCCTGCTGCCGGTTACATGGTCCAGGCGGTTGAGGGTGCGATGCAGCTTGCCCAGGGGCAGGAAGTGTACTCTTTGGAGATAAGAGATCTCAAGGTCCAACGTGCCACCGTTATCGACGGGAAGGCCGGGACGGAGACGTTGGTCCGCATAAGCAGTGTACGACAAACTGGGACAGCTCTGCAATGTCGTTTCACTAGCCATTCGGCCATGGGCCGAGCGGGTGGAAGCCTGGGGTTGGCTGCATCGGGGGAGGTGGAAATTCGCTTCATGGAGAGCGAACCACCTCCCGAGCCACGACGTAAGCTACCTGACCCCCCAAACACCAATTTGCAGCAGCTCGATCTTTCGTTCCTTTATGATGAATTAGCCCGGGTGGGATATGCCTACAGCGGCTTGTTCCAGGGTTGGTCCTCACTGTGGCGCGCATCTGGTGTAGCTACAGGAACCCTTCAGCAGCCCCCTGACACCACCTGGTTGCTTCACCCTGCAATGGTTGATACGGCTCTGCAGTCAATCTTTGCCGCATGGAGCTCACCAGGAGATGGAGAGATGTGGACCCTCTTTATGCCCACCTCAGTTGCTCGGGTTCTGGTATTTCCCTCGCAGTGTGGACGGAATGCGTCAGAGGAGCCTCAGGTTCTTACGGTAATAGAGCCGAGTTCATCGCCACGCAAAATCGTGGCTGACGTTACTGTAGCTTCTGCTGATGCGAAGATTCTTTTCGAGGCACAAGCGCTAGAAATAGTGCCCGTGACTGGAGCCACTAAAGACCATGATCGCACTTTGTTTATGGAAACCGAATGGGTCCCACTGACTCCTGACTGTGATGCGTCCACTGTGTCTCCTCACGCCTCGATTATTCGTGTCATACAGCAGGTGACACATCGTTGGCCTCACCTGGCCATACTAGAACTGGGCGGCGACGCTGAACCCCTTGTGGAATTGTTGGATATCCCATACGCCTCATATACGTACGCTAGCCCGGGTCTGGATTACAACCAGCGAACAATAAGATCGCTAAACAAGCCAGTGGCAATGCGAACTTATCAGCTCGATCAGGACCTTGATAAGCAGGGCTTTGAGGCCAGCCGTTACCAGCTCGTGATTGCGAGCGACCTATTCTCTACAGGCAGGGTATCGGTCCAAGCACTGGCAAATATTCGCCGTATAACTATGCCAGGTGGATACCTAGTTTTCACAGCGAACATAGGCCCAGATGACTCAAACGACTGGAAAACAATTCTTCAGACGGCTGGGTTCTCCGGTGTTGATGCAGATTCGGGTACGTGTGATGATTTGCAACAGCCCACTACCACTATTGTGTCGCAAGCAGTCGACCTCGACATTGCTCAGCTACGGCATCCACTAGATGGGGAACCTTTCCCTCTGATCGACAATATAGTCCTTTTAGGCGGCCAGGTGGATGTGGCAGAGCAATTCATGTCCATATTACACCCGTGGTGTCCCGGAATAACACACATTCCTTCTCTCAACGATATCAGCCAGGACAGTCTACCAAGGCCATGCACACTTCTGAATCTACTTGATCTGGCAACACCTGTTTTCCACTCCATAGACTACATCCTCTGGGACAATCTCAAGACGGTCATGGGCGCCTCGACCGAGGTATTATGGGTGACGCAAGGCTACCAACAAGAACAACCATATGCATCGCTTTCAGTGGGTTTTATTCGCTCCCTGGTTTATGAGAAGCCCGACGTCCGGTTTCAGTTGCTCGACCTAGATCCCAGAATGGACATTGATTACGCCCTCGTTTCATCACAACTCCTGCAGCTCTCACTATTCCGGAGGGTGCGTCAGCGAGTTGAGCGGGATGAGTTGCTTTGGATCCATGAAGCGGAGGTAGCCCTGCGCGGTGGGCGTCTGTATGTGCCGCGGGTTGTGCCACAGAAAGAGCTCAACGCGAGAATCAATTCCTTGCGGCGCGCAGTCACTCAAGCTTCTCGTAAAGAAGAAGGATACTTTCAAGTGAAATGGGACAATGGGTCGTATTCCTGGCACAGTAGTGGACCGTTGCGCCATTCCCTGCCATTCCAGGGGGACATTACCGTCAAGGTACAGTTTTCTACCCTCTTCTCGTTGCCCATGTCGGAAGGTCGATTATACCTTATGTTCGGAGAACACACAGAAAGCAAACAGTGGGGGTTTGTCGCATCACCACGGTTGTCGTCTATCGTGCACCCTCGACCCGGATGGTGGTGGCCGTTATCCCACAGTCCAACTTCCACCGAGGGACTCCACCTGCTCTCACTGGTCGCCATGCAACTAGCGGCCAGCCATATTGTCGGGTTGGCTAGGCAAGGGGCAACTATCGTGGCCCTTGATCCTCCCAGGGCTCTCGCGAGCTGCCTCAATATCTTAGCTCGCCGCAGGTGTTGTAGGGTGGTTTGTCTCACAAGCAGGTCCGGCGGAAGTGAGGCAGGGATTATGATCGACCATACTTGGTCATCTCGCCAGATCAAGGAGTGCATTCCTCTGGGAGCTTCACTCTACGTGGACCTCTGCACAGGTAACGAAAGGCTCAGTAATGCCGTTGCGGTGGTCTTGCCGGAGTACTGCCAGCGAGTCAGCATGCTCAGTGTATTTTCACGCGAGAGCGTGCTGTATAATCACAATTCCACCACTCACATCACAGAAATACAGGATGCTGTTCACTCTGCACTCCAGATGATTGAATCAGACGTCGACGGGGATGGGATGCTGCCCATCCTATCTCTCGATGACCTCAGTACTCCCGGCAGCATGCGCTTCTCATGCAGTATCATCAACTGGGAGGCGAGCAAGCCATCTGTCGTCCACATTCAGCCGGCTGATACAATGGCTACATTGAGTCCGGGCAAGTCATATTGGCTTGTAGGATTATCTCCGGATATGGCACGGTCGCTGGCCGAGTGGCTCATCGGGCATGGAGCCAGATGTGTGATTCTTACAAGCCGTCGTATTGAACACAGCCCAAATTGGACCCAGGAATATGAATCTCGGGGGATTCGCATCGTTTGCATTCCCAGGTAGGGCATTCACACTCCTCTGTTTGAACAGCCATTGAGCGGAAATGCTAACACCATATGGCCGTAGCGACATTACGAGACTCGACCATCTACAGGATGCCCACCGTCTGATTCAAACTAGCTGCCCTCCAATTGCCGGTGTGGTAATTGGCGCCGTCATTCTTCAGGACAAGCTATTTGAAAACTGCGACCTGGAGAGCTTCGAAGCCGTCCTAGCTCCCAAAGTCTCCGGTATCAACAACCTGGACCAAATCTTCCACTCGCAATCGCTAGAGTTCTTCGTTGCCTTCTCCTCCCTCTCCGCCACACTAGGAAATGCTGGCCAAACGGCCTACGCAGCAGCAAACACCTTTATGAAAGCCATCATCGCTTGCAGGCGAGCCCGCGGCGTCTCCGGCTCCATAATGGATATTTCAAGGGTAGTCGGTGTAGGCGGCCTACGAAGAGCATTTGAAGCCTCTACAAGAGGCGACTTGCAAATGGAGCGTTTAAAGCGAAAAATGGCACCTATGTCTGAAGGAGATCTGCACCAAATGTTCGCCGAGGCGATCCTAGCCGGTCGGCCCAGTTCGAAACAAAACCCAGAGTTAATTGCTGGTGTCATGACATACACAGACAGAGCAGTGTTTCAGGATAGCCTCCGTGGAAACCCTCGTTTCCTTCACTTCCTAGTACCTACAAGCGGGGATGCTGCTGATGAGACACGGTTAGGGCGCGAAGGACGGAGCATCCGGCGCATTCTGACCGGAGGGGTGTCTCCAGAGAGTGTGAGGTCTGAAATTCAGCGTACGTTTCTTCGACCCAGGCCCTATCTTAACGGTGGCACTAGTTTGAATTACTAATTGCTGTTTCTAGTGGAGTTAATCGAGCATGTGAGGAGGACCCTGAGACTGGGTGGTGAAATTTATGTGGACGAAACGAAGCCCCTGGTGGAGCTGGGTGTCGATTCCTTTACGGCTCTCGATATTAGTAAATGGATTCAGCATAATTTGAGCCTGGATATGCCCGTCATGAAGATATTGGGAGGATTATCGGTGGCGGAGGTCGTGAGCGAAGTTATCGGGGGGATTTCGGCCTGACCACCAGAATATATATTTTACCCCCAGACTGCAGATAGTTAAGCGGGTTATTTGCGCATATACCAAGCAGAGAAAGGATGGTGATTAAACAATTTAAAAATGGAGATCGCTTCCCTTTCGAACTCCCTTTCGCGAAAGTAATCTATGGTGGACATTCATTTGGATCGATGATCGGTTAAAACCTGGTCGCGATCCACCCGGACAGGGTTGATGCATTATTCGTGACCGGGTTCTCTATCCCAGATATCTCCTCCTCAGATTTGGTGCCGGTGTCTCGCTTAACACTTGGTAGATATTCCGGCTTGAGTGACGGATAACGTGTAAGCTCGTCGCCTGCCGGGCGAAGGGCGAGTTTCTTTGGCTCGAACGGAGCATTCGACCCGGAGATTGCGCTGATGGACTTTGAGATGCAGGACACGGTGGCTGCCGGGGAGTTTCTCGTAGGAAAGAATGCACCGCCCGTCCATTACGCAGGGCCAGTGGCCGTGATGGTGGGTGACCAGGACGTGGCGAAGTGCGCGGCCGGATTTTGTGGAAACGCGTCGCACTTTCAACCCGCTGTTGTTCGGCAGCAACTACGAAGACCCTCGAATTTCTCGTGCTATGTTCTCCAACATGTTGGGCACGCTATCAATCTCCATTACGCAGCTCCCCAAGCCTATCGAGTTGCTTGCGAGTGGTTACAGCTACATGGATTCTAGGCTCATAAGAAAATTCCAGGCGTGAAGCGACTATTGATTCGAAGCTGACTGCACGGGCGTGATAGGGAAAGCCTTTAGAAATCAGTATCCTCAGTTTGTTATTGGCGTGGAACTGTGCATTCCTCGTCAAGGCTCAAAACCAGCCGCGACATCCCCATCTCCATCGGCGATGAAATGCTGCATATTCTCAGCCGCCGGTCTGCCATGGCGATGAGGGCCTTGAAATCGCTGGCTGTTCTTTCTCTCCCATTGAATGTCGCCCACATTTGCATATCAGCAGCACTTCATAGCGCAGTTAGTCAACCCAAATAAACACAGTCGGGAACAAAAAGATAGTCTCCCTTTGACCAAGCGAGGATAACTCACCGTAGGAACCTGCCCTTGAAGACCGCGGTAGTGCCCGCTTCCGGGGCCACTTTGTCAAAAATGATAATACGATCGCCCGGTTTCATAGCTGGAGTGATGGCGCGGAGGATCTTACACGCATATTTGTCGCTCCAGTCATGGAGCACCTTGCATAGTAGGAAAATGATCGTCTTGCTGGGATCTCCATGCTGCAAGTCAAACATATCATGCACCTGGAATCGAATCCGATGACTTAACTCCGCGGGGAGGGTTTTCTCGCCTTGCCGGCATATGTGCTCAAGGTCCTGGATTATGAAGTCCAGCTCGGGGAAGCATTTGGCTAGCCCAATGCTTATTCCACCTGTATGGCCTCCAATCTGTAAAGAACAAAACAAGGGAAGACTTGTGAGATCAACCAAAACAAAAAGGCATGTGTGGATATAGCGGCACTCACATCGATGACCGTGGCCGGAGCCCCAGCAGCCCAATCGGAGCCATTCAACGGTAGCCTTCTAATACCGAGATCTGCTGGGGCAAGATACGCGAACCCATCCAGAAAGTTTTTCCTGACTCTCTCATTTTGCCCCATGAACTCCCAGAAGGTTGCTTGGGTCCCTTCTGCCGCGTTGAGCCCTGTTTCGGTCGGCTCTTCGCTTGATCCCCATTTGGCCAACGCGTCTGTGATATGCACACTCCACACGAATGCGTGTTCGAAATAGAGACCAACGAAGCCGCGGAACTTCTCGTCCGTGGCCATTAAATACGAAAGCCGTGAGTGGACGATTCGACCCGGTGCCAACTCGCGGAAAATTGCGTTCGAGATAAGATGATTTATCGTGCGGGACAAGGTATCTGTGTCGAACCCGGTAATCTCGGCGAGGGCAGTGTAAGTGGTATGGTCCCTCAAGGGAACGGCTTGGGCAAGGTCAAAGTTGTATGCGATTCGCAGCGCAGAGGCTGTGAGCGCCTGGAGAGGCAGCCTTAGATCTCCCTGTATCCGCTCCGGATGGTATAACTGGACAACCTACCTGGAAGCTGAGATCTAGGATCGTCTCTTCGGGCGACATGCAGCGCTGAAGCAGTGTGGATGCCGCTTCTAAGAGCATGTCTCGGGCGCGGTGGAATGATTCATTTTCCGCCGATAGTGGTGGAATGCCCGACGACGCAGGATCGAACGAGAGGCTCGAATGCTGTTGCGCTAGAAAATCACTCATATACTGCGCCGACTGCTGGACCGTTTCAGAAAGCTGAAGAAGATCCATTACGCTGTTGGGTTGAGTGGATGGTTCGGCTTTCGTCAATCGTGAGTACCCCGACACATACGATCCTGTTTAACATCAGTAATCAATGGTACGCAAAGCCCTAAAGGGGGCTGAAAACAACCTAGGGTGTAGGTGATTTGAAGGGGTATTCTTCGTATACCCGATTAGGCCCCAATCCAAGGAGGACTTTGGCAACTGAGGACACTGACGCTGGTTTCAGTGCGCATTCGCCCACGCCTGATTCCTTGGCGAGGAAGTACCCAACATGGAGGAGGGATGATCGACCACGAATGACGATCTCGCAGTGAGGGATTAAACTGCTGTCAGGCAGAAGTGCAGGTTGATGGCGGAGCCGCTCCACTGCACTAATGCGATAAGACCCGACAGGGTCTTGCATAAGCTCCAGTGAATGGATACAGAATGACCTTATACCATTTTATTGGGTTCACCCTTGCTTCTCAACAAGGCAACTGACTCTCAACCTCCCCTCACTACAAACGGGCCAGTATCAGAATGCTCCATTACGAAGGCCCGAGCCCATGGAAGCGTCCGTAGAGGGGTGCTACATCACCCAGTAGGCATGCGCCTGACAGGTACGGTGAGCATATATGAGCTCAAGGAATGTTTATCGACTAACCTTTGAGGATAAAGGACACGAGTGGCGCTGGTCCAATATCCCAGACATTTATGATCTAAGGGCTCTGAAGATGTCGTGCCCTTTGACAAGCAGATTCAAAGACGTGGACTGTGCCAATACAGACAGCGAACTTGATCGCCCTTGGACTCGACACTGGCCACCCCAACCAGGAAGTCCACTTTACCATTGGCTTCAGGAAGAGCTTCCTCAGGTCCTGACATACGAGTTCGACCCCGAGCGCCTATTTAACCAGCCATGGAAAGCTTGGATACGCCAATTGATACAAAAAGAGTGTCCCGCCATACCTGTCCCCACACATGATACTGCTCCCAACAGCGAGAAGGAGCGGGAGGTCGAGCCCTCCGATTCAAGGGGACAGGAGGAGAGAGAAAGAGAGGCCCGTGTAACGTGCATTGTGGAGAAGATCGAATCCCTCGGCCTTCGCAAATACCGGATGCCAAAATTGGATTACTTGGCCGACCATCCTCTCCTTTCAGTTCGAAAGCCCTTCCGCTCAGTGCTCCCGTTTCTCGATAAATTGAAGAACGACTATGTCCAGCACCAGGCAAGCCACGATGTTCCAGTCTACGATGTAACTGGTTTCGAGGATCACTTCACACTTGCCGACAGTGGATTCGCTTTCACGAAGGTTCCGGTTGATATTTCGGAGTGGACCGACGAGTGTATTCACCAAATCTACCTCCCCCTGATGGAGACTTACCTGCGCGAACACTTTGGCAGCTCTTTCGTGCACATATTTTCCTACAATGTCCGTATATTCTGCTCACGGGCGACTCACAGTGCTCGATCAAAATTGATATCATGAAGACTAACGGTTGTATGGATCGTAGTTCCGCTGCGAAGATAAAACACGACAGCCACCGCAACCTTGGCTTTCACCCCTGACATATGTTCACTCGGGTAACTAATCACCCTAACAACATCGTCGAGCCCTAGCCAGGCCCATCGCCACCTAACTGATGCATTCTAGATTTTACGAACGCCTCGAGCGTGACCAATCTCAAGCTCCTTCTACCAGACCGCGCGGATGAGATTCTGCAGTCTCGTCACCGCTACATCGGGTACGTTTTCAGTGAGGGCTCATTGGGAAATTCATAGGCTGAGCGAGATCCGTTTCTGTAGTATCTGGCGCCCGCTCACGGCGCCTCATCAGGACTACCCCCTCGCCGTCTGTGATTACGGGAGTGTCAGCACCAGCGATTTAATCAAAGAAGACCTCGTGTTTCCTCACTACTGCCACGAAAGCTACCAATTCAAATCCAGCCCACACCACCAGTGGTTCTTCAAAAGGGGGATGGGCGTGGATGATGTGATCGTAATGAAACTGTTTGATTCTGACGCGTCCGAGTCTCAATGTAAGTCACAACCCACCCGGAGTGAATTTGGTTGAATTGAGCTCACTTAGGATAATATCAGTCTGCCCACATTCGGCATTTTTGGATCCAACGGTGCCTGCGGGTACACCACACCGGGCAAGCATTGAGACCAGGGCTATTGTGGTGGGGTGAGCACACCTAGAGCTAGGGTGGGTGGTTACGTGCCCTGCTTCTGACCTTGCTGAAACAAACGCATACCATCGAGATACGTATTAGATTGACCAAGTAGCGGTGAGAAAAGTACGCCTGATGGGGTGGAGTATAGATTGACCTGGAAGTAGGACGGCATAGGTTTTTGGAAGTAATGACGGGGAGTAAGCTTAGGGCTCTGTCGATACTTTTTTGTAAACCATATCTTGGGATTCTTGAATCAAAGACTTTATCCCCAGTATTATTCGCTGAAAATAATCGTCGTTAACCAACTCTCGTATTCTACTACCTGAGATCTTTTAGGATCTAAATTGGATGTTTATTGTTGGATTAAACCTTGATCTCCACCGATGTGACACTGCAGACTGCGAGAAGCTCGCTACACCACTAAGGTGCACAGCTTCGTACGCGTGGCCTCGAGCCGACTAATCGAGGTTGACCGGATCATAGTTAGAGCCTCCTTCATTCCATTTCTGCGCTCTTTTCTTTTTTTTTTTTCCTTTGTCTTTCCCTCTTCATCTTCATCGGGTACCTTGGCTCACAGACATCGGGCTATCCCGGATCCGTGCAAATAGGGGAACGGAATAAGAATAGAGGTGTTACTGCTCATAAAGGTGTTATGGGCGAAGCAAGAAGATGTTATTACTGGCCTTGTGTATCGTGCTGGTGGCTCTCCTTTCGGTGTACTATACACGTATTCCACCCAATTTCCCTCGAAATATCCCAGTCATCCCATTGACGATCGTGATCTGGGATGCCATACGTGGAACTTCACGGGCGGACTTTTATAACAAGCGCATCCGCACATTGATACAGAAACATGGAGCGGTCGGGATCTGGCAGGATGGTGAATGGACAATACTAGTCGTTCGGCCGGCATACTTAGTCCAGCTCTTGAAGGATCCCCACGGCACATTGATGAAATCAGGTTCATATCACAGGATTTCGACGAGTGGTGCCGCCCAGCTCTTTGGCGAAAATATCATCGACTCCCACGGTGACCTGCATGACCAGTTCCAGAGAATCCTGAAGCCTGCTATACAGCGACCGTTCACTCTCGATGGTATGAAGATGGAATCTACGCGCCTTGTGCGGGCTCTTTGGCGGCAGCAGGAATCTCATGAAGATGGGTCCGCGGTGGATATCAGGCCTCTGGTCTGGAGCTGGGCTGTCTCGATTTATGGAGACTACTTCTTAGATATGAAGTTGGATGGGTTGGAATATCATACAGCTGCCATCCACCAAATCGTTGGGCGACAGGGGAGACACGCTATTGGGCGAATGAGGCGTATATTCCCGTTTCTTGACTTGCTGCCCTGGAAATGGCCAGCTGTGGAGGAACTCTTTAAGAATATTCATAACCTGGAAACAGCACTTCTTGACTGTATTGACTGTCGACTACAAACCGCACACTCGCCCACCGATGGCGACAAGGTGATATACCGGTTAAGCCAAGCGCTGGAACACAATCAAATATCAGATTTCCATTATCGTTCCAATGTCAAGCAATTATTCGTGGCCGGCCATGAAAACGTTGAAAGTGCTGTAAGCGCCTCTCTAGTTGAACTGGCAAAGAATCAAGGGATCCAACACGCTCTGCATTTGGAAATCAAAGCTCTCCCGTACGACTATTCGTCTTATGACCTGGACCAACTACCGCTGTTGACAGCTGTGGTTTATGAGACACTCCGACTTTACCCTCCACTTGGTACACTTACGAATCGCAGAGCAACTAAGCCAACATGGCTCGGCCCAGATCTGTGCACCCCAGCTGGTATTCTAGTCGGATGGCATGCCTATGGCGTTCAAACTGACCCCTCAGTCTGGGGCCCAGATGCAAGTGAGTTTGATCCTTACCGGTGGGGATCCAACATCGGGACAGTCAATGAGCGTTTCAGAATATGTCAGGTGAAAGGGACATACATTCCCTTCGGTTTATATTCTCGCAAGTGCTTGGGGGTGAAGTTTGCTATTACTCAGATGAAGGTCGGGCTTGTTGAGCTTAGTCGCAGATTGGTGTGGAGGTCTCCTGCTGATCATCGATTTTCGTATAGCAAGGTGAGAAGCGATAATTGTTACTCGATTAAATCGTATCACACTGACGAACTGAAAGGCACCCCTAATCTCTCCCGCAAACTGTAGATTGTTGTTCGATCAAAGGCCTTCTCCCAACCACCTTTGCTAATGGTGTGCCGGTCAGGCTTTGAGATATTTGGGCATAAGGCAGGTTTGAGGTCGATACCACAGGGAGGACTGTAAGGCGCACAGTAGAATGTGCAGTGTGACAAAGCCTTGGATGCATGGAAACCATATGTATCCCCGAATGTATGTAAATTATATCCCTAGAGAACAAAAGCCAGGTTGAGTACGCGTAAGTCGTGATACTCAAACCGGTCCTTGGACATGAAACAAAATCTACCACAATGTGGCCGCCCCCCCAGATAGGCACATGCCTAATATGACTAGATCACAACTCTCTGAACGATAGCTGCTGCTGAAGGAGATCGCGCACCTGGTCTTCCATGGGACGAAATGACAAGCCCAAGCATTTCTCCGCCTGACTGGTATCAACAGTATAGTTCTCCCAGTCTCTGGGTTGCAACTTCAACTTCATGGTGGGAAACTCCTCCCTCACAAATTTACAAACATCGCTCCAAGAACGGCGCTTTCCTGACAGCAGAAAACCAGAAACACCAGGGGCAGCGTAGCCCAATGCCCTGATGTGTGCTTTTGCAACGTCCTCAATGTGGGCGCCTAAAAACTGGCCTCCCTTGGGATGTTCGGACATTAGTGTAAAGAATAGCAATGCGTTTGTTCCAGCAAGCTCAGAGGCTGACTGTTGAAGCCGATTGGGGCCGAAGACAAAAGTCGGATAAAGCATAATGATATTGAAATGTGGATCGTGATCGCTCGCAAATTCGAGCGTTGCTCTGTGAGCTGCCAACTTACCCGCTCTATACTGGGCCCTAGGGTCAAGGCTGGGGATTAAGGCAGGATCAATCGCTTCGTCAAGCTCGGTTTGCTCTGTTACTCCGCGGTCAGTCTCCTACTTCTCCGCTACTAAAATTCGAATACGAACCGGAGACTACTAGTCCGTCGCGACGATGATCGCCGGGGATCAAAGCAAGGGCCGAGGAGGTAAGCACAACCCGCTTGATGGTATTCACCTGCAATGCAGCACTTAGAATTGATTTTGTCCCCCGAACCGCGGGTGTATAGATATCGCCTCCTGCGAAGGCGAGAGGCGAGGCAACGTGAATGACGTATGTTGCGCCGTGCAAGAACCGGTCAAAGCACCCGGGCACCGTAATATCTGGCACTACCACGAATTCTACTCGATCCGAGTGTCCCGATAGGGCCTGTTGCAACTTTGGGATACTGCCATGCTCACGAACTGAAAGTCTGAGCCGGTAGCCGGCGTGCAGGGCTTGAAATGCCACCTCGAAGCCGATGAAACCGCTGGCTCCTGTGATGAAGATGAGGGGAAGCACTTCCATTGTTGACCTTGGGCAACGATGGTGTGAGCAGATTTACTTCGTGTAATGAGGAACGGACTTAGTTGGCAGTGGTGTCGCATAAGGAGTTCAGCGGGTATGCCTAACCCTCTGACCCACTGACCGCTTCTTGGGCCCAATAATTTGGCGGTAAGGAGGTCCTATCATGGACATATAGAGCTTTTGACACTATTGGATGATGGATATGCAGTGTACAACTAGTGCGGAAGCCACATCATACTGCAGCCTGCAGGATACCCTTTGCTCAAACGAGAGGCCCAGCATGCATATGAATGTAATCGGCAGTATCAAGGGTATATATTTGTGCATTCTATATTGAAATACGTCTGATAAGCTAACAGCATATGGTTCCTGACCCAACAGACATGGTAGCCACCCAAGCCTTCGACTTCCTTCCTCTGCAGAACAAATTCGAGGCTCCGGACCTCGTTCGACCATGGATGAGCTACTGGCCACCCCAGCCAGGCAGCGCAGTGTACGAATGGTTTAGGGCAGAGTTCCCTGAAGCCCTTGAATGGTCCTTTAACCCGGATAAACCATTCGATAGACCCATGAAAGGTTGGAAGCAAAAGGCAAGAACCCTGGGAAAGGACTGCGCAGTAGATCTGTTGCCGCCTACGGAAATACCCACAGCCTCGATGATTGCGCCTGACCTGAAACGTACCCCGGTTAACGACCAAGAAGAGGAGCTAGAACAGCGGACGAGATGCAACGAGATTGACCAAAAGTTGAGAGTCTTGGGCCTCCCATCGTGCGAAGTGACAGGATTTAACTATCTCGACTGGAGCCCTAAGTACCAGATTGAAAAGCCGTTCCACTCACGTCTCCCCGTGCTCGACTGCCTGTCTAGAAGCAATGTGGCGACAAAGGCTTACACTGTTCCCGTCTATAATATAGCTGGGTTCGAAGGCTATTTTTCGCTGGCCATCTCGGGGTTCCAGTTCATAGTTTGTCCTAGTGGTATGGTCGAGTGGTCTGACGCGGAGGTACAACGATTGTATCTACCTCGCATGAGGCTCTGGCTACAAGAACATTTCAAAGCCAGCTTCGTGTACATCTACTCGTACAACGTCTGTACGCCCATCGTCATCCCCAACCAGCCTAGCTAACCTAGATGACCCAGCTACGTTGTGAGGACCCTAAACGATCACCGTCCGTCGACTGGACCGCACCGGTTCCGTTTGCTCACTGTGGTAATGAGAACTTCCAACATCCTGCAATACCAGGGGATCATACCGCTCACAATTGGGCTTGTGCAGATGTGACCCCGGAGGCTATATATACGCACCTGAAGCTTTACCTACCCGGAAAGGCAGACGAAATCAGAACAAAACGCCATCGTTTCGTCAAGTAAGTGTTCAAGACCCGCTTTCTCTCGCCTCCGATGAGCCTAAAGAATCGCTTTAGTATATGGAGACCTCTCACCGGTCCACATCAAGACATGCCTTTAGCCGTCTGCGACTACCGCAGCCTCAAACATAGCGACCTCGTTGCATCCGATGCCGTCCTTACGCATTACTGTGGAGAGGGATATGATGTTCGATACAGCCCTTACCACCGGTGGTTTTACAAGCGAGGCATGCACAGTGACGAGGCAATTATGTTCAAGCTGTACGACAGCAACGATTCGGAGGCTTTATGTAGGTTACCGGCCGAGTTTCGATCACAGAGAAAACTGATAGCTGTATAGTGTGCCCCCACGCGGCCTTCAAGGACCCATCTGCGCCTGTGGGTACTCCCAAGAGAGCAAGTATTGAACTACGCGCGATAATAGTTGATTAGAACTCCACCAGGCGTGGCGAGCCAGGCAAATGTTTATGCAGAAATACTAAAATTGCAGTGGTAGACTCATTCCGCGGAAGGGCCATGGTATACTGAGAGAAATGCGATTACTGTTGCCATTAGGCAAAATTAGACTAGTCACAGCCTTCAGCGTTAGAAACTTCGCATGCCCACTCGTGAATTACCGTCCCGTAGCAAATTTCATCAAGCCACCGCTTGAAAATGTTCGCATACCCCAACGTTTGTGTAATTGGAGGACGTGTTTCCCTGCCAGCAGCACTACTAGGGAACGGGATTGAGTCCCCCTTATAAACGATAGCCGACACCGGCATGATGGAAACCTAAGCCAGAGAGGAAATCAGCCTTGTGAATCCCGAGCTCTCGGAGGAAAAGGTGCAATCGAACCGATGTTCCCGTTACAAACCCTTCTAGCAATCTACCCTCCTCGCTCGCTCTCCTGATATCGGTCATGGTGAATGTCCGCTGCTCTATTACTAAGGGTTTGAGTTTCCCACATTCGGCGTTGGGAGAGGAAAGTCGTTCCCTAGCAAGTTCCAAAACACTTTTCCTTGTTATACCGTCTAATATCAGCCCATGTTCGAGCGGCGGCGTCACCAACTTGACGGAATTAGATTCTATCCATATGACAAAAAAGTTACTCCCACCACATTCGGTAACTTGTTCGTCTTCACCAAATAGCCAAAGAGTGGAGGTACATCCTTGCTGTTTGGCCTCATCCTGGACACGCATTGTCGGGCCATAGTTCGCTCCTACCTGTAGAATTATTTCAGCTTAAGCAAATAAAGCACGCGATTAAAAAGGGAAGGGAGCTTAACCTTGGCGTATCCAATTCCCCCCGGCCACGCGCGAACCATCGTCATAGGGCTCGCGAGCAATTTTATACTGCTCATTGGGTTCTGAGTGACCTGCCTCTGCGGAAACAAGGCTGCAGTCATGAAGAACAGAGCCTCTGGTGGGATTTGGACGCCAAGGCTAGAGCCCATGCCAATCATGGCGGGCCGAATGTAAAGATGGGAATGAGGCTCCGGCAGCCATCTTGGACACTCAACAGAAACGAAGGCAATGATTAGCTGTAAAAGCTCCTGGGGGCCAAACGTCGGCAGCCCAACACAGGCATTGGATAGTTGTAGTCGCTCGCAGTTGAGGAGAGGCCGGAACAACCTCAGCTTCCCGTCGTACCCCCTGTATACTTTCATGCCTTCCTAGATAACGTTCAGTGGCGATTTGGGGACCAAACAGAGCCTACTTATTGTTGAACTCACGAAAGACTGGATGGCATAATGGAGGGCGCTGGCGTTTGGATGGATGGAGAGTGGACGGTAGGCCTGAATAGCTGGCCTGGCCCAGCCCAAATCGGCCGTCCATTGTACGGTAAGCATGTGCGCCGTATGCTGATCCCGTTTGTTGCGAATTGGATTGGATAGTGCCGGAACGGGGGGTTGTTCGGCCTCGGGAACAAGCTCCATTGACAGCTCTGAGTGTTGGAATGAGCGAATGAAACCCATGGTGCTTGGTGTATTTCGGAGATGTCTGGCTTCTGTCGCTTGAATCTGATATGCGTTATAGTAGGAATGGTGGTTCTCAACGGGGAGGCAGAACTGTCCCACGCCGCAGATACCAAGGGACTATGTACTTGGGTCTCACCGACATTCAGCCACACTCAACTTAGGTGTACTGCAACTTGCGGTCTAGAAGAAAGTCAGACCGCCGGACCACCATCCTGACAGGGAAAAGATCAAGGTAGCACACAATGGGTGTCACCAGTATCGGTTCCTCTGCTGCAAGAATGCCAATTGTTGTGTTAAGAAGGCTGTGTCCAGTTAAGATACACTAAGCCCTGCCACTACTAGTTACACCTCAAGATCGAGCCATCAGTGTCGTCTATGGAGCAATTTGCCCTTCCACAGCATACCGCGTTTCCTGAGGATGTCGATCCTCTTTCAATCGCCAAAAGCTTTGCTCATCTGTTCCGCAACCTCGACAAAACAATCCTGCATCCCGGGGCCGCCTGGTACGATCTCTTCGCGTTAACTGGGGATGTGACCAGTGTCAAATCGGGAGTCGCTATTGCTACCACATGGCGCCATCTGCTGACGGTACGGGAGGTGTCTGACTTCCAAGTGCTCGATGAAGGAGTTCAAATCAGAACCTATGGTGGCCAGATCCCGGCGATCGAAGTGCCTTGTACCTTCTCCACGGGGTGCGACCCAAGACTGCAGGGTGTCGCAGCTTTCTCGCTAGTCTTTTGCCCAAAGGACCGCAGAAGCAGCACTAGTTGGCAGGTTTGGATGATCCGAACGCGCTTGGATAAGCTGCTTGAACAGCGAGGGGACGTTGATAAACTGGATCCTCTCACAGCCCCTGCTCCAGTACTCACTTCCCCCATTGGTAACGATTTCTCCTCTCTCCGATATGGCTGCGTTGTTGTCGGCGCAGGTCAGGCAGGTCTAGCCGTGGCAGGGCGTCTGAAAGCACTTGGAATCTCGTACCTTGCGATCGATCGCAACTCGCGAATAGGAGATAACTGGCTGAATCGTTACGATTCCGTTAAATGTGAGTATACTCCCGGATGTGTGGTAAGCGCTATTCGCAATTGATATATAATGATTCGTCTGCCCTGGCGTAGTGCATACTCCGCGGGAATTTTCACATTTGCCCTACGGACGAACATTTTCTGGCGAGTATCCCGAGTGGCTTGGTAAGGCCGATATTGCACGGGGTCACAATGAATGGGTGCAAAGACACAGCATAGTTTGTTCCCCCACCCAAGAGATTTATATATATGTCTTAATACCGGTGCAGAACCTCTCACTATCGACCGAACTCTTGTCGGGGCAATGGGACGACACACTAAAGCGGTGGAGTCTTCGCGTCCGGCAAGGTCGTGACCTGCAGACCCTAACTTGCGACCATATTGTCCTGGCGATCGGACTTGGAGTTCGAACGCCACGAATACCCACGTATGCAGGCTCGGTAAGTGGTTTTGCAGACCGGTGCACATCTTGCGTAGCACTGACCGCGTTGGGAAAGGAGGTCTCCGGCGCTATGGTCATGCATTCGGCAGAATATCGAAATTCTTGGTCGTGGGCAGGACAACGAGCCATAATCATTGGTTCTGCCAACACTGGTACGCCTCATTACTCCGTTTACAGGCGCGATATATTGGCTTAAAAACTGAGCCCTTGTTAGCACACGATATAGCGGAAGACATGATTGAGGCCGGTCTTACCTCGGTGACAATGGTCCAACGGGGTGCTACAGGTCCGCCAATAAACATCCTCTTATTGAAAAGGAGCTAACGACTGTACAGTGGTTCTTCCCCGTGAGCACGTATATGCAAACATGACTAGTACAAATCCCCAGATTCTTGATCAAAGGTTGCTGCACCAGAAGGTTCTAAACGTTCACCGTAGGACTATATAACTCCCGTCTTCCAACAGAAGTAGCCGACGAGCTGCGGTTCTCGATTCCTCCTCCCATACGAAACTTATTTATGATGCTAGGGAATAAATCCTTATCCGCTTCCAACCCAAACAGGTATAGGGACTTAGATCGATCCGGGTTCAAGCGGAAAGAGCAGAGCATCGGAAGCTCATTCCGCGGTCGGTACATAGACGTCGGTGCCTCACAGAAAATAGCGTCAGGCCAGGTGAGATCTATTCCATCCCAATACTCCGCATCGTGCTGTAGCTAACACAGCCCTGAACGCTGGGACTTAGATCAAGGTCAAGTCCGGCAGCTGTCCTGTCCGCCACACAGAGACCGGGCTTGAGTTCGACGACGGCACTCATTTAGACGCGGATATCATTATTTTCGCTACAGGATATCACCTTGACTCACGGGATATGATAGAAACCTTTTTTGGGCCTGACGTATCAGGCAGGGCGACAAGATTGCACCAACCCAATCCCGAAGACTTCCTCGACGGCGCCTACAAGTTTACTGGCCGTAAGATTCAACCTACCACACAGCCCCAAGAGCCTATTTGCTGACAGAATGATTACAGATCCCGCGCTCTGGTTAGCCGGGGGCAATATGGGCCAGGCTCGGTACTTCTCTCGCTTTCTGGCGCTCCAGATTAACGCAGCTCTTCTTGGTACTCCCTTTGACCGTCTGACGCAGTCATTGCATGACTGTGGGACCTAGGCCAGTTTTAGCCAGTTGATTTTCGTTAATTCTACCCAAAATTGTACCACGCAGTAGCTTTTAATATAATATAGTACCTAACTGTTGCAAGCCTAACTTAGCAATCCAATCCAGAGCAACGGAGGCTATCATCTTATAATTTAACGTCATCAAGACCACCAATGTCCCCTAATACCCTTTATCCCGATCAAACACGTTAATTAACAACTCACCGTGTGATAATCGAACAATATTTTCATGCAAAACATCCGTGGTCCTCTGTAAATATTCTACTCCGTACGAGCTAGCATGGGGACTGATATAAACATTCGGCAGCTCCCATAACTTGTGGTCGGATGGCAACGGCTCGGGATACACGACATCTAGAGACGCTCCAGATATCTGACCCGACTCCAGGGCGTGAACCATTGCCTCCTGGTCAATAATCTGGCCACGTGAAATGTTGGTAATATATGGTTTCGGGCCCGGTGGTGCATGGCGCGAGAGGAGAGTCAGCTCTTCTTCTCCGATAAGAGCGTGTGTTCTCTCCGTCAGGGGCACAGATATAACAAGATGGTGCAGACCAAGGGAGAGGAAACCATGCAACGCAATTTTACCGGCTCCGTGGTGCCATGTGCTTGGAATCGTGCCATCCGGATCCCCGGTACCAGGAATGCAGTACCCCCGATGCTGTCGCGAAGCAGGGTTAGGGCGGGCTGAGGCTGTCAAAACGCAAACGTCCATACCAAGCGCACTGGCGACGCGAGCGACTACGTCGTTGTCAGTTGAATTCCTTCTCTACTAGGCAAGAAAATGATATCGCTGTACCCTGTCTACCAACTCCTCCGTACCCGATAATGCCAACTCGCTTGTTGACATGGTCAAAGCATCCCCTGGCACTTTCCTGACTCCAGCGATGGCGCATTTGGTCTTCCTTCTGCTGGAGGAATTTCCTTGAGATTACTAACCATGTCATGGCGACCCACTCAGCGATGGGAGGCCCGTGGATGCCTGAGCTAGTTGTTATCGTGACTGAACCGCGGTGCAGCAGGGGATGATCGATGAGATCACCGACTCCTGACCGGGCGACATGGACCAAATGCAGGCTAGAGAGCTGTCAGGACATGCAAGACCTTATGATAGTATCTGGCGGGTAGAGTCACCGTGCTACATCATCTGGGTTTGGAAGATACTGGTCGGTCATCAATATTGTGACTCTGTGTAGTACGGCTCTGGTGACAGCTATGCATGTGTTAATCAGCCGTTTCGTCAGGGGCCATCAGATGCAAACCTTGAGTGACGGAATCGTCGCACTCCCCCTCCCCTATAATGTGGTGTTTAACCTTGAGTGAGGGAAAGCTCTCTACAATCTTTTGTTTGCAACTGCCGGAAAGGGGTCTCCGTAGGACGACGAGCAGGAACTCTCCCTCACGGTTAGGGTTTGCCATTGCAAGATGAGAGTGAAAATCCGTGCACGGCCAGCAAGGCCTGTAAGCAGTTTGAATTTTGGGGGTTTCTTTGTTTTTTTTTTTTTTTTTTTTTTTTTTTTTTTTTTTTTTTTTTTTTTTTTTTTTTTTTTTTTTTTTTTTTTTTTTTTTTTTTTTTTTTCCTTCTTTCTTACCCCTTTTTCGAAAAGAAAATAGAGAGACATGGATAGTCAGCGTAGGCATTACTACCTTCAGTATTTGGGGGGGTTCTTTTTTTTTTGGTGGGGGTTTTCTTGCGGTGAAGGAAGGGAGGATTCAATAGTTCAGGCGTAAGACTTTACTTCAAGGGTCATGCATACGATGAGGCATATGCAGGATACGATACTGCAGATGGGAGAACTCTGTTGGATGCAGTCACTAAGAAAAAGAAACTGGACTTTTTGGCTTTTGACCGCCCCCTCAGTGCATGGTCAGTGACCCTCCAGGCTGAGAGACCTGTGAATCCTCAAGGTCGAACAATTGGCAGATGAGCACAGTGGGTTTCGGAGTAGTGTTGGGCAGAACATTTGCATGGCCGCTAATAAGGACGGGGTCGAATTGGACAAATGGTTGCGGCGTTACCACCTTGCAAGCCTTTAAGGTGCGACTACCTTGAACCTCTCTTTATCGTTCACATCTCCTCCGCTCGTCAGAAGAGCAACAGAATACCATCACGTCACGATGTCTAGCATACCTACGTATCAGAAAGCTCTCGTTACCAATGGCCCCAAAAAAGCCGCCCTAGTAACGGACAGGGCGATTCCTGCCCTGCGCGATGACTACCTCCTTGTCCGTGTGGTATCCGTTGCTCTAAACCCGACAGACTGGAGGCACATTGACTTTCTCTCGCCGCCATCCCTGCTAGTAGGATGTGACTACGCGGGGACCGTGATAGAAGTCGGCAAGGACGTCAAAAAGCCGTGGAAGAAAGGCGATCGAATTGCCGGTGTTGCTCATGGGTGCAATGCCGGCCAGCCGGAGGACGGAACCTTCGCAGAATACATCGTGGTGAAAGGAGACATCCAGTTCCATATCCCCGATCATTTGAGCTTCCAGGAAGCCTGTACCCTGGGAGTTGCTGTGGGTACATCCCTTCTGGGGCTGTACCAGGGTTTGCACATGGCACGTCCAGCGACCCCTATTTCGCACATTGAGCCAGTGCTGATCTACGGGGGATCGACGGCCAGCGGGACAATTGCAATCCAGTTTGCCAAACTGTCCGGCTACCAGGTCATTACGACATGCTCTCCGCGGAATTTTCACTTGGTACGAGATCGGGGAGCGGACGCTGTATTCGATTACAATGATCCTGCCGCGGCGGCTCAAATCCGCACATTTACCAACAATAGTCTCAAGCTCATTCTTGATACTATTGCTGTGGAGGCTACGGCCCGGTTCTGCAGCGAAGCGCTGTCCACTGAAGGGGGCAGCTACGTGAGTTTACGGCCTGCTCAGGTCCCCCGGGAAGATGTGAGATCCAGCAGCGTTCTCACCTACACTGTGATTGGAGAGCCCTTTAGTTTTGGGCCGAAACAGCTACCTGCAAACCCTCAAAGTCGTGCCATCATGGAGGAGCATATTGCATTTGTTGAAGGCCTTCTAGATAAGAAGAGACTGAAGCCACATCCGCTACTGGTTGGTGCTAATGGGCTGGCTGGTGTTTGTGAGGGATTGGATCGGATGAGGATGGACGCTGTTAGTGGTCAGAAACTGGTGTATAATGTCTCCGAGACTCCTTGCGTAATAGACACCTCAACCTGCTAGTGAATCTACAAGTTTCTACGGATTCCGACTTGATACATCCAATGCGTATGGACAGCTATAAAGAGTGCGCCGGTAGGCAACGGCATCTGAGGACCTACTATGTCGCAGACCAGTTTACCTTGCCGTCCTTTCGCCCAGAAGCAAGAAGTCGAGGAGCCATGGCAGATACGGTGAGTGTAAGCGGCTACTTGTTCACCAGGCTCTATCAGCTCGGAGTTCGCAGTATATTCGGCGTCCCTGGAGACTTCAGTCTCCCCGCGTTGGATTACGTCGATCCTTCGGGCCTAAAGTGGATGGGAACTGCAAGTGAGCTCACCGCCGGTTATGCTGCTGATGGGTATGCGCGTGTCAAGGGTCTTGCGGCCCTGTTCACCGTCTTTGGGGTCGGGGAGCTATCCGCAGTGGCTGCCATCGCAGGGTCCTATGCGGAAAAGGTCCCAGTTGTTCACATTGTCGGAACGCCGTCCACACATGCTCAGGATCACCGGCATGTTATTCATCACACACTGGGCGACGGAAACTTTAGAGTCATGGCTGACGTGTATCGCCACTTCACCTGCGCCCAAGCCAATCTACGAGATCTCGCCGCCGCTACAGCCCTTATTGACGCAACTCTGCAGCAGTGTATTCGACAATCCCGGCCAGTCTATATAGAACTGCCGTTTGATGTCATCCATCTGCAAGTCCCTGCCTCACCGCTACGTCACGCACTCGATTGTCGACCACCACCCAATGACCCGGTGATGGAGCGGATGGTAGTTGACGAAATCACCTGCCGCCTTCAGACCAGTAAGAAGCCCTTCATCGTTGTCGATGGCTTTGCACACCGCTATGGTATCCGCAAAGAAGTGAATACCTTACTGCGCCTCACCGGCTATCCGACGGCCACCACCCCTTTTGGGCAATCGACTGTGGATGAGACATACCCACACTTCCATGGCGTTTACACTGGGTCGGCTGGGAACACGTCCTTGCACACATGGATCCAATCATGCGATCTTGTCATCCACATCGGGCCTCTCAAGTCCGATTGTAATACATACGCATTCACTAGCCTCACTCGGGCCCAATGCACCATTGAGCTAGACCACACCCGTGTCTCAATATTTGGGACTGAGCATCGGGGTTTGGATATCCAGTCGGTGCTCCGAAAGCTTATCTTGACCCTGCCATCATCCCAACTATCCCCCCTGGCGCCCAGTCTCACGGTGCCGTCAAGGCAACCAGTCGCCAAACCCTCGAATGTAGCAGAATCAATAACGCACTTGCGGTTCTGGTCCCACATTTCCATGCATTTCAGGAGTACCGACATCATAATGGTCGACGCAGGGACACCCTGGTCCGGGTCGGAGGACTTCATGCTCCCCCGGGGAGCCATATTGATCAAGTCGGGAATCTGGATGTCAACAGGTCATATGCTGGGCGCCTCCACAGGCGTCGCTACGGCGCAGCAAGAGACAAAGGAAGGCAAACAGCTGCCCATTCCCCGTACGATAGTGTTTGAAGGAGATGGTAGTTTCCAAATGACCGTTCAGGCTTTGAGCGATATTATCCGGCACCGCCTTCATGTTGTTGTATTCGTTATTAATAATCAGGGATATACCATCGAGCGAATCATCCACGGAATGGATGCGGTGTACAACTCGATCCAGCCGTGGGATTACACTGCGGTGGCCGGGTTCTTCGGGGCTCCGCAAAAGGACCCGGACTTCCCTGTCGCGACATTCAGAGTCGCTCAGTGGTCTGAGTTAGATAGCGTATTGGCATCTGATCAGCTGAACAAAGGTCGTGGATTGACCTTGGTGGAAGTCCAGATGGGCATGAAGGATGCACCCTGCCTGTTGAAGGAGTTTATTGCGCTACATCCAAAGCAGAACCGACAGGATCTCGGCAGTCCGGGGAAGTAATCGAGACTTCGCGGGTTGCCTGTGTTTCCTGCAGAACCTCCCAATCATGATCCCCATAATTAGCTAGTACGTGTTCACCGGCAGGTGGTTCACAGTGGCCAGACATTTAGGAGAGAAGAGTCCAGGTAAATTAGTCTAGCGTAGTGCAGACATGGTCAGGGATATAAGTAGTATACTGTTCTACCCGAAGGATGTTACTTTTCTCTATGCCTGATTCTGCCCTTCCAGAAATTTAACACATCTCACTCTACATCATGTCTCCGCCTCCAGATCTCGTAGAGCTAGCCCGGACCGTCTCCGACTCAGCCGCGCAAATGAGCCAATTTCTACAGGAGAAGAAATATGGTGATCTCTCCTTCACAGGCCAGGGAGAGGGCCTTCCTCCAATGGCACCCGAAAATGCCCCCTTTCACAAGTCCCGGATCGCCCTCATGGAGGCAGCGTCCACACTCCTACAATTATGCATGTGTCCCCGGCAATCTGTCATCTCACTGTGCTCCGAGGTAGGTACCGCAGACTCAACGTGTTGAAGGGCATACTTACACCGTGCGTATACCAGTTCCACACATCGTCGGCGGTCCGCATTGCATATAACTACAGATTTGCACACGCAGTGCCTATCAACGGGACCGCCACATATGCGGAAATTGCCGAAAAGGTAGGACTGGATCGCACGCTGGTCGAACGCGCGATCGGCGCCTTGATGGGCCGCAGAATCTTCTGTCAGCCGTCGCCCGGGGTCGTGGCCCACACCCGTCTCTCGCATATGATGGCCACCGATGAGAACTTCAACAGTTTCGTGGGCATTTGTTTCGATAATGCACTGGTGTGGAGTGCGCATATCACAGATGCTCTCCTGAAATGGGGGTGCAGCGAAGAGCCCACAGAGACAGGCTTCAACATTGCGTGCGGGACCGAGCTAAATTTCTGGGAGCATATGCGCGCCGATAAAGGCCTGCAGGAGCGCTTCAGCAAGGGGCGTGCCTATCTCTCTGCAAACTTCAGTAAGGTGGCTGGTTCGGCGGGTGAATTCGACTGGGGTGGGATTGGAGAGGCTGTTGTTGTCGAGGTACGTTTTGTTGAGATAGCTGACAGCAAATGGGAATTGGAGCTCACCGGTCCCCAGATAGGCGGATTCCAGGGCCATCTCAGCGTTGGGCTCGCAAAGAAACACCCCACCTTGAGATTCATAATCCAGGACACTCAGGAGGCATGTGAGCATGCACAGGAGTCACTTCCAACCGAACTCAGCCAGCGTATCCAGTTCGAGCACCATGATCTCTTCCAGCCCCAATCCATCCGCCACGGGAAAGTAGTATACCTCCTACGCTCCATTCTACATGACTGGAGCGACAAGTATGCAGCCCATATCCTACGGGCGATTTGCTTAGCAATGAAACCAGATGATCGTCTGATCATGTGCGAGAAGATTTTGCCCGAAATCGGAACTGTTGGTACTTTCTCTGGGCGGTTTCCACGGTGTGTCACTACCAGTCAATCTGAAAAATGGGCATGAGAAACTAACCCAGAACTATGGGCAGGGCGGCTGATATGCAGATGTGGGCTACGTTTAACGGTAAGGAGCGCACACTGGCCCAGTTCCAGGAGTTGTTTGAACAGGCAAATCTGCCGTTACAGGTCCTCAACATACATAGCCCTATTGGAATCGGGCTCTCGACTCTTGAGCTATCGCTATCTCAGTAATTGTTGGATAGACTATTGAAGATCTTTCATGCTGTCTCTGCTCCGCTATATCTGATTAATTGATGGTTTCTTTACTCGATCGATTTCTTCTGCCACGCAGCTTTGGACAGACAGGAATACATTTGCCAGCCCTTTGTAAATGAAGTTCGAAATAGAAATCTCTCAGTCTGATCGTATCATCATAGGCGGTATTCTGTATGACACGTGTCACACGTTAATTAAGACGGTAGTACTTAAAACTCTCGCACTCCCCGGCGCGGCATGGAGAGGACTAACATACCGCACACTACTGGATTGTAGAACACTTCCCCCAAACCTCATCACCTCTGAATTCTGTTAAACTCGTGGTACATAATGCCTGTGACTACAGAGCTCGAGGCCGCCGTCATTCGCGGGTTTGATCCCCGGAGGGGACTTTCAACGGATCCCATCGTCGTCATGGATCCCATGAGGGCCCTTCTGGAGGATTACAGCAAGATCCCACCAGAGGGAGTAACCGAAGCCGTGAAGGAAGCGGTACGTTCTGATACCGCCAAAGCTGGATTCCACTGATTGAATCCAACAGAGAGATCGCGCATTTGCCGTCGTACGTACACTTATTCCCATATGCTACCATGTATCGGGATGAATAGTAATCTCACCTCGTCCACTGGCCAAGTTTCCGTACCCATGTATTGGCAAATGTCTGTTCATCAATTTCAGTCTTCCCACCATCCCCTGTTACGACGAGGTTTTATGCAGAACCAGACAAGGTCAAAAGCTGCTCGATCTGGGATGCGGTTTTGGACAGGAACTACGTCTACTTGTACGTCCCTTCCTCCAAGCACTGACTGATATTGCTAACCAGGGTTAGACCTATCGTGGTGCCCGTTCTGAGACCCTTTACGGGGTTGACCTTCGTCCCGAGTTTATAGATCTCGGTTACGACCTCTTCAAAGACCGCAACACACTTAAATCCCATTTTATCACCGCTGACATCCTCGCCGATGAACCCCTAGCAATCTCCCAGCTCTCAGGCTCCATCAACATCGTCCACGCCTCCTTTCTCTTCCACCTGTTTAACTGGGATCAGCAGGTGCTCATCGCCAAACAGGCCCTGGCTTTGCTTTGTGCGCGCCCGGACTCGTTGATCATCGGGCAAAATATTGGTCACCAGGATCCAAACAAGTTCTCCGCCGTCGGAGCAATACTACCCTTTCATCATAATGCGTCCAGCTGGAAAGCGCTTTGGGATCACGTCCGCGAGGTGACCGGTGTAGCTTTCAGCATGCAGGTGTGGGAGAGATTTGAACACCCGAGTTTGCCTGCCGTTCGCAGCCCGGAGTTGCATGTTCTCTCATTTGTTGTGCGATTACAGTAAATAGGCTCATATGGTCTACTACATGACCGCAGAAGGGCAGGATAATGATACTTCTATTAGCTTCCCTTTTTAACCGGTCTCCTGTACCATTTGTAGCACTAATATCATTCAACCCTACTTTCGATCTCCTGGGTGGCCATCAGAGCCGCACTTGTAGAGGATTTTTCTAGCTGTTACCGTTAAGTCCATCTAGTTATCTAAGTTATTAGATTTCAACTGGCTAAGCCGTGGTCAGTTTGGCGCTCTGCAACATACTCGCTCAGTACATAGTAATGATATCTTTTGCGATCTCTGAGTCAACCTACCGACGTATGCCGTTCCTCTCCCAAGGCTGCCATTAGGAACTTTAGGCCGATACATAGTTAAATCCTAATATGAAGCGACACGCCTTCACTCTATCTTTTCTCATCACGCTAAACCTAGTTTATATTTGGTTACTAAGTGTTCAAGGTCTTTACTCTATTCACACATTCAGAGTTCGTCTTCATCTTCAGATATGGTTGACGCAGCTTTCAACCACCAAGGCATCTCGCAACCCTACTTCATCGCAGGTCGCTGTTACGCCCGGGTTAAGTTCACTCCCTGGCAGAACGACGACGAGATTATATTTGGCCCCGCCAGCATTGCTGAATACTGGCCATCGCTAGTATCTATCGGCTTCGGCAAAGTGGACGCTGTTCTGCCCAGCGAAGGCACGCAGAACGAAGAATACTACTTCTCCAAAAAAACTATCAATGAGATTGATTGAGTCTGAGGTAGCCACCCAGGTGTGCGGTCAGCCAGATCGCTTAATATGAGGCGCGGTGGGCTGGCTGAAAGAAAGAGTGGCTCCAGCCACTGGCCACAGCTGCGCTGGTAGATTTGCCGAGGAACTAAGAAGTAGGAAAGACGGTAAGAGCTTTCGGTCACATGGATCTGGCGTGGCTGAAACGCCTGCCCTGCGTTTTGGAGTGATATTCGGTTGGTCTCGAAGCTTAGGAGAGAGGCGGACAGCTAGACTGGTCGTGGATTGGGTTTGGATGGATCCACGAGGGGTTCAATCCAATCGTTGATTTGTGGATTCATCCATGCGGATTGGATCATGGATAGTCAATCACACCTCCACTGATGCTAATCGACTTTGGGAGCCCGCACTGACTCATAGGGCTCATAGGGTTCGACACTGGGTGAAAGCGACCGGCTGGCGGTACAAATGGCTTATGTTCCGCATCCTGAAGAAGACCGCAGAACATCCCTGACACAGATTACGGAGAACAGTTCTCATCCACCCCAGCAAAATCCCCCAGCGCCTAGAGGTCGCAAGTCCCGATTCGCTACGCTCTCCAGTGAGGTGGAGGCATCCCCGTCACTTATATACCGGGAGCTTGAGTCGGCTACCTTACTCAAACGACAAATAGAACGATTGCAGGAGGAGAATTCGCGGTACCAGCAAATAACCAAGATCCGTGATCAGGATCTGATCGATCTGCGCAGAGAGATTGGCAACCCGCGCGTCTGGGATGGAGAGCTGCAAAGCCTGAAAGCCAAGGCTGGTCAAGATAATACGGCATTGAAGGAGTTGAACGAATCCCGAGCAGAGAATCTAAAAGCCGCGAAGGAGGAGACGGCGAAGGCTAATGCAGCTTTGGACGAATGGAAGGGGAAGCTTGCAAGGCTCATGCAAGAATGAATAGTCTATGAGCCAAAGGACTGTGTATGGGTTGCAGCTAATAGAATCTCACTACAAATAATATAAAAAGGCATCTGACGACCTATACAGACTGATTGTTCTATAGGTTGCGTAAACATTGGGTCCTCTTATTCGGGAGCTACCCTATTGATTATACTCTCTTTACGCAGAACATGTCCATCACCCGTCATACAACTAGTGACGTTGTAAACGAGAGGGCCTCATTCCAGCCAGCAAACGGGAATGAAGGGCAGTATGCTGCTTGAGATTTTATGGCTCGTGAAGCAGCTAGCCTATCTGGCAATGGGAAATGCTCGTCCAGTACGATCGGGATTACATAGCCCCAGTCGGCTATTTGGGGCCAAAAGCCTCAATAGCATGGAAAGAAAAATTACTAGGGACCAGATACCGGCGACCATTAACTGGACGTCAATTTCTGTCAAGGTATTGATTCAACTTAAGGGTCTAATGTTGCTGCCGCTCTCGTATTTTCTGGAGCAGAGCGTCCAGTGCTCGGCCATCGCCCATCTCTGTCTCTTTCGATCGATTCACATACCGTTTGTCAGGATGGCCCCATTCGCTATCGCCAAAATCCAGCAATCCAGATTCTTCATCCGCTTGATGCCAGAAGTCATCGAATGCAGTATATCTCTGCTTTGTTAGACGGTCCGATAATATCTCGGGGCAGACTGGGAAGAGCGGGTCCTGGCCGTAGTGAAAACAGAAGTCCTTGAGGTTAGGAAGACGGGTACAAATATTATCAAATATGGCCTCCCACGTCCCGGAGAATCCGTAGATAACATAGGGGCCGTCAATACCAAAGGAGCCAATAGGATACTCGTGCCAGTCATGAGTCTGAACATGCCATTCCTCAAGATTGGTTTGGTGCGTGGTTATGTGAGACACGATAGAACACCTGTCTAGGCGAAGGCACACCAGCGAGGACTGGTTCAAGACCCAGTCGAACTGATCATGGTGCCCGATGACAAAGTTGCCCAGGTTCAGCGTCTTCAGCCGTGGAAAGTGGAGGCCGCTGCCGTCAAAATAACCAGGTATGGTTCCCCAACCAATCTGAAAGGAGAGTGTCAGGCAGACCAGATGGTCGGCCAGAGGAGCCAGCCACTGGCGATGTAGGTACGGTTCAAACACCTGCCGCTCAATACGATACGTGTCCCAGTCGGGTCCGGCTTCATCATACTCCTCCGCCACCATGAGATGCAGAGTGTCGATGTCCTTTGTGACGCCCCTGAACAGCTCAGAGGAGGTAAAGTCGGGTAACGGGGCATTTTGGAGGTTCTCAACTGTGAGGGAGCGGATAGGATGCGCGCCGGCTTTGTTACTTGAACGCTTGTGGATCGCCTTAAAGACGAATTCGAGGATCTCCTGGCGTGTCGAGATATCTTCAACGACCTCGTCACGATGGTCATCAGTCTCAACCCCACCACAGTGTCTAGAAAACCGTAGATGTAGCGCCTTGATGCGGTCCAGTTCGGCGATGCGGCCTATCGCGCTGATGAGGCCGTCGTAACCGCAGTCTGTATACGTGTGCCAGATGCCGAGTGGGTGGTCATCGGCCGGGGCAGAGCGGATATAAACACAACGGACGGCCTGTCGAACGACTTCGCTGGTAAGCATGTCATTCCAGGATTGGTATTCCCCGTCGGTATACGCCAGCCTCACGGTGTGGAACACATGCGCTGTAGCCAGCGTGTTCCATAACCGGCACACCAGGCGAGCGTTACAGATATGCTGTAGATTCTCGCACTCATCTAAGAGAGGGCCCGCTCTGTCGATGAGCAGGCTTATGATGAGGCTCAAAATTTCTCGCGGCAGGTTTCCTAGTCCCATGATAATATATCAGCGTGTTAGGGAAGGAAGTCGAAAACTCCAAAGCAAACGCGTGTTCTGAGGTGCCGTGGGGGCGGCGATCAACAACCACAACAACACGTCCACCGTCTCACTTGATGAAACGTATCTCAGCCCCCTACAATATGGTGTTTCTCTCTCTTAAAATGCTATGAGAAATTCTGAAGTATATGGACCCCGATATTGTTCTATTAATACCAATTCACTCCCAATGCTTTTACTGTGCAATTTCCCCGGTATAAAAACATATAAATCAGAGATTCTTCGCCGAGTTTCATGTACAACCGACAGCAGAACTTCTAAGCTCTCACAGTTATTCAGTACGACGCCCTACCACCTAATTGCGCATAAGTGTTGCAACTTCTCTGGGTCTGTCTATGTCTTGAAAACCTCTAGTACCCCAGACTATCGATTCCAGCCCGGATTGACTCCTCTAATCCAATCCAACCAGGTCGCCCGAAAAGTGACCTGATCAAACTCTCCGCCCTCTGGGCAGGAACGATATCACTTAGGTCTCGGAGCTCATTCTCCGGAGGAATTGGGATTTTTGCATTATCTGGACGGAATTTCCGCAAAATGCTGACGAATTCCTTCCAGGTAAAGGTCGAGGCGAAAGCAAACAGACGTTCAGACTTGACTTCGGGATGAAGAAGACCAACGACATGCACGCGTGCCAGGTCTACAACGTCGACGAATTCTATTTTCGAATCCTTGTCAGTAAGTTGATCAGCAGCGTGGAATTTATCTCACAATCCTTACGTCCAGGAAACCCGAAAGCGGCGACGTCGCCGTTAAGCAGGTTGGCTGCCCATTTCATGGTGGAGCCTGGTATCTCGGGGTGAAGGACTTGTCCGAGCTGTTTGCAATATGAATTAGCCAAGACGACGCATTAAACCTCGAGATATATTTCTAGAATCCATGATATGCCTTCCCATTTGTTTACTCACAGTATAGTAGGGCAAGACCGCGTTAAACACGAAAGCCGGCTTGTTCTTCTCAACCCATTTCCACGCCGCTTGTTCACCTTCTGTCTTAGACGCAACGTAAACTGTGAACGGCTTGGCATCTGCTGGCGTACTTTCATCAAAAGCAGCATTCACCGTCGCGATATTCCACGTGTCTATATGGTCACACATGTCAGTAACACCAAAGCTTGTAGTAGTAATTGGAGACTATGATATAGGAAGATATTTGGCTGATCTCCTGGGTACAGGAAGGCGGCAAAGTAAATCTGACCTTCAGTGACCACAATCCCTTCCACCCCTGGTTGTGGTAATGCTGCCGCTGAAGCTGATGAGGTCAGGACGACTCTCTGAATTGATCCCTCTGGTTGCCTAGCGGCGGCTTCCAAGATGGTCTCAGTGGCTGAAACAACTCTCGGAATAACCTCCTCAGCATTCGGGCTAAAGGAAACATCTGATGCCTAGAAGTACCTGGTTAGTATTGTACCCTGCAGGGATTCTCATAGACTTGATAGCTGGGCACAACTATGCGACGAAAAGTGGGAAGGTTTTGTATATATACCACATGAATGACTCCGCTAACATCCGACATTGCCTTGCTCAAAGTGTCAAGGTCACTCAAGTCTGGGATAGCAACCGACTCGAAACTGCTGGGTCCAAATTTGGACCTGAAAAGTTCTTCGAGCCACGGCTTCTGGGAACGCACCGTTCCTCGCACAACGTATCCAAGAGATAAGAGTTGCTGAACAACATGGGAACCAATAAATCCATTGGCACCTGTGACCAGAACACGCGAGCCAGGCGCAATAGCATATAATTCTTTGTTGATCGAGGCCATTTTGGTTGGCAGGTGTTGTTCACTTGCAGCAAGGTGTTATGGATGTGAAGAACTCTGAATTGAAATGGTAACTTTGGTGCTTTGTTTCTCGTCCTGTGCTCCGGGACCATGGATTGATTTATAGTCTATTTCAACCAAGCGGAATACACATATGTCTGCCTCCGCGGAGCTGGGTAAGCTATTCGATATGGAAGCACCAGTACCGATATCTATCGGCCATCACTCAGCAAGGGTCAAGTTCACATTTGTCATTATAAAGTCTTCCACTCGATTATAAAGCAGTGCACTTGGAATGACATCCGAGGAGGTGGCTATTCTTCCATCTGGGAGCGCCACGGCCGGTATTAATCAGCCGCCTGCCATAGTATATCATGAGTTAAATTAGAAATCAATGGCATATTCTTCTATATATTGTAAGGCATCGCATTCCGAATGGCTTCCGCGGAACTGATTGTCTTTTGTTTAGTCTTGTCAAGCTCCAAGGCTACAGGGTACAGCATATAACTTCAGCCAGCCCCTCGTGAGATTTTCAGATTCTAGGCTCTATCAATGAGCGTCTAACTTCCTTCTCCCTTTTCTCTTCAGCCGAAATTCTTGAGATACACTTCGAAAATGAAAGTTGGCATCGTGAACACAGGCAATATCGGATTGCGTCTAGCCTTTGCCTGGATTCGCCTTGGCCATGAAGTCATGCTCAGCAAAGATACGCATCCAGAACGGCTTCGAGAGCGCGTGCGAGAATTTGGCCTGGAAAGAGGCATTGGAGAGGATGAGATATCCCGGTTTAAATACGGTTCAATCACGGGCGCTGCGAAATTTGGTGAAGTTGTCGTTCTGTCGGCGTACTTCCCACGTCTGGCTCATATTCTGGAAGAGCTCCAGAGCGACGGCATTACGCTTTCAGGTAAAATCGTGATTGATACAATGAATCCACTCAATGTGGATGACACCTTCAATCATTACCATGACTTCAAGTACATGAGAAGAACCTCCATTACGGAAGAGGTTCAGAGGGCTTTTCCAGAGGCAGTTCTTTTCAAAGCCTTCAATTCTATGCCTGCAACACTCTTGGAAGCCCAAAAGTGGACATCTGGTCGTGTGCCACCTATAATTTTCGTTGGGGGAAACACATCTTCGATCGACACCGTTCGAAAGCTTATCGAAGGCGCTGGATTCAAGCCACGGTTTGCAGGATATGATTTGAAACATTCAGGATTGTTGGAGCGGTTGGGTATATTGTTACATCTGTTGGTGGAGAATGAATACGAGGGCAACGGCGATGTCGTCTTTGATGTCATACAAAGAGGGCCAGACGGTTTGCTTTAATTGTTGAGCATGGTCTGGGATTTATTTCCTTGATGGTTCATATAAATGTTCGGATTAGGCTGTATTCATCAGTGGACCAACCTGAGAAGGGGGTTTTTAAAAGTCTGGGAAGCGATCAAGTTCGCCTTCCGCATACTGTCAATCTGCTTTGGAGCTATGAGTATACAACCCCTTCAGTCCTCATGTATGCTTAGAAAGGCTCTAAATTATCTGGATAATTCAGTAACCAACGATTGCTAGAGGACGTCGTGATGCCTTCGGCAAGCTTCTGCTTCACCGTTTGGACGGCCTCAACACAAGTTTCCCGAAGCGCTTGGGCCTCCTTCGATTGATTTTCCTTCATAGCATCATTGAGCCAAAGAAGGGCTGAATCGATCAGCTCGATATCTAGTTGAATCTTATCATGCCACGAATTGTACAAAGTGTTGGCCGTCAATAGAACCATAGCGGTCGTGTAAGGACATGAAGTCATCCTGTTACTGTTAACAACGATTTCCTCATTGTGGTATGTGACTACTAACCAGCGAAACCAGGCGTCTCTCGACGAAATCTCTCGAAATAAGAGCATGTAGTTTCGCGCCTGATGTACTATTGTCTCCCAAGCTGGTGGTAGCTGCAGTATCTGAACGCCTCTGCTATGGCTGCGAAGACCACTCACCCATTGTCCATCCCAAGCGTGAGCCCTGCTAACAAGCGCCATGCACTGGAGACTGGTTGCGTGTAGTACGCAGAAAAACCCGCTATGTACCGGTTTATTTCTAGTGCTCGAGGTGACCATATTGGCGCTAAATTCGGGTGGGATGGAAGCTCGCCATTCATCGAGTGCGCTAACGATGCTGTCCTTTGCATGGCGTCGTTCTTCCAGGCTTCGATTCACTGCTCGTGTTGAGTAGAGAGTGTCATATACACGACCTTCAATATTGGCCAGCTTGATGCGAGCTAGAAAATAATTCAGCCTAGTATTTCCGTCAGCCGTGATGACTATGCCAGCCGTGTTGTCATTATCGTCATTCGTCGTCGGCAAGGAAGACGGTAACTCCACGTCAATGTCGTCATCGAGTTGAACCGAAGGTTGTTGGGTACGAAGGCTTAAGTCTTTGTCGATAATGTATGCCAGCCAGAAGACGCGAACATGTTGTCTCCTTTGCACAGGATCCAGATGTGTTGATCCTGCCTGGTTGTGTAGGCCTAACTTATGTACGAGACGCATAGTTGCGGATATTAGGATCAAAGATGGGGTCAGGTTGTGTGCGGTTTGGAGCACCATCACCATGCCTACCAATACCTGTATGTTAAGGAGGCGTGTCTCACCCAGCATCACAGTCGAGATCACGGATCGTGCTTTGTCGAGATACTGCGTTGTTCGATCGGTCTGGTCCTGAGAATAGGCACTACTAGCACCTCCTGGAACCTGTTGGCTAGCCAAGGCAAAGACGACGTTGATGGCAGCCCATACTACTGGGTCGCGTTGTCCTGGTTGACAAGCATAGCATTCACCAACGAGACACAAGAGCGTGTCGGTATGAAAGAGCGGCAGGACTGCGTTGAAAGTGTTGAGAAAGATTCCAATCATGGCCATGGCTTGTTGTAGCGGAGGTAGTTTCATTGAGCTGACTGTCTGCTCGTTGTCATCATAGTGTTGATCTTCAATGCGCGTTGCTCTTATCGTCTCCTCGAGCCCTCGAGTCAGATTTCGCGCTTGATGTAGATCTTGATTCTGAGCCTGTAGCTTTTATGATTGAGTATCCTCATTATGCCAACGCCCGAGCATACGTACAAGTTCGGTCTTTAGGCGCTGTACTTCTGCTTGCAGGCTCTGGACTTCGTTCGTCTCCTTGGTCCCGCTACTACGTTGTCCTCTGGGCTTTGACTTCCGGCTCAGTACCGTATGCGTGCAATCCGTCGCATAGTTGATGCAGTTCGAGCAGCGAGGTTGCTGTCCGTCGCACTTGATCTTGCGAGTGTAGCATAGATCGCATGCCTTCCTCAGCCGATTACTCATTTCCATTGTAGGACTCAATACACTTTCAATTTGACTCAATAGTTGTTGTCCTGCCTCCGTGGAACTCAAGTCCACTGAGCTTTTATGCGAAAGACTGCCTCCGCGGAAGCTGTCAGCTGACTAACCGCGCTTTAATCTTGGATTATTAATACAGCCATCCGGAAGAACAATCAGGAGAGATCAAGCCGCCAGATGTATTCTGAGTTAGTTCCAGTGCAGATAGAGAGTTAAGGTACTAATCTCAGTTTGGCTAACGAGAAACATTCTCATCTTGAGGCCTCTAAATTGCAGAGGGCCATCATGGGACTTGATACGAGATAGGGCAGGATTATTTGACGGACTGTGTTGTGATAGACGCTTATGGCCTCATACATGTATAGGACGTCTTGTCTAATGTTGTATACTCGCAGTGCTCAATTGATCATCAGAAATGTCTACAAATGTCCATTGCGCTCCGCAATCACCGGTGCTTCAGGCAGAGAACAACAACAGCGCCCTTTTGGAAGACACCTCGCCTACAATCGTGGAACCAATCCACCAATCCACCACTTCACTACTTCTTCTGGTCAAAGTACGACTTCAAGAACGAAATGTCGCTCAAGATTTCTGCACAAATATTGTCGAGCAACTGATTACCAGCAAGATAGCCAATCTTTGGGTGCTGACCCCCCCCCCCCCCCCCCCCCCCCCCCCCGCGCCCCCCCCCCCCCCCCCCCCCCCCCCCCGGGGAGACAGTTACCCTGTTATCGCCACGCTGAAGAGTCTTATATATCAGGCCGTGACCTTGATCGATGCGATGGGGGCTACAGGAAACATCCTACAATATCTGGACCAATTTAACCATGCGAGTCTCGATGAGCACTACCTCGATGTGCTGGCCGGGCTCCTTCGTTCCTTCCAGGTTATATATATGATCGTGCAGCTGGAAGCTATCGACCAAATTTATACAGAGGAGTTCCTTTCTTGCCCGCATAGCCTAGTGAGAAAACTGTCCGAGAGTGGTTCAGCAACTGTACTGAGAAGTCTCCTAGTTAGCTGGTGTCCAAAGAACCCCTTCAGTGCAGAAGGACAATCCCGGCCTCTTCAGTTGTACATGCGGGGACAGTCTCGACGTCGGGGGCCCTTGATGCCTAGTCGACCTCTCTATGTGCCGAGATAAATTTGTGGGGATGTAGAGCCCTAAGTATAGGGTAGCAAATAGTTTGGTCAACCAATCCTTTTGTATCTGGCAACTCCCAATCTCCCACCTCCTGCAGCAAAAGCGCTATGTGACCATAAGGATGATATCGGTGATCTCCTGAGTTGCAGGTCATCAAAAGGCGATATCTGATCCATCTCCTTCTCCACAGACATTAACTCTGCGGCTGCTCTCCCACCAATAATGGTAATATAAGCTCAAGAAACAATACAGAACAGGAGGGACTACCAATGATGATCGGAGTATGCAAATCACAGCCTATGATTCGCAAGATCTGCTGCCGCCAGCCTTTCAGCTTCCTATTGCGGACTAGAATTGTGCCGGGAAGGATCCGCCTATTGACACAGCAATCCTTCAAGGCTGTGCCCAGTACGCAGCAGCGTAAGCGATCCAATAACCCCCTCGATGGCAACTGCGAGTATGTCGTGAAGATGTTGAAGCGGGGTGATTTAATACTTTGATTGGTTTTGCGCTGCACCGGGTTATAGGCTCACCATACGTGGCGAACAGTTGGCGATTATTGAACAAGGTCAGCCACGGTCAATAAGACTGGATGAGGCGTGAGGCTGTCACTCCGCGCATGTGATATACATTTCATTGCAACTAACTTCGTGATGCCCATGGCTAGTACTGCATATAACCATCGCCCGATTTCTCTGTCATCTACAATCTAGTCTTCTATCCACCACTTCAGAGATCTATTACCACATTTACACTACCCGCGGGCCAACCAAATTTACCAAGCTAGGGAATCATGGCGACAGCGGAAAGCCTGCTCGACCTCGCTCGGAACGCACGAGCAGAATGCAACACCGGCCAGCGCAAGTTCAGCACTGCGCTTCCCGCCCTGGACGCACTGGTGTCGGAGCTGGATTTCTACAAATCCGTCTTGCGCAAGCCCGTGAACAGCGGAGCACTGACCAACCTGGAAAGCCATCTGACGCCGTGCGCGGGGGCGTTGAACACGCTCTTGAACATCCGGCGTAAGTACCGGAGCGAGATGTCGACCATGGAGCGAGTCAAGTGGAAGTCGACAGACGGCGAGAAGTTTACAGAGGCAGTCAACCGTCTCCAGGATGCAACAAACCTGCTACGAGGAACACTTCGCATGACGAGCGAAATGCAGCAGTCTCGCACAGCGGAGAAGAAACCCAGTGTGGTCAAGGACGCTGTGCAAGAGACTACGAAAGCGAAAGAGAACGCAAAGGCTAAACCTACGCTTTGTCGCAATGGCGCCGGATGTCGGGCCATGGAGTGCAAGTACAGCCATCCTGATGCGGAGCCTTGTCGGTATGGAGCTGGCTGCACCAATTCCAAATGCGGGTTTCGCCATCCCAAATCGCGGGCCTGCCGCAACGGGGCCGGATGTAGGAAGTCGGGCTGTACCTTCTCCCACCCAGAAGCGCCCGACTGCCGGTATGGGGTAGGATGTACTAATGCAGCCTGCTCGTTCAAGCATCCTCGTGTCGCTCCCTGTTCGGCTGGCGTCAACTGTGTGGCTCAAAATTGCAATCTCTTCCATCCCGAAGTGAAACCGTGTCGGTATGGAATCGGGTGCACCAACAAGAGCTGCACATTTCGCCATCCACCACCACCCTATACGAAGGAACCAACCACGTCCGTGAAACCGGTCGACGAGAAAAAGCCCAAGGCAAAGAAAAGCTCCGCAAATGAAAGTCCGGAGAAAGCGAAAAGGAAGCCCAAGGTGAAAAAGCCCTCCATCATCCCCGAAAAGGAGACGGCCAGTTGACCTGTCACTGTGCTATGCATTCCTGCGCCTCGTTTGTGCGGGGTTTTTACGCTATGCGACGTCTAGTGTCCCGGTAGTTTGGCATGATACGAGATTAGCTGCACAAGTTTTGTTGGTAATCTTATCCAGAAACGCGACATCGTAAATCCTTTGAATCACAGCAGACATACATCCATGGCCAAAGAGCGTAGCCACAGTCAACCCAGGAAAAAAAAAAAAAAAAAACCATGTATAGTCAGTCTTACAATTTGAGGAATCAACTTAGCCCTCGTTCGTTGAGGAAAGGTAGATGATGGCCTTCCCAGAATAATCCAGCCAACGGATCGTCCCGAAGTTGATGCTAAAATCTCGTATCCGACGTGGCCACGCACTAGTCTGTACTAGGAGAACAAAATTGCGTCTCACAGCCGAACAAGCGACATTTTGATTGGGAAAAGGCCGACCAGTCGCAGGGGCCTGATCCAACAGGCAGAGGGTCTGTCCCGCGTGAGGGCGCGGCTGGCATCAAGTACGAGGCCTTTTCTCCATCAGTTCCTGTCGTTTTCCCGCACTCTGCATCTTGTTGTTCAACAACACAATGGCCGATCCGATTGGGGTAGCTGGATTAGCCCTTTCCGGGATTTCTCTGTTCTTCCAGGTCTATGCGGGGACGGTGCAAGGAAGGTCCAACCTCCAATGAGTGAAGATGGGCAAATCTAACTCGATGTGATATACAGGTATCCAGCTGATGCTGGCGGCACGTGATGTACCTGAGGAGTATCAAAGGCTGCGGTATCGCCTAGAAATCGAGCAAGGGAAGCTTCTGAGTTGGGGCCATAGCTTCGGATTACTGCGGGAAGAATCAGAGGAGGAAGATGGATTGACGATTTCCATCCCCCAACATGTTCGGTGCTTGGTTCAGGGATACATTGAGCCGCTGTGGCAAAAGGTCTTGCATTTCACGACAACGACCCCCGGTTTTGTCCCAAAGGACGAAAGAGAGGAGACACTGAGCGTGTGCCATAGAGGCATGGCGCGACGGTTCCGGCTGGACCACATGTACCAAAAGGCTAGGCAGGGAACGGTTAGACTCAGGGACCGTGTCCATTGGGCGTATTGGAAGATGGACGAGCTGCAAGATTTGGTAGAATGTATGATACATGTCAATAATAGTGTCATCGCCCTAACCGAGGTGAAAACGCAGCAAGAGATCCAGGAAACCGTGAAAGCGACGCTAATGGGCTTGCTCAGCCTACAGGATACCGTCAATGGACTGAAGGAGCTGATAATTGCCGTCGATGAGAATCGTCGTAATAGCCAGCCATCACAGCTGCCGCTGAGTGAGCCGGAGGATCTCCTCCGAAAACTGGCTGAGTTGAAAGAAATGCGATTGCAATCGAGACACAACAAGGATGACGGGAGTCTTCAAGCTTCCTTGAAAATCTCGCCTGAAAGAGTCTGGCCTTCGGATCAAATGAAATACCCGTCGCCTCAACGTCAAGATGCGACCAAGGACGGCAAGAAAGGGTTCTGGGTGGAATACAGGGACTATTCCAGTTCACAGCAAACGGCGGGCCCGACGAAGGATGAAATTGAGCGGCATATTGTCCGAGAACTAGCAACACTCTTAAGCTTAAAGCTACCGCAGAGCTTTCGTGTAGCGCAGTGTGTTGGCTACTACGAGGAGGGTGGGTCGTTCGGCTTGGTTTTCGAGAAGCACACCGAACATGCTGACCAAACCATCATCCCACTCTCTCACTGTCTGTCCCTAGAGAGCCAGATGCCCAGTCTCGGAGAGAGGGTCGCTCTCGCCCAGGGAATCGTCCAGACGGTGTTCCAACTTCATGTGGTCGGGTGGCTGCATAAAGGGCTGCGGCCAGCGAATATCCTGCTCTTTGAGGACCATAACGGGCACATTGCCTATGGCAAGCCATATATTTCGGGATTCGAAGATTCTCGCCCGGCAGCACAACCCAATCTAACGGAAGAAGCTCATTCGCGTTTGGTGAACGATGACTGGTATAGACACCCACTCATCCAAACCCAGATGCCGCGGCATCGGGAATTTCCATACTGTATGCAATATGACCTCTATTCACTTGGAATATTGCTTGTAGAGATTGGCTTGTGGAAGTCGATCCCCAATGTGCAACGAATGGTCGGCCCGAGCGACATCAAATCGCATATTCTCGGGAATCGGGGCGGGTTAATACAAGCCATTCAATTTGCGATGGGTCAAATATATGCCGACATTGTCATCAATTGTCTGGATCCGGGTGAAGCGATGGACGATCAGATCCAGATGGCTAGCTATATCTATCATTTTGAGAAGCTGGTGGTGAAACCTATGAACCGAATGTCGGTAGATTGAGGGGACTTTTATGGAACAGCGATTAGTTCATCTAGAGCACATATCCAGTGCTATTGTCAGGGGTAGAATAACAAGGACACAGCCAGAACGCAAAATAAACACATTAAGATGTACAAATATGAACTGTGGAGTGCTTGAGAGCAGTCACAAGGAGGGGAAGCTGGCATCATTTGCGGGGGTGACAGGCTAAAGTGGCTTAGCACGTAGAAATTGTGTTAGTTAAGTTACTGTGGGTATTGACTTAAGCAGCTCTTTCCAACTCTTCCAGCCTTGTGAGTTTCCAGTCTTCACCCCTCACCTAGTCAGCGGCCTGCTGTGGATCGTCTCACTGAGAGGAGACAATACCCTGAAAGGCTGTTCCAATCAAATCTTGTCCAAGCTGCAGTCTCTCATCGTACTCTCTTACTTCGTCCCTCAAGCTTTCTTCTTCGGAGCCGACATGATGGCTACAAAATGGGGTGAGCATGGCATTGGAGAAGATCCGGTGAAAGCCTCCAACTACCCTGGTAAAAAGCTCTGTGAGCGGCTGTCCCGAAGAGAAGGTCATTGGTCGGGTAAGGGACAGGTAAACATCGAGTTTCGGCAAAATGATGTTGTGCCTCTGGAAGATGACCAGCAGCTCGAATATAAGGGATCATATGGGCGCGTGTGTCGGAGTATTTTGACGGTGGACGAAGAAAGAATCGTCGTGGCCCGGAAGACGATGCGACTTTCCGACATTCCAGCAAAAAAGATTCGTGATGAAGTGAAGATTCTTGAGGATTTAAAACATCGCCACCTGGTTACCTTTATCGGATCGTTTACCTCCAGGGGCTTTGCCAGCATCCTTATGTATCCGTTTGCGACATGCGACCTGGAGAGGCTACTCCAGGGACTGGACGAAGCCCAGTATCACGAACAAAAGAGCCCGGTGAGCACCCTGCTTTCTGAGCTCGGATGGATCCAAACCGGCCCCAAGGCAGCCCCATGGAAGCCAAGTGATATTTTCCCCCATCTGCAACGCATCTGCGGCTGTGTATGCAGCGCCCTCCTCTACCTACACCAGCGCCGGATCCGCCACAAGGACATCAAACCATCGAATGTGCTGGTGAGCAAGGACGGGGTCTACATCACCGATTTCAACATCTCCAAGGCGTTCAAGAGCGACCTGTCATCTCACACGGTGGGCCCTTACGCAGGAACGATGAGATATAGTGCTCCGGAGTGTGTGTATGAAACGGGTCGTTCCTACCCGTCTGATGTGTATTCCCTCGGTCTCGTTTTCATGGAGATATATACCTATATTCTGGGCAGGCCTAGATCGGATATGAATGACTACACCAAGTCCGATCTGTCGCTCTCAAAAGACTCGCAAATCCGACACGCTGCCTTACGAATTCTTTGGGTGAGGGTCATTTTTGATGGGGCAGGGAGAGGTGGCTTTGGCACAAACGCTGGCATGCAAGAGCTGATACTGAGAATGATAAGCGAGAATCAGGACGCACGACCTGAGGCTTTTGAGGTCATGTCTGAGCTGTGGGCTCATAGCCCATCGGGAGATTTTTTCTGCAATGAATGTAGGAAACATAAAGGCTGTGTCGGCTATAAGGGCCTAAGGAAGCGATACTCAGAGCTCTACAAGAAGTATGACGACACCATAAAAGAGAAAAATGACTTAGGTACGTTTAAAATATTCCGTTCGAGCTTCTCGTTTAACAACGCGTACAGAGAAGAAGTTGGAGCAAGCACGGGAGGAGCTAAACGCGAGCCGAGCAAGCAACGGTCCTCTGTCACCATCAAGCGAGGTGGGCCCGACGAAATCACCTCAGCTCACATCTCGGTCACTATCCCAGGTGTCGGTTATTCGCAGTCCTAGGACAGGACCGCCTGTGATACGCAATAAGAGTGGACAACGATTAGACCTTGACAGTTTAAGCTATTCGCGTATTGTGGACAAAAGGAACAGTGACCTCATCGATACACTGAATAAGGTGCAAGGACTGAAGCTGTGCCGTGCACACTACCTCACCGAGAGATGTCGGAATCCGAACTGCTCTCATCGGCACGACGTAAATCTCACGGAGGAGGAGCTTGAGGCCTTGCGGTATCTCACACGCGGCCAAGCTCCTTGCAAGAATGGAAATGGTTGTACGTATCCGAAATGTATATATGGCCATATTTGTCCCCTAGGTCCGTTAAAGGATCTTCATGGCTGTCCCTTTGCGGACGATATGCATATAAGAGATACGATCCCAGTACTCTCGGATCCGTTAGATTGATGCAAGAAGCCACTGTCAAGTCAGGCATAATTTTAACATGGTTTCTCGCTTTGGACTTTATACTGTGATAACCATTGGCGGGGATGGCTATACATAGTTTAGTGAACCTCTAGCTCAGTTTATGATAGATACACACAGTTCACACCAGGAGCACTTCCGCATTGTAAGGTTAAGCTTGATCGGCCAATCACGTATTAAGTTTTGGCGAAATGACCATAATATGCCTCATTTCGGCTAGGTAGTAGTACTGCCAACACATGGATAGCACACAGAGCACGATCCGGACGTGCTTCTGCAGGAGTTGCAAAACTTAGCCGTGTGCTTGGAGGATGACTCGACTAGAGGTGGGGGAGGGCTTCTCTGAAAGGTGCATGCTAGAAAGTAGATTCATTAATATCAACATGCCATGATTTTCAGACTTATATATTGTTTCTCTTGAAATAACTTCCGTGAGATTGTGTTTTCGACGGGTTGGTTGGTGAAACAAGTGAGGAAATCTGTCGGGAATCGGGATTGGAACATTATACACACATACATACACGCCGTACTAAGTTGTAACGGTAGAATGGCATGATGCGACCCTAGATATGGTGCTATATGGTAATAGGATACACTAAGCTATTCAGTGTAATAGCTGCAATGTTGTCTTCTCCAAGAGTATCCTAGCTGCAGTGGTATAGGGCTCTCAGGCATAAAAGCAAGGCATCTGCCGGACGATAGTGAGCTCCACTACATCGATGTACAAAAGGAATCCACTGTGAAGATCTCTTATTCTATATGGGACCGGGCCTTGGAGATAGACCAAGGCTCTCTTGTACCGGAAACCCTGATTATCCGGGTTTGAATATGTTTTCAAACTCGCGAGCGCGTTTTCTTTGGCTGATACATATCCCATTTTTCAATCATTTATTACATTCTGATGTGGCCAATACAACCATTCAGACGGTTGGGTTTTCTTTTGTACTACTTTGAGGCAGTACTCATCGGATTGAGGGAGGATAGTAGCTGTGGTAACCTTTCAGTCAATGTCGGTCCAACGTCTGAAACGTGCGTGGAATCGAGTGTTCTGGAGTGTGTGGATCTCGCAGTCAGAGAGGGTGGTGCTATCTTAACAGTGTAATCTAAAATATGGGGTGTCAAGGTCTAGTGCCGACCGAGGGCAATGTAGACCATGGTCAGGGAAACTAATACTTGAACTTTCATTGGGAAGCCTGATTGTTTCGACCGCAATCTAGACAGGGTAGAGTTACGTTCTGGTCATACCACTGCTCACGACCTGGAGGCCATAAATGCCAAAATCACCAGCGCTAGCCATTTCCACACAATCCTGTTTCAACTTAAACACCCATGGCCAGAATGTCTATTTTTTCTTTCTCTCTAGAGCATACGCCCCCTTCTTTGCACCGTAAAAATGTTTGATAATTTGGCCCTAGTAGAGCATCCACTGATGGAAACTCTGAAAACGTGTACATTATTAGGGCAGAGAACCGGGATTTGACGTTCAATATGATCTTAAGGATTAAAAAGAACATCTCGATAATCCTTAAGTCCTACGACCTCTACGTACACTTCTGAAGCTAAGGGCCTCTTCTTATTCCTCATCCTCAATAGCTTTGTGGCTATGAACTGCGAAGATCATAGGCTAAACAAGGACTGGCTTCACACCTGACAGACTAAAAAGGAGTCAAAAACATTGAACTGGACCCTAGTGTTCCAAACCAATGGATCCGCCGTGCGTGATTGCAATGTCACCGTGACAAGAGCCGTAACAGTTCTAGATCAGATGGAATCCTCCATATGCATTTTTATCAAGGCTGATTCCCCACGCAAAGTGCCCTCGCTGCTCCGTCCTTATCTCACTTGATCATCCTACCCGGTCGATATACTCTCTACGAACGATGAAGTTTCAAGCGCTTGTTGCGGTTCCTTTTGTGGGTCTAGCTATGGCCGGTGCAGGCCGTCACGGACAGGAAATGGATCTCGCAGCTAGAGCGATTCCAAACATTTGCAACAATAATGGCGTCCCCGACTCCTGTGGCAGCTGTGCTTATTACGCCTACCTTGGTGGTGGCGGACAAGAACCCCCGGTTCTTCCTTGTATGGACAGGTACGGCAACCCTTGCGCCAGCGATGTCGACATGAGTACCTGCTGTTGCGGCTGTTGCTGCAGCCCTGTATCTATACCTCAACTTCCTCCTTGCAGCCAGGTCGCTGATCCTCTCTTCGAGAAGAATTGTAATGCTAATGTCTGCGTCAATTGCTGCGACTGCGTAAACTTCTGAGAACTACCAATAGTTTCGTGGTTCAGAGCTTTTAGTCGTTGTATGGAGTTCCCCTACATATGTGGAAAGCGGTGTCATTGATGGTCGCAGTTACGTTAAGAATATCTGGAGTGATATAAATCACTCTAGGTTGAATGTGCAAAGGCTACCAGAGGATGGCATCATCGTTTGGTGGTTCAGTAAGTTTGACGATAGAATAATCACCTATTATAACTAGGCAGAGATAGGTTCGCAGCATGTATTCCCATTCCGGGATTCAATTTCACGAGATGCATGGGACAACGGAAGTCAGCACTTAGATTCCTACTCGTGGCCTAGCCTATGAATCTGGTTATTTATATCCTTTTCTTGGGTAACAAAGCTACTATTGAAATCGGCGTCTGAAATGCTCCTTGCTGTTCTCAGCGTGCAAATTTGTTCTATCTGTAGGTTCGGGTTTCCCGCTAAACCCGCCATGAACCTGGAAAACCTGTAAAAAACCCGCAAAAATCATATGACCTAAAAATCTGGATTTTTCTAGAATTCTTTTATATTTTTATATAGATTTATACTAGAGTTTTGTTATCGGGTCGGGTTCTTCACATAATAGCCCGTACCCGCCCTGAACCCGACTCCGCCCGCTAATACCTGTAGAGTGCGGCGTCATCTATTATCTAGGTTATAGCTAGGTTACAGCGGTTAGGTTATGCCACTCTACTTCCTTATTTTCACTCCTCCACTGAATTACCTTAAGATTCATCAAGCTTTTCGGGCTCAGGTAGATATCGCGCGGCAACCGACAACGTGGCAGCAAGCAAGATCATCATTACCCAAATGGCATATCCCCCGGCAAGTTGCGTTCTCACCCCCAAAGCGAAGAGGGTGGTGAAAAGGGCAGGGCAAATTGCCCTCAGGCTGCTAACCCCGGTCAAGGCCAGGGCATTCAGCGTACCCAAGACTTTTGGCGATGGGGAGACGTCGTTCAAAATGAGCTGGATGGCTGTGAAGCTCATGCTGACCCCACAGCCGACGGCCAGCGCTATTGGTAGGAAAACCCAGAAAACCTTAACAGATACCTCGCTGTCCAGGCGCAGGAGTATATTACCAGCCGGACAGGCAAGGAAGAAGAAAGGATAGGCATAGGCACATAAGCGGATGACTCCATTCGACCCGATCCTCTTCTGCAATGGAGGGAAAGCTAGGAGGAGCCACACAGATTGGGCGGCGCCGTTCAGACCCATCAGCACCGACATCTGTAGAGGAGTGAAGCCGTATCCACCGAGGTACGTAGGAGTGAACCAAAAGACCGGGATGATAGCTGTGTAGGCAAAGGCAAGTACCATAATATGTCCATATGTGTAGAGAACTATCCCAACACTAGGGGCTTTCAAAAGCTGCCAGGCTGATAGCTCTATATCGGGGTTAGAACCTGATGTAGCAGGCTCTTTTTTCAACGTCTCTTGGACGAATAAAAGACTAGAAAAGGCAGCGGTAGCTCCGACCAGGCCCACCACCAGGCTCGATAGCGCGTATGGGTAGTCAGCGAAGAACCCAGTGTCCTTAAATACACCTGGATACTGGCGTGCAGGGTTGGCAAGACTACCACCCAACAGAGGACCAAGGAAGAGACCCAAGTTTCCACTGAAAGCGAACCAACTGAATGATCGGGCTTGTGTCTCGCTCGTGCTGTGCTCGGCGATCATAGTGCGGATAGTGACGATAGTCCCCGCAAAGACACCGGCAAGGCACCTGAATAAAACCATCTGCGTGATACTCTTCGACAGTCCGAAGAGGACCGTCGCCACGGTCACGCCGAATAAGGAGAAGACCAGGACGGGCTTCCGCCCGACGCGATCGGCCGCTCGGCCCCAGAAAATCATCACTATGGCCTGAGTGAGGGAAAATAGGGACTCTGTGAGCCCTGTATAGAAACCGACATCCGAAATCTTGATACCCCCGTTGTCCTGGATCATCTCACTGACATAAGGGAAGATGGAGAAGAAGGCCAAGGGCTCTACGGCACGAGCATAACAGAGTAGTAGGATCTGAGCCTTTGGTAGAGGCTTTTCCTCTTTGGGAACCCTGTTGCGCCCTAGTAGAGCCGTAGTCTCATGCACATCATCTGATGTTGTGGTAACCATATTCGGTAGATTCGTTGGTTAAGAGAAAGAATCTTAAGGCTGAGCTTGCCTTGCGGTGAGCACCGGACTTATGTAAGTCCGGCCCGTTTATCTACCACCGCAAGCCAGCCCAGGGCTGGCACAAGCCTGCACAGCGGATAGAGTGGTGGCACGTAGACTGCGGCAACATCCTCAATGTCCATGGATATCCGCAACCCTCTCCACAAATTGCGGATTTGGTATTCGACCCCAAGATCCAATGGAGAGGATATGCCGCAGTCTCAGATGTACTATGCAACAGCTATAGTAGGCTTTGTATATGGATATATTTGAAGTATTACCGTAATAGGTAGTACAATATTTAAACAGCATACCCCAGTAAATAGTTAGGTCAGAATCGCGCAGAGGATTCCGGTCCTCAAGCGATTCGTTCTGTTACACTATATGAGGGAACTGCCATACAATCTTGAACCGCCTTGAGCTTCCTAGCACTGCATTCCTGAAGCCCGTTGGCCTACCGCGCTCCGCAGGCATACCGCCGATAGATCGTAGTACGCCGAAAGAGCGCTTACAATCCGTAATGAATCCACCTATTCACATCCTAGGCAGCTTTAATACCCACAGTAGCAGGGTTTTCTATAAACGCCATCAGTAAGAATAAGCATCCTCATTCCAATATGATACTGGAGGGCAAACCACGTACCCTGCATCAAATCACCGTAAACCTGTCCATTAATTACTGTCAGAACCGTACCTATTTACGTCCGTTAGCTTGGCTCTATTACCCACCCTGACAACCATAAGCCCAAGCTCTAGATCAAAACGTCAATACTTACCACCATTCTTAAGGACTAACTCTCCACCATCATTGTCAATAGTAGTCTTTTGAATCAAGTCCTCACGAACGTCGCCCCCCTTCTTGTGCCATAATACACGCTTGGGAAGCAAACTGCGATCCTCGATTTGAAATCGTCCCAGGTACCAGCCATCGGACTCAAGGAGGCCGTCGTTGAAGGTAAAAACAGCCGGGTTGTTGTGGTCGGCCTCTGCGTGAATTTGTTCTTCGTCGGGGTTGATGTTTTTGGCGATGGGGATGCCGTCGAGGGTAATGATGAAGGAGCTTGGGAGGTTTGCCATGGTTGTTGACTTGATGTTCTAGGTTGATAGGAGGGGCTATGGAATAGAGGAGTAGTGCGTGAGAAGGTATTTGAGATAAGAAGAGCAAGATGAAAAGGTAGGGAGATCCGGCACTTAAATACTGAGTTACTGTAGGTAGTAGTGATGTTGTTACCCCGCTGGGTTCTGTCGATCTTTTCTTCAGCAAAGACTAGTAGGATCCATCTATGGCCCGATCGCGATTGGTGCTGGGGATCCACAGTTCAGCTACAGAGTAGATCCACGTCAGATGCGTTTTGGTACAGACGAGAGTGATTCTCATAGTAGTAGCCATTACCGAGTATTATACAGAAAAACCATGCCAAACCCTAACGCCTAAGGTCATGGCGAAGATTCTTAGTCCCGATTCAGCTAGCTTAGATTGCAGCCTAGATCGTCAAGATTATCTGAGAGAACTACCAAGGTGGGTCAAAAGTCTGATTACACTAACGTGTTTCCGCGACGCGTCAAAAAATCGCACCTTTTTCAACCACCTACCATTCCATTAAAATAAGAACTTTTGGAACCAAAATTAGTGGAAATCAAAGGGCTACTTCTGAGCTTTCTACTAAAACCTGTACAGCTATATTATTTAGTCAAGATAACTAGATATCGCTCACTCAACTAGCTAAGTAATTTGGGGTTAGTCGGAACTAGGCTTCTTCACGGCCCATCCCGGCCCAGGCCCACGGTGGGTTAGGCTTTGGGCCCGAGTCTAGGGCCCATGATAGGCCTTGGGCCTAGTATAAAGGCCTATAATAGACCCGTGGGCCCCCAGTTGGGCCCCAAACAGTGTGAATATCGGGTTACCTTAGTCTAATACAGACATGATAAGTACTTTCTGGTAGGTACAAGCATAGCTTATCGCTGTCAGCTACACGCCCTTGATGCTCTGTTGAGGTAACATGGTATTATGAAACTTGTGTATCCTTACCAACTACATTTCAGACAACCATTGAGTTACAGGTGCTTGGTGAAAACTTATGTGTGCTGATATAGAATGAATGACTAGGATACCTCCGTCCATGGAACCAAGAAAGCTCACTTACAATATACGGGGTAGCTCATGAGTTTTTGAATTTCTGCCGATGGGATACACCATGTTGCAGATCTGAAGTTCGGATTTCTGCTCCTAAGAGTGGAGTGGCTAACTTGGGACATTCACAGTTGATCAAACTATACTCTACTAGGATAGTTGTGACCGAGGTTCTTCTTATGTTAACCGCTCAGGGCACACTAGTCTCTCTACAAGCCCGCAAACAGATTGAGAACAAGAGATAGATGGGGGAAAAAGAAAAACATACAACAGGAGGGATTCGCTGGTGGTCACCCACCCAACTACTAACCTCCCGGCGTGTGGCTTAAGTACGGCTGAGCGGACGGGAAGCCCTGTTCTCCACACCCTGTGGTCGTATGTACCAAATCTTTGGTTGAGACAACTTATATAGGCACTGTGATCATTTTCTTGTCTCAACATTTCGCGTACACCAACACTTCTCCATGGATTGACATGGGTGGAAAGGAGAAAAGGAAAAATACAGGGGGGAGAAGAAAAACAAGAAGGAACTTTGGAGCTGGCTGACATATATCTTGAGGCACACCAGTTGGAACAGATAACCTGTAGCTTCGGCTATATATATTTGGGCCCCAGCAATACCTCTGCCCTCAGTACCCACCTATCCCAAGCAACCAAAATCATTCAAATTATAATAATTTACTTCTAGATCCGCTTGTATGCAAAATCTGCGCGAGAACATCAGTGACTCACTGACTTCCTCCGGGAGTCTAAGTTCCAATCTCTTCTTTCATCGCCAATTCTATAAGATATCTTCTGTGCTACGAACGCGCTTTCCCGAGGTCTTCCTAGTAGAAGTCGCTCACCCACCCATGGCTTCTCCGCCACCATGCATGGTGTCCGCAAGTCCTAGTAGGGCTAATAGTCTAATACATTATTAAGGATGTATAAAAAGCAGAGTCCCTCATGCATCGCCAGCTGATTCAGCCCGTCGTGCCGGCGCAGGCTCCGGCAGACGCACGTAGCCCGCAGGTGGTTCTTTCATTGTTTTCCACACAGAGCGTGGCACCGAATTCTCATTGACATACTCCAGAAGAGCTTCAAAGTCTCGGCAAACATGCTGATTACTGAAGTCCGGGAAAGGTTGATCCCACCCCTCGACCCAGTTGAACAGGATCACGTCAACGCTACTGGAGCATTTGATGGCCTGTGCCAGAATATCTATACAGTGACTAATATGTGCCATATGTTCAGCGTCCGGATTGTTTCCAAACTTAGGAAAATAGTAATGTTCGTAGGAGATCTCCTTCCGCAACATGTCAATGCAATGCAGGAGATGGAACACCTCCGTCTGTGCGATATACGCATCATCCCCGTATCCATGCTCTTCTGGAATCTTGACCGCAACCGAGGGATCCTTTCCTAGTTTGTGGATTTCATCGGAGGAGATGATAATCGGCATGACTCCGGTGCCGATGCGGAACCATTCTGCGTCGGCTTCACTCCCTGTCGGGATCCGCAAAATTGAAGGCGGATCAGTATCGTATAATGATGCATTCGGCGTTATGGTAACTCTTGGAATATCCACACGGTCAAGTAGAGGTGCTAAAAAGGTCAGTGTTACGTGGAAAGTGAGTGGAAGGTTCATGCAGGGTTACCGTAATGAGATGTGGACTTCCACTTGTCCTGATCGCTTAAGTACGGGACGCAGGTCTGTCGCGATAATACCAAGAACAAGAGAACAACGGAGGTTATTAGCAATGCCACATTTAGAACAGTGAGCCATAGCATGAGGGCGTGTCCCCGGGGGTATACCCGCTGTGCTGCTCTGGTGATCCATCTGACTTGACCATGACCAGGCCTATCAGCAGGGTCATTGTTAAACAGAAGGGGCTTTGCTAGATCCTCTTGACTCAAGTGTGGATGCGACCCATCATCTAGGCCGTTGGTGCCTTCTTGAGCATCCGACATATTATCGTTCGTTACGCAATACAAAACCAAGAGGATATCAAGAGTGGTAGGGCTCGGCAGGTATGTGAAACGAGAGAAGGAATGGCTGCGGCGAAGAAGGGTGAGCGTCGTTATCAGTCATATTATGGCGCAAGGAGCTTACACGGATATTGAAGGGCCAGAAGACCCAGCTAGACCAAGATACAAATAATATCAAGCCGAAGTGATCGATGACGAGGAATATCGTAACTCAGCGAAGCCTGAAGTGTTGATGGTCACGTCCGTCGGGATTCCGCGACAACATCCCTTGGCACGCTTGGCGAAGAGGAGATATAGATCCTTCATGTAAGCATAGAACCTTTATTCATTTGTGCCAGCTTATAGGATACACCGGAGGTCGTCCATGTTACATCCACTATATGCTGACCGTGTGTCCTAGCCCATCTAGAGGAAAGCCATAGAATCCTTCTGCAGCATTATCATCCTTGTGACCACATCTATGATGTCGAAAGCCTAATCTCGACTTTAAACCTTAGTGAAAATTGTATGCTGCTCTACCTCAGCACGCGTCCCAGGAGAGATAGCAGCGTGGATATAAATCCTGTCCATAGACACCCGAGGGTACATCTCTATATTTTTCTCTTAGCTGTTGGTGTGTTCATTACTACCGTTAAGACATTTCCCTCTAGAATCATCCACCGCCATGCAGTTTAACGTCATTGTCGCACTTTTGGCCATTGGAGCGCCCCTGGCCTATACTGCACCCATAGGTGCGAAAACCCGCCAAATGAATGTTTCTTTGCTGACATTGGGCTATGTAGTTGGTCAGGATAACGAGGCAATTCCATTCTACGAAAAGCGTACCGACAACAGTGAAGCTATCCCATTCTACCCAAAACGGGAGGAAAATAGCGAGGCTATCCCGTTCTACCCAAAACGAGAGGACAATAGCGAGGCTATACCATTTTACCCAAAACGCGAGGAAAATAGCGAGGCTATCCCATTCTACCCAAAGCGGGAGGACAATAGTGAGGCTATCCCATTCTACCCAAAACGGGAGGAAAATAGCGAGGCTATCCCATTCTACCCAAAACGAGAGGCAAATAACGAGGCTATACCATTCTACCCAAAACGAGAGGACAATAGTGAGGCAATTCCTTTCTACCCAAAGCGGGACGAAAATAACGAGGCGATACCATTCTACCCCAAACGGGAGGAACATAGCGAGGCTATTCCTTTCTATGAAAAGCGGGCCGAGGAGAGTGAGGCCATCCCCTTCTATGAGTAGTCACTGCTGTCACTGCAAGTGCAGCACAAGATGACTCGCGTGGTTTATATTTCACGTATAGTCCATTATTCTGCATGTCTCTAGAAGTTCTACTCTATCCGCGCCAAATACAGTATGATTCCTGAAATGGAAATTGGTATCAGAGGTCTTCCCCGCTCTTTCGCGAACCCACCAAGTAGTACTAGACTCCTAAAGAACGATCTTATCTGCCTGAACCGAACCCCGCATTAGATGCGTATACTCACGATGCACCACTCTTGTATTTCTATGGGTGCCCAGTAGTCTTCCACCTGTCCGTGACCGATATCCCTAGTGGTAGGCCTCCGCCATTCGGCGTCTACGCCTGCAGGTAGTGGGTGACAAAGTTCGACTGTGACTGGATATATCACTGAAGAACCGGAAGGCAAAAATACACATTGGATCCTGCAATGTAACGTCGGGGGTGTCTGAAGGATTCGCTTCCTTGATTGGGGGCGGGAAAAGGACTCGGTACAAGCGTTGTATAGAACTTTCGCCTACCCGAGCCTTTCCCCCAGCGGGGTGCATATATTCGATGCCAATGGTGTAGAAATTCTTTCTGCCTCCGCATAGTTCGCCTTACTGGAGAGTCTTTGCATTTTAGTACGAAATCTCTGAACGTGCCTCAGCCTGACTATCCCAGCACCGCTGCAAAGCACGGTGTTAGCCTCTATCGATAGACCCTGGCTGAATCAAGCTTGTTCGCTCAGAGGAATGGCCAAATATCAGCGCCTTCTGGATGAAGGTAGCTCGGATGGTTCTGACCATCTTGAAGCTCACTATGAATCTTCCGGCATGGCAAAGCGTGATCGGAAGCTTACCATTCGCATCAGATATGCCTTCCTTCTACTGCTAGCGACAGTGGGCTTCCTCGATTTGACATACCGGGCATACATCATGATCCGCTCTCGCAAGCCAATATCCTGTAACTGTGGAGAGACGGTTGAAGAAGCCATCGCCAACAACTGCAGATATGACTCGATTGCCGCTGCCTGGCTCCCTCCCGCCTGTCGAAATGACGAACTTCTGGAGCAATTCGAGACATCTGGCCCCAACTCTGACGGGAGCTGGATGTACTATGCTGATAAAAACAAAACACGGGTCCTATCGCTCGAAGAAGTGTCCATGCTTCCTAAAACTGGATCGCACTTCTTTACCACACATCAGTGGCATCTTGTGCATTGTGCATACTACTGGAAGAAGATGTTCCTAGCTGCTGAGATGGGTACGGTGATTGAAGCTCGGTATAATAACCTTGCTCATATCAATCACTGCGAGATGATGTTTCTAAAGCGTGATGCATTGGATACAATTGTGACCGAGGCGGGCGTGTCACTGCATTCCGATCGAATGGTTGTTGCGAAGAAACATGGCCATAAAGGGCATATGCACGAAGGAAGTGACGGCATGAGCGAGGAAACTGGCTATTAGAATGCACAAATTATATTGTATGTACTGAGCGATTAGTGACTTGAAAGTGTGGTCTGAACCTGTATGAGCTATGACCCTCAACCGTATCCATCGTCTCAACGACATCGGGACTACCCCCGACAGGCAGCATTACCCCCTCTGCCACATTCGATAACGCCCAGATTGCATAAATAGTAAGCGGGGCGAGACCGAGCCCAATGATTGGAGCCGCGTAAGCTTGGAGATTGACAAACCGACGTGTCTTCTCTTCGTCGTTCGCATCGGGACTCACTGCTGGCAGTTATTAGCTCCCCCCAAGGCTCCAACATGATCGAAAAAAGAATCAGAGGAGAACTGACCTTGCCAGGTTTGTGGAAGCCCAGCGGGAAAGTAAGGAAGGTTACTCCACAGCTGTTGGTTCAGGATGGTGTGCTTTGACGTAACACCCGTCAGCTCTTGCACGATGGTGACCAATTTCTCTTGTGCGGGGCTCTCATAGGGTATTGGGCTAGCGAAACTATTCATTGACCCCTTTAGGATGCCTCCCTGGGTCCATACCTGGGTTTTGTATGTAGTCCAAGTAGACGGTGTCGAGGGCGAGAGCTGCGTCTTGGGTAGAACAGACGTTGGTGGGTTAAATTGATGCATTGATGATGGTTTGAATTGGAGTTTCGATCCTCAAGTTAACTTGCTCCAGGGCATGCATTGGCTACAAGGATGATGTATTTTGAACGAAGACAGATCCAGGATGCACAGACATGTCAGCATTGGAAGCCTTAAGGCTTCTCGCAAACAGCCACGACAATATTAAGCCACGCCAACCTCAGGCAGCAATTTTATACTTCATTCAACATTGCCATGGATACTCATTAGATCCTGGCCGATCTATATAAGCCACGACGCACATGGCATCTTTATCCGCTGCACCATCAGCAAAAGTAAATGTGAAAAGTGATGTTTTAGGTGCGCTATTCCAAACATTAGCTTCATGTTTAGTTCTTGAGATAGGGCCACTGCGGGTGGCCACATGGAATAATACATCGGGCATCTGAGAGGCCTTTATATGCTCTTGATGAACGTAATGGTACTGAATTGATCAATCGAATAATGACCAAGGGCAGATATAGCCCACCTGCTCGACTAGAGGACGCATAGCACGGGGTTTAGCTACGCACGCACTAAACACAGTCTACTGTAGTAGGTCGCGTGTGTTAAGGTTTGAGATAGATGGAGGAAGAAGATTCGAAGTCTCCACAAGATTACTAACCTCCGATATGCTCGGATATGCTGGTCAATGACATCACTTTAGCCTGGAAGCCACACACTGGTTCTGAAATAAGGGCTGATCACCAGCGACCGTAGCCTAGGAAGATTAAGCTATATGACCCTTCATGCGCATCTGGACACGGGGTGGGGAGCCTGACTCCAACTGCCATTGAGCAGTACGGCATGCCGGTGTTCTCATGCGATATAGTTTAGTTTCAATACTAATGACATCACGACATGGGCAACGTGCAGAAGTATGACATTATACTGAAGTTCCGTAGATCTCGGGGCCTCCAATTGCACAACACTATTGTGCATCACGATTCAGAGGTTCTAGGACCATTTCCGCAACTGTGTCGTTGACCAAAAGGAGGGTGGAGTGTTGACGGCATTGAGCAATCCACAGTTCCAGACTTGCCGAAAGCGTCGATGTGCCCGAGGCTGGTGTGGAAGCTAAATAGCCCAGTGGACAGTCTGTAGTTAATATTCAGTCGTAGTCCGAAAGATATACTCCGCACTTCGCAACGTAGCCCAGTAGTTCGTCACAACAATCGTGAAGATCATGCAGGGCAATAGAGCACCAAGGCAATTTGTGCTGTGCTTTGACGGCACGGGCAACAAATTCTCTGGCAATGAATCTGACAGCAATGTGCTGAAGATTTTCAGAGTAAGTCTTATGCGCCCGAGACTTGGACTCTCTTGACTGGGGTCAGATGCTTGATCGCAGTAGCGGAGATCAATTCCACTATTATCAACCTGGAATCGGCACCTATGTGACTTCGACCTCGCTGTCGAGTAGCGGTCGCATCCACAAAATCCGATCTGCCTATCTCAAAGCAAAAGACGCCGCCATAGGCTCCACCCTAGCCGAACATGTCATGGGAGGCTACAAATTCCTCATGCGGTACTACACGCCTGGAGACGACATTTTCTTTTTCGGCTTTAGTCGTGGGGCATATGTCGCGCGTTTTCTAGCAGAAATGTTGGATGAAATCGGTCTTCTCGAGGCAGGAAATGAAGAACTCCTCCGGTTTGCTTGGAAGACCTTTGCCAAATGGCAACAACGCCGAGGCAACAGGGAACAGAAGGAGCAGTTATCCAAATATATGGAAGCGTTTCGAGAAACCTTCAGCCGCCCTGTGTCTCAGATTCGCTTCTTAGGACTCTTTGACACCGTCAACAGCGTCCCCCGATTTGAGAACGCGTGGATGCAGCGCAGCAAATTTCCTTATACTGCTCGCACCAGAGCCAAGGTCATTCGACATGCCGTCAGTATCGATGAGCGCCGGGCGAAGTTCCGACAGGATTTGATCGGCGAAGTGAGACCGTCCACTCCCACGGGCCCGACGTCGCGACGACAACGAGTGCGCGATCACCTCGCACGGCACCACTTATATCTCCCACACGACCCTACGCAACGCCGCCATGACGAGGAGGGAGAACAGCATAATGGAGCCACTGCAACTAGTGGCTCTCAGAATTCCGAAAAGGCTGCAAACCGTGGACCCCAGGCGCAGACCAAGACACATACAGTGTATCGACCCCCGGCTCGCCGTCTCCGAGATGACCGCTCAGCGCGCTCTCTGCCGAGCGCCGCGGCTAGTTGTTTGTCCCTGTCCATGGAGGCAGAGGAGGATGAAGAGCAGGATATTGAAGAGGTGTGGTTTCCCGGGTGCCACGCGGATATTGGAGGCGGGTGGGAATTGAAGGATGGCGAAACGTATGCTTTAAGTCACGCTCCCCTGGTCTGGATGGTAGAAAAGGCCCAGGAGGCGGGCGTGCAATTCAGTGTCAAAAAGAGGAAGGACTTCAATTGCTGGCATGATCCAGGTTGTAAAGCCCAGAGCCGAGAGCAGGACAGGGCTTCAGCAGAGAACCACAAGAGCAAGCCAGACCCAGTAGTGATTCCACCGGACAACAGCGATGAAAAGGCGGGTCTTTCCCACTTTGAACATGTCCTTCGGAGATCAAGTACGGACGGAAAGATCCATGACTGCCTTGAGTTCCGTAAAGGGCTTCCATGGACGTCGGTCCTGTCTTGGAAAGCCATGGAGTATATGCCCTTCCGTCGAATGGACTTACAAGAGGATGGCTCCTGGAAACCCATTCGCTGGCCTCTTCCTCGCGGCGAAGTGCGTGATATTCCCCACGATGCAAAGATACACGTGTCGGCCATCAACCGTCTGAAGGTCAACCCGGAGTATCGACCAGGAAATCTGATTATTGGTGGCGGCGGTAGAGGTGTAAAGATCGCGCCAAAGGATCGCGGTATTGGCGAGTGGGAAGTGGCTGAACACCACGGCTGTCCCATACAGGAGACATATCTCCGCAAGCAAATATCCCACGTTGCTGTTGCATGATCCGTGTATGATGATGTGCGCAATGTCTGACAGGATGGTCAGAAGGACGGGCTCCAGTTTGCGCATTGAAATGTTGCCTTGATGTTTACTGGGACGGATGTTATTCACGAACGTCCAAAATCCAAGCTTTTATGATGCAAGATTTCATAAATTGGGTATAGTTTAACGCACCTAGCCCTCAGTCGGTTCTCAATTATACTGCTCTTTTAGTAATGATGGAGCCATAAGCCATAACAAGCTACTCCCTCACATCAATGACAATTTGGAAGCGGATCCTACTCTCCTATGCTCCCCTGATTTGGAACGTTCTGCACAGGAAAGTCTATTAGTGCAATGCCACTTGCAGATATTGATGAATAAAATCAAGCGTCACCGATATAAGGCATATCCCCGAGATACTTAAGCTTCTTCTCTACCTCAAACACCGTAATGCATAGTCCTACCGTTAAACAGAGAGCTTTACCGGCAATTGGCGTTGGTTGAACTGAAAGAGCTGTTTATAAATCAATCAATGAAACAGACATCGGGATAGGGACTGAGTTCTACACAAAGCCACTAGATAGAGTAGAAAGCGTTATGGGAAGCAGAAAAGAATAATTGTATCTATCCAGTGTAGTGCACTGGGCACCATTCGTCCTTTCTTCCCAGAATATGCAGAAACCCAGAATAAAAGCACATCAAAGGATAAATTGGCATCCCACACTATTGGCCAAGGGCCCAATACTCCAAGTCGGCCATTGCACATTACTTGATCCAACAGAACCAAAGTCTATTTGCCTCTTCCATCTTCGTTCGTCCAATACAACAGTTTAGTCGGACTCTGTAACCAGCTTTGCTTTGATGCCATCCAGAATCTCATCTGTGTCTTTGACTGACTCTTTCCATTCACGCTGTATTACGGATAGCCTTTCTTGTCCGCGAACTTGGAATGATGCTTTGAAATGCCTTGGCTGTGCTAAGAGACCAAAGTGACGCAATCTTGAGGCATCGGCCTTGCATTCGGGACTATCCTGATCATTTCCAATATCGTAACTCCAGAGTAGTCTGGCGACAATGATGCTCAAGGAGTTTAACGCAATGTGTCGTCCCGGGCATATTCTCCTTCCAAAGCCAAATGCATCAACTGGCAAGTTAGGGTTTTCGATCCATCTCTCCGGGCGAAATTCTGCTGGACTTTCAAACACTTCCTCGTCGTGCCCTAGCGACCAGATATTTGGGATCACCGTTGCTCCTTTCGGGATCAGGTAACCCATATATTCATCGTCTTGGGTCACAGCATGCGGCAATCCAAGAGGTGCAATGGGTCGCCATCGGAGTACTTCCTTGACAAATGCGTTGATGTAAGGCAGGTTTGGAATATCAGAAAACAACGGTAACCTGTTCTTCCCTACTACATCATCCAGTTCCTGTTGTGCGTGGCTCACGACTTGTGGATGAAGAACACTCGCCATTACGAAGACTTCCAGAGCGGCTGCTGTCGTGTCACCCCCAGTTTGATAGATGATACCAACGAGGTAAGATAGTTCTTCGGCTGACACCTTCTGAGAGTCTTTAGACTCCACAACCTTCTTGACCCAATTCCAAGCCGTTTCCTCGAGCGCCCTGCCCATGTTCCGGGTGAAAAGAGATGTCTCTCGCCGATGGAACTCATCGCCTCTCTGCTTCCATTTGGCAAGACATCGGGGAAGACATTTCAAGATTGGAAAGGCATCTACCAACCAACTCCCCGGCATCGTCACTTCGGTAATATTCTTGATTAGGGCGTCGGCTTCCTGAATTTCATGCTCGTCACCCCGCAGCATTCGCTTCCCGTAGCCCATGGCAAAGATTAGACTTGCCGCATAGCGGTGGAAGCGGCCCGGGAAATCATTTGTCGATAGCATCTCGTAGGTCAGCTGCTTGCTTTCAATGTCCTGAAGGTCCCGGTAGAGTTGAGACATTTGTACATTGAGAAACCCTGCCTGCAGGCGTCGGTGAATCTTCCATCTCTCCCCGTACGGCAGGAGTCCAATGTGCAGACCCTTTGTGACGCGATCCGCCACCACCATCTGTGGACGAGAACTATACCAGCTGCTTCTTTTGTCCAGTAGATCTCTCGTGACTCGATGATTTCCCAACACAATGACTATCTTTTGGCCATATTTTAGGCCGATCATAGGCCCATACGTCTCATGCCATTTTTGGTATGTTTTCCATGGCTCCTCCTTCGCATACTGGTGGAGATTACCGACCAGCGGGAGTCGTGGAGGTCCTGGTGGGAGTGACAACCGATTGCGCTTGATGAAAAAGGAGAATGCGTAGCCCACAACCAACACAGTCAGAAGTATGACAGAATAGTGCATTTTGTCCCCTTGCTGGTTGTTGCAGAGGAATACGAGGGGTTTGATGGGGAACCGTGGCGTGGATATTCGTTTGGATCGGAAGGTCCAGATAATGACCTCCAGTCACACCCAGGATATTTGAAACTCATTACCCACTGTATAAAGTTCCGCAGAATACGCGAGGGACGATTTCCATGCCTTCGGCCGAGTTCGGATTTCGCTAGAGGAGATTTTGATGCATCGCGCCTTGACCCACGTACGCAAGTTGAATTGTGGAGCCAGCTGAAGTAAATCGAGAAGTCTAATGTCCATATAGATTGAATTGCGAAGTAGCAATACGGTATTATTACCGCCGCCGATCATTGATTTCCCCCCGGCATTCAGAAGCAGGATACTCGCGAGAGAGGAACGACTCACAGGATATTTATACCACTCCGCTCCTTCGACTCATGAACACACAATCTAAAGAATCGATACAAAATATTCTCCCGAAAGAAAAAAAAAAGACCAAACAAAATGTCGTCTGGCCCTTACCCTCTAACCGACATTCTTGCTGTCGCCCGAGTTCATCCTTTCTATTCGCAGGAAGAATATCCCCCGACGGCCGAGACCCTCAGCCAAGTGCTATTGAAGTCCAAGGAGGAGGCGGGCAGCACTCTGGAGCTCAACTCCATGCCCCTGTTAAGGAAAGAAACACTGTAAGAGCCCAGCGATGTATTCTAGGATTTAATGTTATCGTAACATGCATTCATGGTCCATGGAAATTAGGAGTAAGCATGTCGCCCGACTCATCGTCGACCAAGATCCTCGCAATGGATATCGTCAGCAGAATTACTGCACGGTGACCGGTGGCGGCTCTGGTGCGGCGCCAATGATGTTCGCGATGGATAGCTTGGAGAGTCGACTTCAACGAGCAGCGACGGGGACGTTGACGCGCAATTGTGGACTACTGGAACCGGGAGACTGGGTGCTAACCGTCCACGTTTCAGGCAATCTATACAGGTTCGTTCAACCGTTGGTGGACGTCATATTGATCTACAGTGTTGACGACATCGTCATTGTTTAGGGTCATCGAATTCGTGACTGAGATTATGGAGAAAGCTGGAGCAGCAGTTTTTTGCGCGGGAGCAGACATGGCATATCAAGATGTCATCAACACGATGATTCTGTATAAAATCAACGTGCTGGCGGGAGATGCGGCGCAGTTGGTCCAGGTCGCGCGCTTTATCTCCTCGCTTCCGAAGGAGCAACAGCAATTACTCGGAATCACTAAAGTGTTTTACACATCTGATATGCTGACCCCGGCTCAGCGGTCATTTTTGCAGGCCGTGTTAGGGGACATTATCATCTGCGCATTGCTGGCGAGCTCCGAACTGGGGGGAATCGGGGTGGCCTCCTCTACGCTAATGGCACCCACGGACGAAAACTATACGGAGTATATTTACGACCCTCGAGTGACCCACCTCGAAGTGGTTCCCATGGCAATAGAGGAGCCAGACGAACGAGGTCTGTATCGCTCAGAATGTACCGAGAATCTCCCGGATGGAGAGGTAGGCCTCCTCGCGGTGACCAATCTATACCGATTACGAAACCCTCTAATCCGCTACCTTTGCGGCGATGTCGCCTCCATCCATCCCCTGCCCACAAGTGTACGGACTCAGCTTGCGGCCGCCGAAGAAGATGTGCAACACTATCGTGTGGTGCGAATCTATGGAAGAGATCGCCGCATAAGCTTCACCTGGTACGGAGAGTACTTCCACTTCAACTTGGTCCAGAAGGAGCTGCGCACCGCGAAATGGGGGGTCCTGCAATGGCAGATTCTGCTTGGGTCCAAAGGAGAACCTAACAACCCGCATGACAAGATGGAGGTACGAATCATGCGGAGCCCTGAGGAGCATGTTGGCATAAATGGTCTCCTCCCCACCACGGAGCTGACGGCCCAGATAAGGAAGCTGTTCAAGGTGTACGACTTTAATGAGGAACTATTCACTCTAACATATGTCTCCAATCTGGATGGCTTTGAACGGAGCAATACTGGCAGAAAGGTTGTAAATTTTGTGGACTGGAGGCAATGACGGACAATGTTTTTCGGACTTCTAGAGTACTATTGTTAATGCTATATGATCGCCTGGTAGCTCACGTGTACATCATTTAGTAATTCTACATAGTATGGACTTTATAATCTTACGTACGTATGTATTAATGACGCTAAGACGAGATGGAGAGGAGGAGATATGCCACTCATGGGAATCATTGCTGCCATCATATCACACCTACCAGATGGCTTTGGGAAAGGCCGCCCTGGATTATACGAATGATACCCATTTTCATTTCATCTAAACGTTATGTTACGCTAAATTACATACACCGTAGAGCCTAGGACCCTGACATGCCATCTGTGACTTGTTCTCGGTCGATGATACTAGCTTAGTTGTTAGGGATAGGCTCTGCGTGATGTTGCAAGCGACTCTCCCAACAGCAGAACTAAGCACTTATAAATCGCCCACACTCCCTCTGAAGATGTGCCTCAGGGTCTTGTGAACTTGGTCAGAAACAGAAGTTATCACTCGGTCTACGAGATTAGTCGGTCTGCGACACATGCCGTCGATCTCCCAACCCTCGCGACCCACCCCCAGTTTCGTGAGAAAAAGATCATTCGCATCCCACCTCCGCTTGATCTGCAATAGTCTCTTGTAGTTTCCTCCCCAGAAGACATCAGACTCGTTCTCATTTGGATCTGCCACATTGATATAGGAGGCTCTCACGGTCTGATCCAGAGAATACAGAATTGGCATTTGGTGTTGTGTAAGGCCTTCTAACGCCGTCAATTTGCCCTCTATGGATGGATGAACCACTCGAACAAAATTAATGAGATGTGCGGCAGAGCGCCAGGCAGGATGCATTGCTGTATCCTTGTTGGTCATGACGCGGCCTCCAAGGTTGCTGGTGAACAGTCGATCCCGGGGACCCATCGGCAGACTTGCGAATTTCTCCGCCATTTGTTGAGGCCCCTCGGACGAATTAAACATCTGATGTGAAACCAGCACTGACCCCATCACCACCCCATGGTTCTCGGGATAGATGTCAGGGTTCATTGGCAAAGCCATGGTGAGCCGTGGGAGGAATTGTGAGGAGGAAGTGGCTGGAATGGCTTCTTTGCCAAGGGTGGTCTTTACCAGATTTAGATGATCCTCGACACGGTCCGTTCGAGTTTCGTTGAGGAAATACATCGTGATACTAGCCTCGATTCCGCTACCGGGCAGACGCTTGAGCATAAACTGTCCAGCAACACTTTCGCGGTTGAATTCCTGCAATGCAGTGAGGAGCGTGGTGACCCCTTTGGTCCAGAATGTTGCACCTGGGGCGTCTACTGCGATGGTGAGGGTAGCTACCACCACCGGCATGTTAGGATATGTGCGAATGGTTGCTCGAGTGACGACGCCAAAGCTTCCACCTCCACCCCCTCTTAAGGCCCAGAACAGGTCTTGGTTCTGGTGTGCATTGGCAAGGACCAGATCTCCCTATTGCATATTGATGTGAGACTTGGACTGGCCAGAAAAGAGAGAGATATCACGACTCACCTGGGAAGTGACTACCTCAAATTGCAGAACATTATCTACAGCGAGTCCCCAACTGTGACTCAGGAAACTGGACACGCCTCCCCCCTGAAGGAAGCCACCAGCAGCGCCCACGGTTGGACATTCGCCTCCCACCACCGTGTACCCTTCTTGTGATCCTCGTCTGTTGAGGTCCCCGAGCTGCATCCCAGCCCCGACAGTTACAGCAGGACCTAGGTGTGCCGTAGATCCATTTGGTTGAAAGTCTTCATGGTATTGAACGTCTTGTAGACCGTGAGTATGGATCTGCAACGAGTCGGGGCCACTGGACTGCCCCGCACCGTCGTGGCCGGTGTTGCGAATAGTCAGACGGAGGTTGTGCTTTTTGGCAAACACGACCGTCCTTTGGATCTGTTCAGCCGAGTCAATGGCAGCTGAATAGAAAGGGATTAGGCCCTGGTGACAAGGGGTCTCGGGAGGTGCTGTTAGATGGCAGGTCTCATTGAGGTTAGAGCCGCTCTCCCAAATCCAGTTCTGCAATGCACCTAACCAGACCAGTCCGTATCAGTGGTGTTAAGTGCGCAGTACGTGATTGATTTTACCTGGCTGTGCCGCCCTCCATCCACTGTTCCGCGACACATCTCGTAGCTCACGGCAGGCACTCTGGTTGGATGCAGGTTCGTGGCACACGTCGCCTATGGGCCTGAGGCGGATGAGGTTACCGGCAATCGATGCGTTGAACTCCTGCCATGTCTCTTCGGAGGGCCAGCAGGATTCCCATGGCCGACAGCGACACGACGGGGGCTCCCTATCCACGAGGGAGAGCCATCCCAAGAATAACCCTACCACGGCGATAAGAAAGTATTTCATCCTGGGGGTACAGAGTTAAGTTGTAAGTGCCCAACACAGACGGTAGCCATATGCGTGCATTTATGACAGTGGACTTCCCTAATTTTAGAACAACTTTCTATCGCAGTGTTCTTGGTTCGCCTCCGTCTGCCCTGACTAGACGTATCGTTTCTAGTAATTACATCCAAAACCTTCGGGCCCACTGGCCACCCGCGCCTCGACATCCTAATCCCCACTTAGAATGAAACTAGTAAAATACGGTGTGGGTAAATGCAAGCCAAAACCGTATTAGATTTCCTAAACCTTGTTCAATCTACGTATCACAAACCCTCGCTACCAAGCGAGCCGCGTTCTAGTCTGAAGAACTAACCTCATGGCGCAACGCTGAGGATATACTCGCCCGTCAGCCCCGCCATGAACCCAGCACCGACAATCCAAAATTGCGCTCCAAACCAAGTTCCACAGCTCTGAGGATTCTTCAAATCCACGTCGTATATGTAGTAGCCCATAGCGGCCGCAACACCACCCACAGTCCCGACGAAGTACGTGGGCCCAAACCCGGCCCGGAGCCCGGACAGCGCAAGCAACGCGACCTGCATGGTGGCCAGGATACTGGCCAGAAGCTTCGTGCTGTCCCTGAAACGAACCGCCATACCTTTGACACCCGCCTTTTCATCGTCGGCAATATCCTGGTGTGCGTAGATGGTGTCATAGGTGATTGTCCATAAGACGTTTGCCGCATAGAGTGCGAAAGTTGACGCAGTATGCACACCTAAGACCGGCAGGTCCATCGCAGCGACGCAGAACAAGATGGCCCAGGCGAAGGGAAACCCGAGAACGACTTGGGGGTAGTACGTGACACGTTTCATGTATGCATAGATGAAGAACAGGACGACCATAATCAACATATGCCACGTGCAAGCAACGGGAAAGAACCTCAAGATCGGATATCCAGCCGCCAGCTGTGCACATGTGAAAATGTGAGCCTGCCGGGTGGAGACGGCGCCTCGCGCAACAGGCCGGTGGCGACAGCGCTCGACACGTCGGTCAAATTCCTGGTCGAGGGTATCATTCCAGGTGCAGGCGGCACCACGTAGGAGGATATTGAGAGGTAGGAGCACCGCAGCCATCATCAGGAGGGTAAGAGGTTCGACAGTCGTTGGCAAAATGCAGGCAGCGTACATGATCCCAATCAGATAGGGGAAATAGAACGCATAGAGGCCACCAGGGCGATCAATACGCATGAGCTGGGCGTATGGGATCCATGAAGACGGGAGCTTGGACAATAGGCCCGTCTTAGGATCCGAGTAGGGTGGAAGATTTGGGAAGAAGTTGATATGCTTGTCTTGCATCGCGGCAGGCTGGTCGCTGGTTTTGGAAGTGGCTGCCATGATATCTTCTTGGGATAGAGAAACAGAAGAAATTCATAGACTATGAGGAACACTTCAAAGTCGATAGCCGAGAGTCAATATATATGCTGGTCATAGTGGACAAAGTCACTAGCCGCATGCGCAGCACTAGTGTATTTGAATTGAAGGCTCCATGAAGTGTTTCAACTCCATACACCGCGTCGGGCCCGAGAATGATCGCATTCGCTAAAAATCACGGTGGACGGGCCATGTCCAGGCACAAATTGTGAACCGGAAGGTAAGTGCAGGTCTAACAGCGGAGTTGCACATCAGCAGGAACTTAATCGGAAAAGAGACGCATCATTAGGTTCAAGATCGACCGACGATCCTTACCTGTATAATCCCAGTACAATTTCGTGGCTGGCGTGGTTCAGCGAGTGCCACTCTGTTGGGAGGTAGCGAAACCAGCATTGGTTTATTGGTTGAGTCTTAGCAAAAAGCCTAAAAGAGATCTATACGGTGAGGTAAACTCAATCACGGCTAGTACAGCGAGAAAGAAGGAAGTCTTTTAATTTATTTCTCTTTTGTGGGAAGTTATTGCCTTGGCCCTAAGGGGGGGGGGGTATCTTGATTCTAGACCAGGCTGCCCGTGAGAGGAGTTCTCGCCCTCTGCATTTTAACACCTCTCTCTGTCGCCCTCTATCCTTTTCATTCCTGTGTCTCTTTCGTAAGAAGGAGCAACCGAGACACTTCGCATTATCATGACCCCGTATTATCTGTCAATCACTGCATTTATCCTATTATGTCTTTACTTCGCGGCACCGTATATGCTACTATCTCCTCCTCATAAGAAAAGGCTATTATTCAGGAGAAAATATGTTATGCCTCCAGGTCCTAGTGGCCATCCTGTAGTTGGCAACCTACTACAATGGCTTCAGGCACGTAATGGTGGGACGATGGTGCCATGGGTAAGCTAGGATAATGTGTTTTCACCCACTCGTGTATTGACTTGATATTACAGCTCGTAGAACAAGCGCGGTATGGCGAAATGACGACATTGAGTATGGGGACGAAAACATGGGTTCTTCTCAATAACAGCCGGGTGGCCCATGAGATCCTCTCTAAAAGAGCTGGCATCACACATGAAAGACCGTACTTTCCAATCGCTGGAGGGCTTGTCAGCCGTGATAAGAGACTTTTTCTGCAAAAGACCGATGACTGGAAGGAGGGGCGTCGTCTGCTTCACCAGTTAATTATGGGCTCAGACTCGAGGAACCACGGACATCTGGCTGAGGTTGCGAGTCTGGGGCTGCTCCAAGCCTACTTGGATGAGCCCAGAGCATGGCACACCCACCACTATCGCTATGCGGTCTCTATCATGTACAAGATTGTGACCAATACGTCCTTACAACGGACTACAGCCGAGCTGGAGGATTTGCGACAAGTTACTTCAACGTTTTTAACTTCCATCAACAGTAGCCTGATTGAATTCTTCCCCCAGCTAAGCTGTCTACCCGAAACGCTCCAATTCTGGCGCCCACATTGGGAAGAGATGGGCACATTCCATTACAACGTCTTCAAACATTGGTGGGCCGGGATGAAACCGTTAGCTGATCCCAGTGCTAAGCCATCATTTGTCCGCGATGCTGTCCTTAACACGTACTCCGGTACTGAAGAAGAGGCAATGTATCTGACAATGTTGGCCATTGTTGCCGGAGCGGATAATCCACGAATGGCAATGAATACATGGACTATGGCCTGTCTTGCATATCCGGCTGTCATGCAATACGCGCGCGACGAGCTTGACCGTGTCTGCGGTGTTAATGCCGATCGCCTGCCAGGTCTGGACGATCTGCCTAGACTCCCTTACATGTGCGCTGTGGTCAAGGAGGTTTTAAGATGGAGACCCATCGTGCCTCTTGTCCCGCAGCGTGTTCTCACTGAGGATCTAGAGTTTGAAGGATATAGATTTCCTGCAGGTACCGAGTTTCTCCTCAATTCTATACCCGTCTGTAGCAATGGCTATGAGCGACCGGCCGAGTTCTGGCCGGAGCGCTGGTTGGAAAACAACGCGCCTGGAGGTGGTATTGAGCAGGGTCTCTGGCAGTTTGCATTCAGCGCAGGACGGAGGTCATGCGTGGGCTACAAACTGGCTCAGAAGGAATTATTTGTGGCCTTGTCACGATTGCTCTACTGCTTCGATTATTCTCCCGCCGGTGAGCTTGACGACGAGAAACTAGGGCATTTTGGCTCGGGCGAACCGTTTCCAGTCAGGGTTACCATACGGTCTCCAGCACACGAACGCCTGGTTCGTCAAGAAGTGAAAAAAGAACATGAGAATCATCTTGTGTGATATGCAATGTTTTTGATGACATTAATTGTATCCATCTCAAGCATGCAAGCCAGCCCTCATTTACTATCTACTTCTTTTCGAGGCCTACAGCCACCCTCAAATAATTTCGTAGCTTCCGGGACACATTTCCCAACCCTTTGCCTCATTTAGATTATGTGTCTAAGATTCGCATGACCATCGTGGACCTGAAACTATCCACGGGTTTCATTTTCTTAGGCCAGGAGGAAGCTGGGAAAATAAGGATTCTGTAGCCACCATCGTGGAGGGCAGATCTATAGTCACCAGCGTACTCAAGCAAGTTTCAAGTAACAACAGTCATCCTATCTTAGCTCCACAATTTGATATCCATGGTCTCTAGCTTCAACCTTAAACGGTCGACACATCCTACACACCACGGCTATCCTATACAAGAGGCATATTTCCCCAGGTAAATACCCCGCCTGGCTGTTGCGTGACTTGGATATCATTCGGTGCATACTCCCTGGAAGGTGTCTACATATCTCCACAGAAACATCCATGCTAGTTCAGTAGCACTCATGCATGCCTTTTATGTGTGGAGCTCCCGGATAGGCCCCGCATAGATGTCCCTGGCACGTGCAAAGTAGTATATAACAGCAAGACAGCTGCTCCCTCCGATACCGAGCACGCTCCAGTTCATAATCTCGACGCTTGGGTGCATCTCAGTGGGCCAAAAACTAGAAAAGACGACAATTATAATGTACAGAATGGCAAACGCGTTGATTGAGATACCCCAGACTCCGGAGCAACGCAATGGTGCCCAGACAAGCTTCCCACCAGGCCCATTGACAACGTCGTCATTGCTGTCAATGTACCTGGAGACAGAACCATACATACGGCGATAGAGGAGCAAGATAAAAACCATAATATAAGATATAGGCCAGATACAGCCATGGACACACTGTCATCTAGGGCAACGGAAGAACCAATGTTAATGAGCGCTAGCATCGCACTGACGACGACTGTAAGTACAATAGAGTGCACTGGCAACTCCTGAGGCAAAGTAATCTGAGAGACGTGATCATCAGCCAATGCAGTAATCCAATGAAATGGCTCTTCTTACCTGGCTCCACCAATGCCAACCAGGGTCTCCTCTGACCCTGGAAAATAACCAAAGTTGACGAGAAGCCGCCGCCAGCAGACCCATACGCGAGCAGCAGTAGATGATCAAAAGAACAAAGCACATGAATAGTGAGCCAGGCACTGAGCCTGTGGCCGTGTGAAATGTCTCCTTGAAAGGGTACCTACTAGGGGAGTTGAACGCATTCTTCGGGTTGCCAACACAAGAGCATGGTGATTAGCATACCGAAACCGAGACAACCATTCAATAGAACATTAAACATTAAAGCATGAGGAATAACGTCCGATACATTTGCAACATCTCGAGACATCTATGCAAAGTAATCAATCAGATACGCGTATAGGAAGCCAGCAACGCCAAAAGCACAGCTAGCCATACCAACAAACCAAGATAATCCCTATGTGCTAAACTCCCCTTCATTTGAGAATTCCAACATTACTTCGTCTTTGGGTTTATGGTCCGACATGCAAGCTAATGGGATCATAATGATGAAAAGCCCAAAGATGTGCACGCCCAAAAGGACAGTCAGAATGTGAGCAGGAGTTTCCACCCACTAAGTTCACAAGCAATGAGCAAACTAGGGTAGCTCAAACAATCAAAGTATCTTGTCAAGTTAAAGAATTATACAGACTGTTTCCCAGGTTCGCAGCGCCCTGAGCCATTGTTACAGTCATTAAAGCGCACGCTGCAAGGGCAGACTGCCACGCAAGAACGGCCCACCAACCTAATATCAGTCAGTCTCAGTGAGGATTAATCAAAGTATGACATAGAAGGTACCGGCGATATAGCTCATGAATATCTGATATTTGACGGGGGCAAGCATGGCAGCCCAGTGATATTGCACATTTAATCCGATCGAGACGAGCGACGCACATCGATGTCAGTTCGGCCAGGCCCACAGACATAGCTGCAGTGTCTATCCATGCAAATATGAAGGCATAGACGGTGCCACCAGACCCGCCACTGATCAGTTAGAAATATTTGCAGAACAGCAAGGTCTGGGGATGGGTGTACAAACATCAGAGGGCTAATGAATGTACTAGGCAAGCTGTCAGTGCTGGAGCCTTGAATGGATTGAAACACAGTTCAGACTCACCCAAGTAGGCCTTCCCACATACCCAGAAGGGCACAGCTGAAACCACAGATTGACAGAATACCGAAGTTTCGCTGGAACAATGCAGTATAAGCCATCTGGCCCCATGGCTTTCGTGAGCTCAACGATCCTTGTGCTTACCCTGAGAACCAGTATCTTTCCCATTTGTTCGAGACGCCGATTGTCCTACTCCTTAAGAGACATTCCACCCCTCCTGGTGACAGAATCATGGCTCTTGGGTTCTGGTGTCGTCATGATGTAACGCCTACGAGCGGAAAAAAAGACCGTCGGGAGAATAGAAAGAAAGAAGAAATTGGGTGTCGAGAGGAACGAAGCGCGTTTAGAAACGGATCGGTCGCTGTTCCGCTGTCAAATTGGAAAGATATGCGAGAGGCCCTTGCTGAGATCGAACTCTCCCATTTCCTACGTGGAGTGCACCTCACAAAGCAAGGACTGCGGAAGGGATGGCATCGTGTGTTTTCTTCTAAGGGGGATCGCATCTGCCTGGAAGACTATTTACAATGCGAATATGTCCAGGGCGAGTGATACATCTCTTGTATTCCGCCCAATACAATATGGCATATCTCAAATCATGTTCCTAGCAGGCAAGTTCAAGCAGCTAGGGGAGTCCATACAAAAACGCGCCCATCAAACTATTTCCTACCAACACCTAGGACCGCGATACCTTTGCATACATCTCCATTCTCCTCCAGAATTCTTACATACTCCCCGCGAACTTGTTGTTTTTCCTCAGCAGTAAAATCACCTAGGATCATTTGGGACCCGGGATTGGAACTTGTCGACATCTTGTCGGCGAACTTTCCACGGTCTTCAACCACCCAGTTGAATTCGACGTACTCAGTATGCACGTCCCGGAAACCAGCAGATTCCATCTCTCTCTTCACCCCAGCAGTATCTGTCCACTGAGTGGGAATCATATTGTGCCCTCTTGTTTCGGTTGACTTCTCGCCCAACTGTTAGATAATCGATGCAACAAGCAGGCAGAACGCTAGAAATCTTACGTTTTTATCATCCCCGACGCGTCGCACGCTGTGGGCCGCCTGAAGCAGGAGTTCCATCCACTCGACTTTTGCCCAGCTTGTACATGCAAAGACGCATCCGGATTGCAGCACTCGACGAGCCTCTCTCAGTCCTTTCATTGGGTCTGGGAGCATGAAGTAGACAAGACTCCCCATGATATGGGAGACGCTGTTGGAGGGAAACTCAGACAGATCCTGTGCATCCACTACAAGTGTCTCGAGTCGGCCCCAACAATTTGCAGGGTCGGCTCTGGCTGCTATCTTCGAGTCCTTCCTGGCCCTGGACGCTGCCACCATGCCTGCGGAGTAGTCCGTCGCGACTAATCGAGATTCTGGTGGAATGTTATTGCCATAGTCATCGATCAGCAAACTCATCGCCGTGCCGGGACCACTGCCAATGTCTAAGATGGTTGTGGCCGAGGAAAAGCTGACAGCATCCTGCAAGGCTTCAATCATGCGCTTACAGGGAATCAGCAGTGGCCCTTCGATGGGGACTTTCAGATATTCGGGCGCAGTGGAGTCCCAGTCAGACGACTTGATGTCATTAATCTGCATTGTGCAGGTTGAATATGAACTCAACAGGCAGTATTAGAAAACGGAGAGTGTTGGGATGGGACTGCAGGTTATTTGTGAAGCCTGAGAAGATAGCCAGAGCAAGGTGTTCTCTCGAACACGAAGGTGTTATGGTGCTGGTATTTATATCTTTAAACCTCCAAACGCCACCAAGTTACTCATTCGGAGCCTTTCGCGGAGACTTTTCCAAAGGATCACTTACCCTGCCTTCACCACAATGGCAGCCGGGATCTTCTTCGGATATGAGACATTGAAGCTGTGAGCCATGGTTACTAAAGGTCGAGCCAAGATGGAGGACATTTACGTGATAAATTCTGCTGTATCCATGTATCTGCCCTCGTACATCGTGGCGACAAAATCATAATTTCCGTTCTTCAACTCCAGGTTACCCTTCACTTCCAGCATTGTCTTCCTGAGAGTAGCACGTCAAGCGCAAATCCCTTTGGATGATCGCTTCTAAGCAACATTATAGGTTATCCAATTTATTACCAGGATGATCGATTTATGTCTCACTCATCCGAGTCAGAAGAGCTTACGGGGCGGTCCCAGCATGGCGGAAGCTGATCGGTATGGGCTTTCTTGGGAATTCATTTCTATTGCCGACTCCAACTCGACCAGATGCATGCCCCCTTTGTGGGATCCCTAACGGCCTGGATCTTATTCAGGACCTCTCCTAGCGCCCTGAAGGGATTTCAGGGCGACATCGTGGGTGGATTCTATATTCAATGGTAAGGTGAGAGGGCTACGAGCGGTGAACGAATAGACAACGTGTGAGGATCGCGTATGTGTCACTGTCTACCGCTAGTTAGTTCCGTCTAAGAAGTAGCGATGAACGTATTGCGAGGACAGCTCTTCCAAGTTCTGCACTGAAAGTGGTGCGATATGTACGCAGTTGAGCCTTGTGGGCGAGGACACCGTTGGCTCTGGTCGTCCAGAGTACATCGGTGTGTCATAGTAGCAGAGAAGAGAGGATAAAGCTGACAATGAGACTTCAGGGTGGGCCACAATCACTCTCTCCGCTTCCCACCGGTTTAACATTTCGTGTTATCTTCGAACACTCCCAGTGAATGTCCCATGCCCCAGCCTGGCAACAGCTATCCCGACAAGTCGAGAAAGTAAGTGACTTGTGAATAGTCATCTTGTCGAGCTTTGCTCAAACCTCCGGCTCATTTGCAATGTTTCTACTCTATCATAGAAGGCTACTCGATCACGACACAGTGTGTGGTTAGTGTAGCTTACCGAGAGTAACTAGCTGATCTATCTCATCCCAAGTGGCGAAACGAGCAGTCTCTCGATGGTGCCAGACCAGTCATTGACTTCCCCTGTAAATCTCGCAGCGTGAAGAGTTGTTCTTGGGTGGCAATCCCACAGAGATCCCCCGTCTGCTGGCTCCATCGGATGCCCATAGGAGAATACGAGGAAATACCTGACGATGAGTGTGTGGAAGAGACTCGGCGAAACTTCACGCGTTCGACGTGTCTAGCGAGAACAGCGCTTGGCTTGGGTAGAAATTGCTTGGCACTTTATTTCCACCTGCCTGAACTTCTATAATAGCTCTAGGACGAATCCAATCTGCGCCCGACAGCGTAGGGGAAAAGAGTCTCCTAGGTAGACTTGAGAATTTTCCAAGATTCAAACGGCAGTGAAGTCACTATAACCTAGGACGCTGCCTATACTCATAGGCCAGAGACGTACAAAGTGGAGTACAGCCAAATTGATCTAAATATCGTGGAAATAAAGTGCCAAGAAGGCTCCACCTAAGCCGAGCTTTCTTCCCCCTACGAGGAGGCTGAGCTGCAGCAGGGCCGGCCAAATACAATCTTGACCCAGTTTAGTGCTGATTTTGGAGCGTATTCGCCGTGGGGCTGAAGCAATCTCAGCCTCAGAGAAGAGTCTCGAATGTGCCTTTAAATCTACCCTGGGTCGATACCCGGAACGGTTTCTCCTCAGAATCGTAGAAGACGAGACTGGGGACATTTTAGCTAATACGCTCCAATCTTCCCGCGACCGTCCGTAACCTTGTTTCCGCCAGCAACTGTTAATCGGTCACCCCTGGTGTCGTTGGCAAGATGCCCAGCGATACGACACTTCCGGGATTGCAGGTAAGTGGATTCAGACTCCGGAGAACACATGAGAAATCCAGGAATGGTTGCACCAGATGTAAGCAGCAGCGGAAGAAGGTAGGCTGTGGCTTTTACACGATGGCTCTCTACACATTGTTCTGATTATATCGCCCAGTGCGATGAGTTGAGGCCGAGTTGCTCCAGATGTACCAAGCGCATATATAGATGTCGATATCGAAACTGTCCGAGTGATGGTAATTTGTCGGAGCAGCAGGAACCGACCCACTTGCCAGTTCCACCCAAAAGCCCTACCGTGGTAATCCCAGGCTCTGGGTCGCTGTCTGCAACTTCGAGTGATCGCCTTTCTGTATCCAGTCCTCCGCCTTGTGGACAACCTAGTGCCTCCTCAAGTCTTGGTACAAATGACGAAAGCCCGGTGTTGAATTCAAACTTCCCTGGCACTCTCGACGCGACAGAGCTTGATCTCCTAGCCCACTATATCACGCACACTAGCCAATCTATACCTGTTGACGATCTCGATGTGTATGCTCTTTCCATAGGTGTACCAAATCTGGCTTTCAATTGCAAGGTCGTCATGTCATCCCTGCTAGCCTTGGCAGCGGCATGCAGGTGCCACGATATAGCGAAACGAGCCCAGACGCTTCTCGACCACCAGAGCCTAATGCAGATCCAACAGCTACTTGCGCTTGCGGAGCGCCACCATAGAGCCTCCCTTCGCCACATACAAACGGCCATGCATAACTCACAGTCGTACGACTATGTCCTCGCCAACGCGGCATTGATGGTATTGTACGCGTCCGCCAGTCACTCCATTCGAGTACATCTTGCAGCCACTGCGAAACAGTGTCGACAGCGGCTGCCAGATGCGTTACTTCCGCAACACTCACAATGGATCTCGTTCACACGCGCAGCTCATACAGCGTCGACTGCAGTTCTCAGCGACACCGTCAATGCTCCGGATAACGTTCAGAGTTCCATCCCCTGCCCAGTTATAGACACAGGACCGAATGTACCGACCCCGGTCTTCCGTAGTACGCACGTTTCATCACCACAGGATGGTCCATCTGAGAATACGAAACGTCTATTTCTCCCTCTAGTCGCATCTACATATGCTCGAGCTTTGGAGAACCTACATCGGAGAGCTGAATCTACCGCAGCGTTATTAGAGAGGGCAGAGCCTTCTGCTTGCAACAATGTACAGCTTCACGCCTCCTTGGAGACTGTGCGTGTGCTTGAGAAATGTGCATCCTTAGCTCTGTCGACAAGAGAAGGCCACGACAGCGCCAAGAGCCCCAGGAATCAGGCTCTACCATCTGATCGATATTCTAGAGTCTCACCATGGGTGGCAAGATATATGATCAGTGTGACATCAATGGAGTCGCCACGGGTCCTTCGACGGATCATCATGTCGTTTTTGAACGAAGCTCCAGCTGAATATCTGACTCTTGTCCGGTCGGTGCTCGACTCCCCCTCCATGCAGGCGAGAGCAGAGAGTTGGATGACGCAGGATTCTCCCAGAGCTGAGGCACCGTCGCTCAACCCGACGGATTTACTAGCCATGGATATCTTTGCCCATTGGCTCGTCCTTGTCATGTTACTGGACGGTGTATGGTGGATTGGTGATATTGGACAGTGGGAGCTAGGTCAGGTTATGTCATTGATGAAGACTCAGAAGCTGCTGGACGATAGTCGAGAAACGTGGTGGCCGGAGAGCATGTACTTGGTTAAGCGGGAGCTCACCCCCAATGTCCAGCAGTCATAGATTATTGGATCGCAGTTTCATTTTAGACTATCAGGCCATCCATCACCACCCATGCAAGACGGCCTTTACGTAATTATGAACGATAGAGTGAATTGGCGAGATACAAGAGTTATACCAGTGAAATTCCAGACGGGGGCTGTAACAGGGAGCCACAAATATGAGGATCACAAAGTGGTGGCGATATCCAACCATGTTGATCTTGGTGTTTGCTCCTATGAGATATTGTCAGCTCTTTGAACACCTGCGAAACTGCTTGGCAAGTCGTGAAATTGTAATCCCTTTCTCATGGTTGGCAATATATCTTTGAGCCCATGAGGACCAGGTTGTCATTATCTTGAGAAAGATTGAAGCTCACGTCATGTCCCGCCGTGTGTACGCCGAGTGAGGTAGGCAGTGAAGCTACCAGGTGCCACCACATTGTCCATATCCAGATTTTCTAGGAGGAGATACCCTGCGGCGAGTGATACTAGAGATCCGACACGAGATTGTGGGAGTGGATCGATTTGCCGTCTATTTGCTGGGGAAGCCGTGTCGTATTACTAATACGCCCGAGCCACTGCGCCCAATCCAAACAACCAATGGAGATCGGAGTGAGTCGACGCATGATGGCTGTGCTGTGCGTATATGGAATTCTCACTTATAGAACTCCCGCTTGGCACACTTTTTGCGCTGGAGATGAGTCGGCCTGAAGAATGCTATTTGGAATACATGTTGGTTATTGACATTGGAGACGATGTACCAACGAAAAAAGATCCATAGGCTGTAGCTCGAAAGATATATAAAGCCTCAATTGCCTTCCTGTCTTCATCGATCAGCACTCAAACACCCTGGTAAAGCAACACCTTTGGTACTTCCTACTACTTCCCAACACTACCCAACCTCTATTCAGCTCAAAGAACCACGATGCTTTCTGCGTCCGCCCTGCCTTCCATAGTAGCGGTAATGCTCACCCTTGCCCTTCCGGCATGGGCAGCTCCTCAACCGATCAGCAAGCGCTCAACATCTGAACTTAGCTTGACAGCTCAACTGCGACTTGCAGACACGTTAGTTGCTAGACATGGGCTCCTTAATGCAAAACAAATGACCTAATTGTTTAGTGCCATTGAACGTTACCAACTCCTTCCAAAGGATGAAGACTTTGTCTTCAACTTCACTGCCAGCGAGGTTCCGGTTGCCACCAGCCAGAATTTTCCGGCCCTTGTTGGAACTGGCGCCTCCTTCAGTATCGGAGAATTGCCAGGTATTTCCAGCCAGAATAGCTCTAGCTCTGGACGTGCACTAATTTACCTCCATAGCATGCAGCATGAGCTTCCTCCACCTTCACCCCCGTGCTACGGAGCTCTTCGCTCTTACGTCAGGACGCGTGTTGTCGGAGATGGTACCTGAGGCAGGCGTCCTGGACTCTGAAGGCAAGCAACGAGCTATCCGCGTGGAGCTCAGCCCCGGTGTGGTGACCATCTATCCGGCCGGTTCGTTTCACACGCAAGTGAATCCGGACTGTGAGCCGGCCAATTTCGCCGCAGCCTTCACATCCGATGAGTTCGCTGTGGGCCTGGTGGCAGCAGAGACCTTTTCGCTCAGCGATGATGTGATTGCTGCCACGTTTGGACAGAGCATCGCCGGCGAGGATATCGAAACTGTGAGGAATGCGATTCCGACCACCATGGCCATCAAGGTGGAGGAGTGTTTGACAAAGTGTGGTAAGCAGAAGCGTCAAGCTTGATCAGCCCAGGGCGAGATGCAATTCGGCGCGCGAAACCTCAGATGCCACTGTCAAGGGGGATAGATGATCAGGCTTTCTCATTGAAATTGTGATCAGGAGCAGTCTCATTGCATAGAATACGATTTGGTGTTTCATATAACCGCATGTACAGAGTAGGAAAAATACAGGGGGTAGATTAGTATTGAGGGCCACGATTCACCATAACACTTCGACCTATCAACCCGAAGGTCTTAGTTCAAATACCTGAGATCACGCGATTGGGAAATGGTTTCAGTACTTTCTATAGCAGCTGATAAGCAGCTCATAACTAGACTTCCTCTGCTTTAACGAATATGGTACCAAAGGAGACTGTGAAAATCAACAAGGCATGCGCGTACGTGTGACTGCGACTCACCTTTCTGATACAAGAGGAGCGACCATGCCCCTCTCTAAAAAGCCAGCGATAGATAAGAATCCGCTAGCTTCATTTATAGGAGGAGTTAGGATTCAGACTTTGAAGGATCCGTTTAGATAGATAGGTTATATTTTTCATGGATATGACCCAGGCTTAATTCTGGCACAATCCCTGGTGCTTGTTCGCGCATATCCATGTTCACCCCGGTAAGCCCCTAATAACTATCGCCGTCTTGCATGGCTTCAAAACACGATGGTTACGGCACAGGGTTTGGGGCGCAAAAGCTGACATGGGCGCCATTGACAAGCGAAATCCCTGCAAGGATAACTAGTTAGTTAACTAACGACTAGGCAACAACTTCACTCGGCCAGCCGCAAGACTCAGACACCAAGGAGCTCTGGAATCTTGCTCCAACAGTGAGGAATATATACCGAGTCCACCAGAAATTGTCTGTCTACTGCTCTGGAACTCACGCTCTAGATACTGGACTGTCATCAACATGCTGAGGAACTCCCATTATGAATCATTTTTGGCCGAGCAGGCAGCACAGAAATGGCCCCCTCGCGAGGACACTCTCACTGCCTTTCGATTCCTCTTGACCGACTCCTCGGTGTCGCCTGTGGAAGTAGCCAAGATAGCCCTTTCCTGCGCGACCACTGAAGCGAACTCCATCCCAGAATACGGCGACATCTGGTCGGTCCTCATGGCGGCCGTGGAGCGATTTCCAGAACAAAGCGACCGACTCGTGGACTTCACCGTTGCACTACAGCAACTGCCCAATTATGATGGGGAGATGCACGAATTAGATGGGCTTGCGATGCATTTGGCTGAGTTTACTTTCAACCGTGGGTTATTTATTCAGTGACGCTGGATCCCCAGGCAGACTCTAAACAGGAATGGATGCCGATCACCCCTTCAACGAAACGACGCGCGACCAAGAGCGGCGCGGCTTCGTCAATGCGAACCTCTTCACAGCCAAGCTTTACTTGCAGATCCCCCGGACGAATCCGTTTGGATTTTTCATTGGCTTTGGGTCACAGGTGTTGAGAAAGACTCTGGAGTCAGCCCCATGGGAGAAATTCCATCATCCGCGCATTGAAGCCTATCTTGAAGACGTCGAGGAAGACTCGTTGTACAATCAGCTGCGCGATGAGGAGCTGGAGGAGATCGATATCAGGACGCTGAATGGGTTTGTGCCCGCTGCGGCGGTGTGGATCGAGTATTGTGGTAAGGAGAAATATGACAAAGCTGGCTCCTTGGGACGGGAGATTCCTGCTTGGGACAAATGGACTGGACCTGAAGGCTGGTCAAAGGACCGATGGGCATTCTGGAAAAAACGGTTCGAATGGATCTCCACTGTTAGGGCGTTGGATCGCACGACGAGAAAGATAGCTACGAACCTGGTGGAACAGATGACCAGAATTGTGCGAGGAGAAGATGGGATCATTTAGTGGAGACCAGTGTATTAAGGCAAAAGTATCAGAATACTTGAACACAAATAATGTGCGTCTGGGATACTACTCGGACGGGCATGTAGCTTTGTGTATACATTCGAGTTGGCTCAACACCGTCAGATTCGCCGGAGATTTTCCTTTGGAGCTAGTTGCATGCCACCGAATCGAGTAGTTCGTAATACGAACGTCGCTTCGCCACAGACTAAGCTATCCATGGTTAGATTTGCATTTCAGACGTCGTATCGGTCTCGACCCAACACTGCCACATCTGCCCCACCCGTGATCCTCTCATCACCATATAAGCTTGGGATACATCAGACCTTGATCGTTCTTTCTGCAACCCAGGTTTGGAACTCAGGCAGAACACTTTGGGACAATTACTCCCTAGTTCATAAGCAGAACCATGGCTTCCCAACAGCTCCCTCCAGTCCCGGCCCCGGTCGCGATCATGGACCAATTCATTGCGCCGCAAACTGAGACCCTGGTGCTGAAGGAAAAGGTCCTCTCCCTCTCGGGGGACAGCTTTGATGTGAAGCTGGCTAGTGGCCAGCCCATCTTTCAAATCAAAGCTAAGCACATGAGCGTCTCGGGTCGCAAATCGGTCTTCGATATGGCGGGCAATCACTTGTTTGATCTCGTCAAGGAACATCTGCACATCCATTCCACCTTTGCGGCTCAGGCTCCGGATGGAAGGAAGTTACTTGAGGTCAAGAGTAGTCTCTCCTGTGAGTGGCCTTTTCCCTGTCGTTTTCACCAGCTTTCGCTTCTTTCCTTTGCTCGATCTCGTTTTACGTTTTGGTTAACAACCGCTTGCAGTGATTGGCTCCAAAGCCACCGCAACGTTTACGTCCCCCAGGACCGGCAGCACTGTCTCCTTAAAGATGAAGGGGAACTGGCGGGACTCCAAAGCGGACATCGTGGATGAAGCAACGGGAGCAGTGGTGGCGCAGATCGATCGCAAGCTGCTCCGGGCTCGCCAGATGTTCTTCGACCAGCAGACATATGCGGTGATCGTGGCTCCGGGAGTGGATCTGGCCCTTATCGCGGCCCTGTGCGTCTGTTTTGACGAGAAGAATAATGAGCAGTGAGAGTTTGTTTATCTGTTCGGGATAGTATGGTGTAATGGGGTGTTGAACCGACGGCGTTGATCGAAGTGGACAGGATCAATGAAACCTGGCTAATTTGTAATTTAACTTCTGTTATTTTTCGTTGATTTATTTTGGGATCTTCGAGAGGGAAAGTAGTTATTTCAATTGATAAACAATAGTCTGGTGACTACAAGCCCAAGGACAAGCACTGGCGCCTAACGATACGGGCTATATCTGAGTTCAACATGCCATGATTCACTGTATGCAAAGCTGATTGGAAGGCAGAAAGTAACAGTAAGTATGCTCTGGTAAATTATCAATTCAACACTTGACAAACAATTTGTAGGGAAACAATCGACAGGGTCGAGTTGACGCCGATAAAGCGCGTAGAAATTGGACCAGGATCAAGCGAAGCCGGTGCGGACCACCCAGCTCACGTCGTCGTTAAATGAGTTGGTGGCGTCGAATGTTTGAACACCACCGTTGCTGGCGGCGTAGAGAAGATTTTCGTAATGGCGAAAATAACGAGTAGGATAGCTCCAGGATCGAATCGAGTTCCCCTGGCCATTGAGGCCGGTCTGCGGGCAGAACGTGGCGTCTTCGGAGAACTGCTTTGTGCCATCGTTGGCATTGAGGAGGAGCCCGAAGTTATAGTGTCGTATGAAACTACCGGGAGTATCGATAGATTCGAACGAAAAGCAGGCGCTATTAGCAAGACCAGTGCGAACCGTCCAGCTCGCCTGCTGTTTCAAGGCGGTGGTACTTGTCGACGAGACAACCTGGGTGTTGACCGTAGTGCCGTCGTGTGCAATATAGTGGGTCGTGTAGCCCGCCGTCGTCGCTTGTAGGGAGATTGAGGAGCCAATGGTCAGCCCTGGGCCACTTGTCAGTGAGGTGATGGCGTATTTGGCAGCTACGATGTCAGCCTGTACGGAGTTCTCGGTGGCATCGGACGGATATCCGGAGGTCATAACACCCTCGTAGAATGTTCCCTGGGCACCGTTGCTGTTATCACCACCGATGCCAAGAATGATGGCGCCCTCCTTGCTCATCGGATTGTATCCGGAGGCACTTGGGCGCGCGCCACTATAGTACGTGGATAGTGAGCCGGATGCAGCATTAGCCCCGCGGATTGACCACTGATTTGCCTTTCCCTTGACAACTGCAATGACAAACCGGTAGGAAAGAGATGGGTCGCCAGCGTTGTTCGTCGCACTGGAGCCCGAGAACAGGCCGTTCTCGAGATCAGCCATGATCCAAGGACCACTGCCCGCGCCGCTTCCCCAGGCGGTGTTGTCGCCGTAGTAGATCGCCTCCATATGGCCATTACCCGTATCTGTACTGCTGATCTCGGCGTTACCATAGTCGAAGCAGCAGGCGCTGTTGTAGTGGGTGCCGTCAAGGACCGCGTACATGCCCTCCGCCTCGTCGCCTGTAGCGGTACCACTGGCAGCGTTGTTGCTATACCCGGTGCCAGGCGACATAAAGACGCCGTATGCCTTCTGCCCGTTCAGCGTGATTGGTGCACCAACCGCACTCGCCAGGTTGTCGTACCCATTCGATTCCGGGCCACTAAAACCGCCGGGCGGAGCCTGGGTGAGGTGGTTACCGCGGCCGGACTGGTCATAGATGATCGTGATCAGGCAGGTCGTGCTGGCACAAAAGGAGTCTTGGGTGGAGGCATTAGCAACACCGCCGGCGGAGAGAGGAGCGATGTCCGTCGTGGTACCGTCGGAGCCCCGTTTCACCTGATACAGTGGTCCAGTGTAGGTGCTGTATAGGGCACGAGTGGTGCTGTGCGCGGCGACACAGGGCGTGCCGCCCGAGGAGTAGATGTCACAGGGCCCAGCAGCAACAAGGGAGACCGAGGCAATAAGACCTAGAGCAAAGGCGCAGGTGCGTGAAGACATGTTTCAGCTCTTCTAGACGGTCACGCCTGTGTAAGTTCCAAAGCCGGCGATGAGATGCTGAAAGAGCTACAGAGGCAGAGTAAGTACATCGAGGAGTATTAAGTATGTCTAGTGTTTTATTTATATAATCTCTCAAGAGGTTCGCTCTTTTCGACTGAGAGGGGTACGGAATAGGTACAACCAACAGTCGCCAGGATTTTCCTCCAATGAGTATAGATCCGTTGTACACTGTTGAGTCGCTAATCCTACGAAAATCAAGCATTCAGAAGCTCGGTTAATATAGAGACCAAAATCGGTTCCAAGTCTACGCGGCAGCCCTGCTCCGACAACTTAAGAGCTATGACGAGCCGAACCGGTGGATTTGCACTGGCAATGTCTTGCAGAAAGCCTTCACGCTTTAGGCCCGTAAGGAAGTCATTGCAACACACATTACAGCAAAAAGTGCGGAGAAGGGGGGCTAGTCAGTCCGTGCATTCCCGTGGAGCCTGCGGTTTTAGCGAAGGATCGGTTAATTTCAAGTATGTTGAGAGGCAGATGGCTGGCCACTGAGCAATACGAGGGTTTGGCCAGGCCGCCAGAGTCGAGTCAACACTACACAAGATGAATCAGAGCTAGTTGCGGGGAAATCGAATGTCAGCCGGTTTAGCGGATTGTGGTTTTGTAAGCCGGATGCTTTTCTTCCACCTCTAAGCGTCATGCGAGAGTGTGACAGCTTCAGTTAGAGGGGTTGTCTAGGCCGTTTTGACTACGCCCCGCATCATGGTAGCCGGAGCAGAATGGACCTCTTCACAAGCGAGGCATTACATCCAATGTTGTCTGCCAATGTTGGGTGGGATGAGTAGTTCGATGCTTAACCGAATGCTTAATCAAATGCTTAATTGAAGACGAAGCCCTAAAGTGTTTATACCCAAACAGGAAGGCCGCGGAGAGTCATGTGATACGGCCTTGATCACGCGCCCGAAATATTGATGTGGGACTCCAATAATAGAACTACTAACGTGAGAACAGACTCTCAGACAATTAGCCGATCTGTCGCCCTGGTGGATGGGGCAAACCTCTAGCCCAGGAGATATTGATGTGTAATGACCGAAATCTAGATCCTTAGTGGCATAGGCTTTAAGTCACCAATACGAAGCATCAATAGAATTAAAGCCATTGCATTTTAGAGTAATCAAGGTACGTTGCGCAGCTTAGGGGCTCAATTGGCCTTCCTGACATCGTGGTAGAGGCATTCCAAAAATTAAAGCCTTTGATGCCGTTTCCAAGAGGGAATGATGTCCGGTCTGACAATGAACACTAAACTGGCAGCTCATCAAGCTGGTCAATGGCTAAGATGGTGCACAAAATCCCGTCAAGCGTGCTCCGTGAGAGGAAGCCATATCTACCTAAGCGGACCATCTAGGTTTATACAATGTAAGCCCTGTACTGTACGAAAGATCGCATAGTCAACGGGCAGATTAGTTGCGCTCAGCTATTGCTGGGGGGTGACAAGAATCTCCTGTTTACCCAAGATACCATGCCGTCCGACAAGGCCGGTATATCACGGAGTTAGATTCCCCAAACTCTGACTGATGCAATGCATTTGAGTCTTGAACTTGGGGTGGAAGTCATCTGGATCAATGCTCGCCGTATTGTACAAGACGACCCTAATGAATGGAAGGAGCTCTTTACGGTCACCATTTAGAGAGATCACTAATTACCGTCACTGCACCTGCATCCCCGAATGTAACCACCGGTATGTTCTATTACCAACGACATCAGAGACACAGGCTCCGGAGGCACGACGCGTCGCTGAGCAACATTGACATCTACATGCGATGAGCATGCTCGATGACCTTTGTCGCTTTGTTAGAGCATCTATACACTTCGAGAAGGGCTACTAAAAAGAACAGACTGTGCTCCGGACACTTGGACGCGGGTGAGCTTTCCAGGCACGAATCCTATCCCGGCGCATTTGCATTATGGCAGAGAGGAGCTGGCATGGGAATGTTTCAGTGGCGGTATCCCTTACCAGTATGGATCTATGGCACCATATACCAGTTCAAATGTTTCATGAGAGGTTCACGGTCATTTAAGAAGCATTCCCGATACCAAGAAGCCTATAGAAGGTCCTCTCCACAATGGCGTCGCTGAAGCCTGGGACCAAACTAACAACCCCTTACGTGAATGGCAAGAGCTATGTGTCGCTTATTCCTCTTGTCAGTTCACATACCCCGGAGACCTACTGGTTGCTCTGGAAGGTATCGCGCAACAATTCCAATAATCTCGCCTTGGTCTCTATGTATATGGTATGTGGGGAGATAATTTGCACTTTCAACTAGATTTGGTGATGATGACATTGGGCGAGTCACGAAGACTAAATATTCCCACGTGGCCATGGGCCTCTGTCTACCATAAATGTCATTGTAACTATCGTCCATTCTTGCCATTCTATCAGAGCGTTCCGTCTTGTGAGATATTACGGTCACCGAGTAATACTTAAACCGGGAGAGACATCTCCTCTTGTACCCTGGTGATTTCATCAAAACTAATGAACGTAACGATTCAGTTAATGGAAGCTCCATCTGATGTTTCGCTCGATGTGGAAGTCAACATCAGTGCCGAAATGTACATGGTAGCCGACATTCAACAGTGGCCAGAGGGATCGAGCGATTGGGGAAACGCTCAAGATGAACGTCTGTATAACAGCCTGGCAGTACTTTGCCTCCAGCTCCTCATATATCAGGGAGGTTATGAAGGTTTCCCTAATGCACCCCGAATTACATGACTTCGAAAGCAATACCTATATAGGCGAGTGAGCATCATGATCATCAGTGAGCCTGGGAAACCAGGAGCTAGTGGATCCAGCACATCGATCCATATGCTACGAAACGGACACTGACGCTTGGGTGATGGATGAGAGTAACTGTGAAACTAATAATGGTTGGCAATAGTTGTAATGAGTATTTACGGCACTGACGACCTGCAGAATCTCTGTATTCCTGTTGAGGTAGGACAATATATACACTGTTCTGACCTAGCGTTAAGGTCTAATATATTCTATTATTTATCATTGACTTGTGTTGGTCTGTCCAGACTCGACAGTTTTGGACCACTACAAACTTGTGGTTTAATCTGATCTAACATTGTATTAGGGCGACGCCACCCAATGTCCGTCACGTTCGAAGGCCGAGGTAGACTCTCCGACGACTTGTCTTAGGGGAAAGGTTGGCACATAATAATCGGTAATATTTGCACAGTGACATATATTCCCTCTGTGCTATCGACTTGGGTTAATCTTTCTTGTATTACCACTGGCAATTTGCGAATGGGGAGGTTGCCGGGGCTCTGGTCAACAGGTTACATTGCAGCGTTCCCACGGAAAGTGAGCAATCATAATATTCTACTACCAAAGAGCGAAGTTTGTTTTCCGATCGGCTCCAGTGTCTAGCCTTTGGGCATGGAGTATCTCTGTCGACGTATGAACTAGTGACTGGTTAGTGCTTAGAGTACTGGCACTAGGACCAGATTCTCCACTTCGTCTACTCCGGAGGTTTGATTTCCAAGCCTGTGGCTTACTGTTTACCTCTGCTAAGGACCGTAGTCAATTAATCCTTGGTGCTTATCTGGTTCTCTCCACCGCGGGAAATGTCTTCCTGTGTTCACTTTCATTGGAAACTGCATTATGGGCTAGGAGAGATGCCATTCCAATTTTGAAGCCAAGGAAACAAGGCGAAAACTTTACTGAACCTCATACAAGGGTCAGACCATAGCCAGGCGCAACACATCAATTACCAGAAGCAGAAAAAACTGCACAGTCGTATGTGACAATGAACGTAAGGCACAATTCGGTGAAATATCCACATTTACTCGAGCTTCAGTTCTCCTTTGGTAAATTTTGGTGCCCAACACGCCCCTACTCCACTCGCCAGTCAGGAGCATGCTGCCACTTGATGCTTATCGCACGTCCCACAATTAAGGTCAGGGTCAAGGAAATTGTTGGGCTAATTCCAGAATGATCTTGCTCAGCTCCTCTGGTGCGGATAACTGCACACTGTGACCCGCCGCGATCTCGCAGGTGATCCATTTCACCTCGGTAGCCTGGACCATAGCGACCTGTGCTTCGTACGGAATGGTGTGGTCCTTTAGGGTATGGACATATGCGACCCGGTCGCGGAAGGCCTCGGTGTCCCAGCTCGCTTCGGGGCAGGGGCTCGAGAATGAGATCAATCCCTGACTGAGCGACGTTTGGGCCGCCGCATCCGCAAGGGTTGGTTCTACATCGTAGAAGAGGGGAGGCTTGGGATCATCGCACTTGAGAAGATTGTGCTCTTGCTATTGGTGACCATAATTAGAGACGTAAAATTACCAGAGGCACATAAATAAGACTCTGGCCGTCGTTCACAAGAGGGAAAGGGCAAAGGAAGGATACATACATCAATGTACATATGAGGGGGCAGATGACCGCCAAATGAATCAATCACACTCAGTTCCCCCCGTGGTAAGATGGTCGCGATGAATATTTGGCCGACAACGGAGGTTATTTTGCCCTCAGCGGCGCGATCTGCAGGGCCGAGCCCACGCGCAGCCGCGCTGGCCGGCATTCCACTGTAGGAATGGCTGATCAGGATCACGTCCTGATTGCCGATGTTCAGAATAGGGAGGATTAGATGCTTGCAGATGTATTCAGCATCATCGGCGGCGGTCACCCCGCCCTGGGCGCCCACACTGGGGAGAAAACCGGTAGTAGCCCCATATCCAGCAGACTGGAGGAGGTGGAGGAGGTAAGCGTAATGGGCTGGATTCTGGGAGGCGCCGGGCACCAGGACAAAAACAGGCTTTCTCTTTTCAGTAGAGGAGGTCATGATGTGTTAAAGGTGAAGCAGAGATTGGGAGAATGCCGAGCGCTATGATTTGAACAACAAAAGAGAAGAAGCAGGAATACTATTAGGTGGTATTTATGGGACGAGATACGAGGCAAAGCCCTACGGAAGTGGGTGGCAGGATTACATATCCTTGAGTAGCTTCATGCGACATTCATTGTCCCTCGTATTAGCAAGGAACACTAGTCCACTTCATTGCGCCCAGACCTGGTGGACGAAATATATGACCCACACATATCTCACCATCGCATCGGCGCGCCCGCATCCCAGATAGGATCCTACTAGTCTTGTGGAGACTCGGGCGGATGACTCGGTTGCTATTATCGAAAGGATGACTACAATGATTGCACCTCAAATTAATTTGAAAACCAGGTACAACGTGTACAGCCAGAATATGAGAAGATACGTTGTAGGGAGGCAACGTTCAACCTCATAATGCATCTGGTGTCGCCAGTAAGTAGTTTCACACCGGGTAAGGCTCTCCCTTGCTTGATGGCAGTGGTTAGGTCTTCTTCTCGACCGATCGCTGGTACGAGTTGGCTGTAGTTCATGGTCAGAGGTACAGAGCGGTTCCTATTTTATGCCGCGACAGCTCCTTGATGTTACTCCCGTATGGAATTATGCCTACTATGACCGCGATAATACCTCGATTCCTGATGCAGTAGGTTAATTCCCGGCTTCTATTCTACTTAGCTAGGGTATCTTATTCTATAACATCGATCTAGTATGCTCCTTCCCAGATCCTGAGCTTATCAAAATATTTCAAGTGATATTTTATCTACTCTATGGGAAAGAGGTAATTGCGAAATACGCGAGGCCCGTGTGACCACTACTCATTTACGATACCAGATGAAGAAGTAATGTAGGATACAAAGGCCACCTCTAACTATTTATACTACTGCCTATAGGTATGTTCTAAGCTTTCCCCCCCGCCTCAATGGCGATTCAATAGTGTTAGTCCATGGGAATTGGTGAGTGATAACAATACATGCTGGATAAAATGTGCTTATAACAGACAACAAATTATTATCAGGTCATCAATCCCCAATGATGCTACATCCATCCAGATGATGGGTCTCTTCTTATGGCTTATCAGATTATCCAGCAATAATTCATGAAACTCGCAACTCAGTCGGTAATATAACAAAATCAGCACGAAAGGTGTGTTCGACGTTTGGTCCACTTAAGCTAAAAGAGGCAGGATTTACCAATTGCGCCTGACCAGTCTAAATATATCCTGATTCCTATTAAGTACTAAGTATCTTGGAAGTTAGATATACACCAAGAGAGTATATTCTTCTAAAAAAGAGGTATATTTACTGCAGCTATCCACAGTTATCAGTGCTGGATAATCATTGTATCTCTGAAGAGCGTGCATTGAGGTTAGTTAAATCAACACTCTGGCGGATTGGTCAATTCTCAATGCTTGTCTCTACTGTTACTTTCCTGATTATCCAGCAGGCAATGTTAATTCGTTTGTTCACAGCAATGTCCGGAGGTTATAAGCTGTCCCTGGGACTGCTCGGTCTCTGATATCTGGCAGCTTAGCGTAGGTTAACAGTATGTCCTGATCTAGTATGATAGCTCAAGAGGGAGGTATATCTATTCTGAAATATTACCCCACAAGCTATAACGAATCAGTTGGTGGTATGGCCTGTATTGATTCCCGGGTTTACCAACCCTATCACGTGTAACGCCCTGCAAAGGTCTGAAGATGCTTCTTTTTTCTTGATTACTATCTCCTCATTGTCAATGATAGATACCATGAAGGAGATATTTCGCAAGTCTGCCATGGGATTAATAACATACAGAAGGAGAGGGACCTCCAACGTTTGGAATGTTATGTGCTGCTGCTGTTCACATATAATCATCTTCACAAAGATCATCAAAGATCCAATTCTCTTGTATCCTCGTTCTCTCTTCTGCCGTTTCAGCCGCATTGAGGGCATCCCTCTTCAACGTTCGCTCACGTGCCGTGGCTCCCTCATACTGGTCCGTAGGTACTCAGCCCTCATTTCCGACTCCGATCAGGTCCTGACAAATTTTGAGTTGCTCATCTGCTTCTGCCTGTGCGTGTGCTAGCCTCAAACATTCATTTGACTCAGTATCAGAGTACATGAGTGGACAAGGTGATGTATTGCCACCATTGATGTCCACCCACTTTCGTGACAAAGCAATCAGATTCGACTTTAGTGTTACATTGTCTCCCTCCCATGGATCACTCGCATAGTGAAGGATTCGCCGCCTCAGCACGCTGAAATTATATGCTAAAGCATTGTAATGTTCAGGGTTTAGCTCTGAAGTCATTTTGACATAGAGATAGTGAAGCTGACGCTTACGAAAAAGTTCAGCCTATTGATACTGCTCTTCTAATTTCAGCTCATTGAAATTGCTAGGCAGGGTGGGTTCCTGAAGAGATTTGGAGACGTCGTCGCCGTAGTTTTGCAAACTGTCAGGAATAGCGCACTGCAGGAAAAGAGGGAGAATGGTGCGGTGCTGCCAGTCAATCAATCCACTAATTTCCAATTCGTCAGAAACGAATATATTGTTCGGCTGAAGATCGGGATGCCGCAATACTGGACAATGGAGGGTTGAATTGCCGTGAGGGATGAGATTGGTTGCAATTTGAAGGTATTGCTTGAGAGTTCCAATATAATCAAGATGTGATTGTGGCTGGTAGTTGTAAGTGTCTCTGCGAAGACGCGCGAAGGGCTGAAGCGGCTTCCCGAATCTCGAACGGTATACAATCTCCTTCTTGGCACGGGCATTTAGAAATGCTAGGCGCTCTTGGTCTGTGATACATTAACCACTGACGCCTTTTTCGTTTCGATCCCTAAAACCGGAGGAAGTATAATCTCACATAGTCCATGCTCTACTTGCAAGTCAGCTCTTCTCCCGTACCATAGTCCAAGTAACGTATCGGGGCCAATTCAGAAGCGGCCGTCGTCGCTTGACGGGGAACTCGGAAGAATGACCTTGTTGCTCCCTGGCAGGTCGGAGCTGTAATAAATACTCCCACTTGCTGGAAACCGCAATGCAAACGATCGAGATTGTAGCTGTACTAGTTTTGCGATTAGTTTGGTCCTCTGCTTTTCAGAGAGATCGAACCAAATATCGCCCAGGCTCTGTCCTTGAACAAGTTCCATAAAGATATATTCTGGTTGCGCTCGGTTATCAGCACTAGCTGAGTAGCTGTAGACCTCTGGGACTGGTAAGCCATGCGAACGGAGAAAGTCCATGGTTGCCACTTGACTCGCGATCAGCAAAGACTTAGGTTGGATTACTGGATACGGAATGCGGGCAACAAATTGAAAATTATCCCGCATAGTGATTAAGAAGCTTCTATTGAACCCTCCCTCAGCAAGCTTCTCGAAAGCGACCACATCTTCTTCCTTTTGGCGAATGGACGAAGCCGCTAGACGCTTGAGCTCTGGAACGTTGAAGACGCGCCTCCGCTCCCGGTGCCGTAAGGCGTCATTATACCTACACTGGTGAACCAGTCAAAGTAAGCCATCGCGAACGGTCCGCGCGGAGTAACATACATCCATCGCCCAGATGTGTAGTCGAATAAATCGGAACATGAAGGCATCATGCGACCTGTCGAAAGGACACGGATTCCAATTGAACCTGTCCTATGAGGGCAGATAAAAGATGCAAAATGCCGTGGTGCAAAACGTAGGCATAGACGCTTGGCCACGCTTTCATCCGGCGAGGGGAGTCGCATCCACAGTTTGACGCTCACGACGCGAGAGTTTGTTTATATTGGTTGGCTCTGCTTCTGCTTTTTATATAATGCGGAAATGTTACCAGCTGTGTAAATTACGTATGATTATGACAGTACACGCAGTCTAAGAACGGCTACTGCCAAGATATATTTAGAAGTGACCTAAGCTACTTGTATAGGTCTATAAGTTATGTTTGGATAAATACTTTCCCGCTACCACTATAGAGTAATGCTCTGCCCTTCTGAGATCAGATATGAGATCCTTTACCAAGGACCTTTTATCCTTTACTCAATAGTAGCTGTGGTTTTGTTGAACCAGCCCTCAAGCGGGCCGTGCGGTGGAAATTGATGACGGGCTAATAATAGACAGCCTTGTGGAAGCATTTCAAGATTTCATGACAGTCGATAGCAGATCTGCTTGCTACCGTTCACCAGCAGCAAGAAATCGGTTCATATGCGTTGTACGCCACACAGGATCATCGTCAACGTGGACGACGGAAAAGCCTTGCTGCTCCCAAAAGCTGATGGAGCCCGGTAAAAACGGGTGGGTATGCAGATACATTCGCCGAATGCCTTCTTGGCGTGCTCTCTGCTCGAGAGCCGCGAACAATTTCGAAGCTAATCCAGTTCGGCGCCAATCAGGGTGGACGTACATCCTCAACACCTCGACGACCCGTTCGTGGCCAAAGTCCAGTTGGGGGAAACGCTGGTCATAGGCGACGTAACCGACGGTGGCAATCAAGCGACCATCCACTCGGGCTGTGAAGAAGGCTCCGTCGGGATGTTCCAGATAGCTTTGCTGGAAGTTGGCTAGTTCACGCTGAGCCTTTTGGAGGTGTAAGGATGGATCCAGCATTGAAAACATGTCGGCGCGGGCCGCCATGATGAAATCCACAATGGCGGGGATTTCATCTGGCGCGGCAGGGCGGATAGTCGTGGTCATAATGTTTAGGAACTGAGCCAAGTATACGACAGCAATGGTTCGCTGGTGTTTTTGAGGATTGAGATCCGTTTAACTTTTTTGTGTGCAAGGTGCTTGGCATGTCTAAGTCAGCCACACGGCGTGCCCGCCGAGAAAGACCCACCAGGTTACAACGGACTAAATCGAGATAACGGACAATATATTACTTGTGGGAAGCGTCGGGAAGAGCATTTCTTTAATCAATGTACAGACCCTGACTGCTGCAAGTGTGGCGGCAGATACCTAAACCACCGGGAAACATCACAATCCTGTGCTGCAAATATACTCGAAGTGGGGCAAATACTAGTCCATCTTTGATTCATAGGTTTGATACAATAAGGGACCTTACTGGTTGTATAAGTGTCCTTTGGTTTCTAAACAGAGAGCTCTGCTTTAGTGCCCTGCGTGTTTTTCGCGCGGCCCAGTTATGTTACTCAATTAGTCTAGTTACTTTGCCAATCAGATAGTCAAGACTGGCGTGCCCATAGAAGTGGATACCGCCATCCAATAGTAAAATCCATTCCGAGTTGGGCAGAGGTTACTTCTTACAATCAGCATGCCGTCAATAGAGTTCAACGGACCGTCCCAGAGAACCGGTACGAAAGTAAAAGGGGCAATCCGAATGCCCGAAGTATCCAAGCTAAATGTCATATTGTTCTGCCTGTCAATGACGGATCGGATGCGTTCTTCGACCTCGGCTCCATTAAAATGGATTTGAGGCATATGCGGGTGCCTGAAAATTTAATGTTCCCAGGTTTGTCTACCAGGATCTAAAGATAGTTAGGGAACGGCACTCTTATTAATAATAACTATATTTAACTAACTATAACTAGAAATAAACTAAAGAAGCAATGCTGGCGTTCGAGGCCGGTCTTGGCATCGGCCTGATGATCGCATCTTTGGACCCTCGGCCACAGACTGCACCAAACTCGAATGGCCCTTGGGTGTCTGTATATCAGTGTGATGGTCGAGTAAATATTCGACAAAAAAAAAAGCAATCAATTGGTACTATCTTAGCTAGCACCTTCAGTGCGAGGAGGAAATGAGAAGAACCGAGCGCTGCGTACGTAGGTATCCGTCGCTTAGGTCCGCAGACCAATTCACCGTAAGGGCGGGGCGATCTGCGTACACCATGACTTTCATGACTTTCAACCAAAATCCTTTGATTATCTGACGTGATAAGTTTTCCACTGCAGTGATTGGCGAAACCGACTCATAAATTATATGTTCCCTACATCTCCTCCTAGTCCATCTTTCCATATTTTAAGATACGTAGCCACACCGTCAATCACTCGGAAATCGTGGTGGGAAAGACTTCGCTCTCTTCGCTCAATCCGAGACGGCCCAGGATATGTCATCGCTGCTCTGAGGCTCCCATCGCCATGACATGTGGGACCAACACACGATGACTTCGGCCATCCCAAACAGTAAATCGTCCTCTTCGCCACCAGGCAACCCCCAGAGCGAAGGGGACTCGTCCAACTGTGAGAAGCGCAAGGGCCCCCGTCTCGCCCACCGTAAGTCGAGGACCGGATGTCAGCGATGTCGCGCCCGGCGAGTCAAGGTAAGCGGAATCTATCGCTACAAGATCTGGCCTGACTGATGTAGTGTGACGAAGCGCGACCAGTGTGTCGCGACTGTCATCGCCATGGGATCCCCTGTGTTGATGACAGGCTTGCGGAAAAAGGAGCGGTCCCCCCCTCAGCCTGGATACAACCTCGGCCGCTCGAGCCCAGTCCATCAGATCCCAGTAATGACGAACACATGAAGCTGCGCTTGCTGCATCACTTTACTCTATTCACCAGCGCTACTATGCCCGGGGCCCACCTGAAGCGTATCAAAGACTGTTGGTCGATCGATGTGCCCCAACTCGCATTCTGTTACAAACCGCTCCTGCATGCCGTCTTCGCAATCCGCGCTATCGACATAAACATCACAGTTCGTCACTATACGGGGATTGCAGGGATTGCAGTACGGCCTTAGATAGCGTTTGCACGAAGGCATATGATGCAATCTGTACAGATATTCCGTGCAACGAGCGTTTTCTGTTGCCTAGGGAAAGACTAGATATGAAGCAACGCCTTGAGCAAGAGCGCCAAGAGGAGGCACAAGACCCGGCTATACATATCGGACGGGTTGCATCTGGCGACATGGTGATGAAGTCTGGTGAGCATCAAGGGATACTCACACAGAATGATAAAGTCATCGCGTTTGAGATGGAAAGTGCGGGAATTTGGGATGAAATTCGGTCCGTTGTTGTGAAGGGAGTTTGCGACTATGCGGACAGTCACAAAAACAAAAAATGGCAAGACTTTGCTGCTCTAACGTCCGCATCAACAGTGAAGGCCCTGCTTGAGCGATGGAACCCGATAGACCAAGCTGTTAGATCCGTCGTTAGCGAGGGTGGGTAGTGCCTGTTTGCTTGGTGCTAATGCCTCTATTGCACGAACCCTCAAATGACTGAGTCAAGACTGGAAGCTAGTGTCTTTTTTCTCCTTCCAGCACCGTCACGAGATGAGGAAGAAGAGCTCAAAGAAAGTTAGGGCGTCTGGATCTATTTCATAAAGCGGTGTGGCTAACTATGTGGTAGTTGTTCTCGAGATGCTCGACTTTCCCAGGGTCAACAGCCGACATGAAGAAATAGCTGAGGCGCACAGCCAGACGTTTTCCTGGATTCTTAGCCATGATGCCTCCTTCGCCAACAACGACGATACTCCGAATGTACGTCACCAACAGGTGAGAGCAGGATTCGCATCATGGCTCCGCGAAGGGAGCGGCATCTACTGGGTTAGCGGCAAGGCAGGATCTGGAAAGTCAACACTAATGAAACTTATTCGCACCAACCCAATAACCTCAGAGCATTTGCAACACTGGGCAGGCGAGACTCCCGTCATTACTGGTCATTTCTACTTCCATGATCGAGGCAGCGTACTGGAAAAGAGCCGGGCTGGGTTACTTCGAGCACTCTTGCTTCAGTTACTTGGCTGGAATCCCTCGTGGATTCCGCAAGCTTTCGCCGGCTCGTGGTCACGCTTGCAGAAGCTCCGGATGACCAAATCGTTCAAGCGGCCTACAGACGAAGAGTTCTCGTTGAATGAGTTGCATTTGGCATTTCGATCGGTGCTGGCACTGACTGTTTCGAGAGTTCGGGTTTGCTTCTTCATTGATGGGCTCGATGAATATGAGGGATCCGATCGAGATATTTCACACTTTGTCACCGAGCTGGCTGACAGCCAGTTTGACGGCTCATGCTGGAACAAGCTATGCTTATCTAGTCGGTCGCACTCGGCCTTTGAAGAGGCCTTCCAAAATTGTCCGCAGCTCAAACTGCACGAGCTGACCTATAATGATATCTATCGGTATGTGTACGCCCACCTGGGATCTCATAGCCGATACGAGCAGATTCTGCGTACTGAACATGTCGCTCGGTTCCAAACCCTGGTTTCCAGCGTGGTGGAACAGGCGTTTGGTGTATTCCTTTGGGTGCAGCTGGCCGTGTGGTCGCTACTCGATGGACTTGATCAGCATGATTGGATTGACGAGTTGGAGCGGCGCGTCCAAGAGCTACCGCCGGAGTTGGAGCAATTCTACGATCGAATGCTGCGGATGATCGATCCTGGCTATCGCCGGCAGGCTGTGCGAATCTTTCGCCTCATGCTGGTCTCCAAAGACCCACCACAGTGTTTGGTGTTATCATTTATCGAAAATGATGACCTTGACGTGCTGAAGTACCCCACTCAATCGTGTCTGCCAGATAATCTGGATCTACGAAGCGGCCAAATGGCAGCGCGTCTCAAAAGCAAACTAGGCGGCTTGGTTGAGGTGAATGCGCCGCTCGTTCACGAAGCAGGTTGCTGGGTGAGCTCAGTTGTGACATTCTTTCATCAGACACTCCGCGAGTATCTACAAAAGCCAGCACCATGGGAGATTTTGCTTGGGAGGTGTTCAGTTCGGTGCTGTGACATAATAGTATTCTATGAGATCGTTGGATATTGCGCTAGGGCGGCTCTGAGTTGTATGGACAGAGACTTTAGTTTAAACGATCCTGGACAGCATTTGATCAGAGCGGTGCGCGAACGACCTGTACCGTTTATGTGGTTAGTTGGTGGGAAGGATGACTTATCTATCACAATCCATTCTTTTCGCTTGCCCACTAACCCCGGGTGGACGGTACCGCTTTGTGCTAATATATCGCTTGAAGCCGCGGCTCGAAGGCCCAGCAGGGCTCAATCCCAGGCGAATGCACCGCATTTTGTCGCCGTTAGCACCCGTGATGAGGACCTCATATCACTAGAATGACAACGCTTACGTGTCCGGGAATGACGGTGTTGCCGGCAACACCGTGTTAACGGGCTTAGCGAAGACACAGCGAAAAGCCACTGTGAGTACCACGTAGTGGACGATGTCCGAGATACCTCGCTGGCCAAGGCGATGAAGGAACTCATACACCCTGTCACTGGATAGTGTGTGATAGTGTGTGAGGCTTAGAAACCACTGCAATCCGGAGGTTCCTCCGCGTCAGATGTTTTCAACGAAAATTGCATCGAGCAGAAGGTTCCGTATGAAACTGAATGTGTTTTGTTAACCGGTTACGATTATAGATGTCGGTGGAGCGGCTGGTGATTCAGGCAGTCGCCTAGACACCCGCGACGAGGCGAGATCGCAGCGAGTTAGCAGCAGGCGAGGTCAAGTTAGCACCGAGAAGTGGAAGATATGCCAGTCAATAAACCCCTCTCAACGGCACCTACGCCAATGGTATGGTTAAGCGCTTTTTTGATACTGGGAGGAGTGCACTCAAAACGAATTCAGATTTTTGCAGTCCGACCGGCGACCGAGTGGATGAATCTAATGCTCAAATATTATTCTACCCTATATAAACATCTGCGATTAAGAGTCTATCACATACGACCATAGGGTGTGGAGAACAGGGCTTCCCGTCCGCTCAGCCGTACTTAAGCCACACGCCGGGAGGTTAGTAGTTGGGTGGGTGACCACCAGCGAATCCCTCCTGTTGTATGTTTTTTGGCTTAAAAAATCTTTCTTTGATTTATTGGCACCGTTAATATAGTGTCCTGAATTTTTGATGAGAAGGAGGTATGTCGCTACTTGTGGCAGCTGAGCGGGATGCCGTTTTCACCAAGTTGAAGTTGCTTTCTTTTATACCTCAAAGTCGCTCCTCGGCTAAGGAGGATCGTGCCTTTAGATGGATGGTCAACTGGGCATTGCTGGAGTATAGGAAAGTTCGTCAAGATTGAGGACAACGTTTACGCTGTCGGTAATACGATTTCCGCTTGACTATTGTGTCATGATAGAGGAAGGTGTATGTCCTTGGCCCCTTAATGACCGAGATGCGACCAAGAAGAGTCGTCATCGGAGCAGAAGGTAGGGAGAGAGGGCTAGATGGAGAGGAGAGGGGTTCAGAAGATTCTAAGCCTTCATGTTGCAGGGGAAAACAATCTAGTTTATACCGGCATAGTGACGCAAAGTGAGACATCGGTAGGAATTAGTTTCCTACGGAATGGATCATCATGATACTAAACTTAGGGGTCAAAAGTCTGACTACACCCGCCATTTCGGCAAAAAATGCAATAAATTTAAACTCGATTTTCTTAATTAATTTAAATAATATTTATCTATAAATCAATTATATAGATTTTATATATTAATATTTTATATACTAGCCACGTGCCAGGCGTACAGCGTAAAGTCTATGTAATATAGAATAAATAAGACGATCTATTCACTCTTAAAAAATAGCCTACCAAGTAATTTAAGTATTCTCTTTAAATTACGTCTAATTAATCTATAATTTACCACTTAAAAAGAGTTTTAGATAAAACTCTAAAAGCTTCTTTTTAAATAGATTCTAGAGATACTTAATAAGATTTAAATTAAGTAAATATACAAGCTAATCCAGTATTTAAATTCTATACCTTTTAAACCAGTCCTACATCTCGTAAAAAATATAAATTTTTATATTATCTTATTAAAATATAGAACTAAGCCTATAAATTAATAGAAATCCTTTTTCTAAGTAAATAAAATAGGATTTAGTAAAGTATCTATCTCGAAGTAATAATTTATTCTTATTATAGATCCTTGTCTAGCGCACCTTATCAAAGGCGGACACGCAAGGTAAAATAATAATAGAATAACAATAACTAATTTCTAAGCGAAAGATACTAATAAATTATTTATTTAGTAATTATTCAGAAAAGGCTATAAACACTAATAATAGTCTTATTATATAATATCTACTCTAGTATCTACTCTAAAAAAAGTATATCGGGAATATACGGTACTACGTACTATGATTAAATATATTTTATCTTCTACTTTTAAAAAAGTCACGATAGAAATAGATATTCGAGGATATATAAAGATATTTATTTTATATACTTAGTTTAGTTTTTTGTAATTAATTTATAATTATTATTATAGAGTTACCTTTAGTAGTACAATTAATTTTAATTTATTTATACTTTTCTAACTATTAAATATATATACTTGATAGGTCTAGTTCTTTAGACAATAGTCTAATATTAACAATAGTCTAGTATCGACTGTATCCCTATAATAACAGTAATCTAATATCGATAGTAGTTTAGTATCGACTATATTTCTATAATAACAGTAGTCTAGTATCAACGGTAGTCTAGTATCGATAGAAATCCTAAAATAATTTCTATTTTACCCAGACCGCAACTTAATAACAATAGAAGTCGAAGGCCGACTCTAGATTAATAACCCTCGAAACGTAGTCCGCTAACTAATCTCAGACTTGACAACGAAGCCCCGGGCGTAACAATCCTATTTTAAAACAATTAATTTAAATCGGCCACTAATCTATATAGTATTCTAAATTATTTAAAAAATATTTTTCCTATAGTTTATTAAATTAATTAGATCTTTTCTATATACTTTATTAGAATAGTAGAATATATATTAGATTAAATTATTTAACTTTCGTTGGATAAAATATTCGTCTAAAAATATTATTTTAAACAAATAGATAGAATTAACCCATATACACGCGAATTAAAGATATTTTTTAACTATATCAAATCTTAGAGATATACGCTTCTTAACTTTCTATTTTTTTTAAATAAAAAGTCCTAAGTACGCGTTTAATAGTAGACTAAGAGATTAAAAAACCACTACTAATAATTAAGACTTTATAATTTTTTTAAGCCTCCAACGAACAAGTAGATATATATAGCGCTTTTTAGCGAAGATAAGCTTTTAAAATTTATCTTTTCTAGACTTACTTTTCAAGATATAGTAGTACTAAAAATATTTTTTAATTAAATAAATAATAGAGCGATAGATATTAAATTACTTTATAAATTAAATAGATAATATATTATTCTCTAGACTAGATATAATTACCGCGCGCGTTTCAATAGAATGTTCTTAATTTAATCTTCTATTTCTATTAATATCGGTTCCAAAAGATCTTATAATAGTAGTATAGTAGATAGTTAAAGAAAGTACAATTTTTTAACGCGTCGGCGGAAACGCGCTAGTGTAGTTAGGCTTTTAACCCCCCATGTATAAATCACTTTCCGCTCTCAATGTCCCGTTTCAACTGACTTACACTTCCATCCTTTTATTGGCTTTCCAACAAAAACGTCCAAAATGTCTACGAATGGGATCTGTATCTTTGCTGCGTATTGTGTGGGCTAGAGAGTTCCTTATACATAGGATCAGAATTAACGAAAGCGCATAAAGACTGGGGGGCATGGCCGGCAAGAAAGGTCAACAAGAGGAAGGGCCTCATCGTGCCAGCAGCCGAACTTGAACAACTGGATCTGGAAACGGATCTCCCGATGTGGTCCTGTTTTTACCGTACAAGTGAGTGATATATACTAGTGTCCACCCTCTGCTGAGCATACCTCACGCAATAGTTTTTTAGTCCTTGATGACCCAAAGATAGGCCGCCTGTCGATATCCGGAATATCTCCACATCTCATGATGGACAGGAAGAAGCACCGTGTAATTATTGATGCAGATAACGCGCTGGTCTTTCCTGGGCCCAAAATGGCCTATCAGAGATGGAACATTGGTTTTCGTATGGCCAACCTCTTTGAGACCGATTGGAATAGAGAAAAAGGGTTGCATATCGGATATGTCATGCATCCACACTGCTGGCTATTGGTTGATCGGTTCCTGGGACACAGCGTTGTGAAGCAGGACCTGCGGGCATTTATACAAGCGATCGAGATATTTTGGAGAACTGACTGAACATTTTGGATGCCGGACCTAATCCATGACACTTCTGAATATCCATGCTATGACCATGCGGCGCCCTGGATCAAGCATAACTGTCCTAGATATGGGGCAGGCAACTTTAACCGCACGCATATGTCCTCGAGTCCATTTATAATCCGTGACATCCAAACGTTGATCACAGTGGCTACTAACGAGCATGGAAAGCCCCTTGGCCAGGGAGCGAGGTGGCGTTCTATTGTTGCTAATGTTCCTGTCAAAGTCATAATGATCATCATTGATACGATTTACGAGCGCCGTCCACCTTGTCCCGAGAGAATCCAAGATACTCGCAACGTGCTAGAGGCTTTTCAATGGAAAATACCTGATTCATACTGGCATAGGCGCTGCAACCCTAGTCTCGTATTCGAGGTGCAAGACGCGATTAAAGCCGGGACTCAAATCGACTGGGTATATTTCTTCCTTGGGTTACACGAGCTATTGTTACAAGAGGACTGGTACTGCAATAGTGGATTATATTTTCGAGGCCGGATACTGTACCTAGTTGAATGCATTGAAGGGTGTATATCAAACGGTACCTAGGTAGGGTATTTAGACAATACGAAGGAAACAGTATCTCACGTATATCCTAATGAATGAGGATAGATCCTACCGCTTTCGTAATACACAGAAAACCATAAATAAAAATAAAAATAGGTAAATACATGACAAAAGAAAGAAAGGAAATCGACGAAAACCAACCAAGTGCACAAAACACAAACGTGGATATTTTGAATCTACACTGAAAATAAATTGGGATAAGTAGTGTGGAGAGAAAAAGGGCACTAGGTGTAAGAGATACTGCCAGGGCACACGTATTCCACAAGGCCAAAAGGTCAAATAATTCTGAATCAGCGATTCAGAATGCCCTGGTCAGACCTATATAGCTTCCCGCCGTTACAGGATATTAATATCCGCCACTCGGAACCCGCGGCGCCCGTCTTGTATAGAATATCAAGTAATTAGTTAGTTAGTTACAAATCGTTATTAGTGTAGCATATTAGTAAACAGGTGAATTACAAAGAATTTATAAGCCATAGTGAGCTTCTCAAAATACAATCCTACCCTGTCTATAGCCCATAAAAACGGGATTGTAAGCCCAGCACTCACCCGTCATGTCTCTATCAATTCACACTTTATTCAACTTCCACTCCATATCATAAGACCTACCCATTCCACCATGCGCATTGTTGTAGCTGGTTCTGGCGCCATGGCCAGGTATATCTGCGACGAATTCCCCAAGTATGGCCATCAAGTTGTTATACTGTCACGAAGCGAAAAGCCGATCTTCAACGGCCGTCCCAACATTTCGCAAGTTGTCACGGATTACTCAGTTGACTCGTTGGTCGCTGCAATTGACAACTGTGAGATGTTGATCTCCATGATCCTCTCCTATGGAACTGATTTCATCGACGCGCACCTGAACCTAATCAAAGCATGCCAGCTCAGCCCAAATGCAAGCGTTTTGTCCCATCCGAGTACGGGGGTGATGTGGAGAACTACCCAGACATGCCTCTCTTCTATTACCATACGCGTGAGCCTATCAGAAAGGCATTGCGGGAGCAATCGGAGTTGGAGTGGACGATTGTTAGTGTCGGTTGGCTCGCGGACTATGTGGTTCCTTCAAGGAACAGATATCTTGCTGATATTGGTCCGGCATTTCCTATCGACCTTGCAACGAACCAGATTGTCATCCCAGGTACAGGAAATGACCATATTGACCTCACCGCGGCCCGTGATCTTACCGCAGCGTTGGCAATGCTCGCCAATGCACCTTCGTGGGAGCCCTATCTCTACATCTCCGGCGAAAAGACTACTTGGAATGACCTTGCGAAACTTGTCCAGCAGCGATACCCTAGTATGACTAAAGTCAAACGGATTGGTCTTGGACAGCTTCTCAATACCATTCAGACATCGACGGATGAAGAGGAGATTTTGCTATCACACTACCAGATATCCACGCCACTAGGAGGCGGCTCGCTCGATCCGGAATTGGTGCAGCGTCATGGCCGCAAGTTTTTTGCCGGTTTGCATTTCCGGAAACCAGAAGATCTGATCAAAGAGGCATTTACAAATGGTAATACGATTGTTTGAGATCGTGTTAGCTTAGACAGCAGCCCCTCGGACAGGTAGATAGTGTTGAGTTAGGCTATTTACTGATGCCTGGTTCGTTAGACTCCAAATATCTCCAGCTAGCTATATTAGCTAGTTTCTGTTTGTTGATAGAGAATCAATCCTTCTTCTCTCTCCCTCACTGCTACCTAGTAGCCAGATCATATAGTTCGAAGGCCTGCCTTCTTTTTCTAATACAGCTCTCTCCCTCAGCGCTCTCCCGCCTACCTTTTGCCCTTAATAGTATTTGCAAAAGGCTAGGCCTTTAGTTATGGTTTATTAAACATTCTTATGAAGAAGTATAAATATTTGCGCCAGTTTTGTATCCACATGAATGAGGATAGATCCTACCGCTTTCTGAATACACAAAAAACCAAAAGAAAAATAACTAAATAAATAAATAAAATACAGATGAATAAAAATAAAAATAGGTAAATAAATGCGAAAAGAAAGAAACGAAATACACAAAAACTGACAAAGTGCCTAAAAACAAACGTGGATATTTTGAATCTACACTGAAAATAAATTGGAATAAGTGGCGTGGAGAGAAAAAGGGCACTAGGACAACAAAAGTACTGGGGTCAAGTTGCGGTCTGACAGAATATGCACATGAAACCCATGTTGACTCTCTACTTATAATTTATTGGTCATTGTACTAAGATAACAGACATAAAACGCGCTTAGGGCCTTGCAGTAGCCTTGTCATTCGCAATAATGGTTTCGACCAATAGACGGGCTCCGCATGTCGACTACCCGTTGGACTTCAGCCGTCGATCCTTAAATGCGCAATTCTGGTAAGAGGCTGAGCGCCAACAAACACTCCGATTCACGTATTCTGGAGACAGCCAATCAAGTGTTAGCATTTCCATTTCTCGTAACTCTGCTTAATGAATTCTCCTTGGCATATATTCAAGGATATAAAGACACCATGGGTTCTCCAACATGGACAAGGGAAGATTTCTTCATCCACACACGCAAAACAGTCAAGTTTGGCTTCCTTGTTTCAGCACTAGCACGTTGCGATAGTTTCCAACATGGCTCGTAGCAAGAAGGAAGAAGCGGAGTGGGCAAGTCACCGCCATGAGCTCCAGTCCCTGTGGCTAGATCAACGATGGTCTGTTGAGCAAATCCAGGAACATATGAGCCGGAGTTACAATTTTTGCAAAAGGTCAGCGGCGAGTCTAGAAAGGTTTCCTGCAGCCCAGCTGACAATCGTTGCAGCAAAGACCAGTATTACCGACAGTTCAAGAAGTGGAATCTCAAAAAGAACTCCAGAGAAGAGGAGTGGCGTTTTGTTGCGTACCGTCGTGAGAAACGTAAACGAGAGGGGAAAGACCCTGGAGAGGTCTCGATGCACGGTACTCACATCCCCAACGCAAAGGTTAGAAAGGAAACAGCTCGCTATGTTTCATTGTCATCTCAGTACCTGGGACTAGACGACTCTTGTATGCATCTCCGCCTTATGACGCTTCAACTTCTCTACTGAAATGCTTACTCTCCTATATACTATAGGCCCCAAGACCCCAGAAGGAGTCATGGTCAGCACCCCTCGCTCGGCGATAGATGATATACCCATTGAAATTCCCATGGAGCTTCCCGAGATGGACTGGTCGCATGACCTAATCGAAGCAGGTTCGTTATTCACGGATGAGGACCTTCGCTTTCTCTGGCAAGAAAAACTGATATGAAATTCCACAGCTAGTAGCGGCTTCCCTGATGTATCTGGGCTTTTGTCAAACGCTGATACGATGGCTCTTGTGTCTCCCATCGAGATTCCGCAACTTAGCCCATCGGCCTTCCATGTTCTGGACGACAAGGAACCAGCTGCAGCTTCATTGAACCAAGTCGGTGAAAGTTTGAATCATCAGTTGCAGTCAGTGCCTCCTATAGCACGGATGTCAACGAACGGGGGCGAGCCGATCGACTGCGACTTCGACTCCCTAAGTAATGAGATCATCCGACATGCACGACTGGCTCTCTCACGTCGCTATCCAAGTACCGAAGATAAATGCCTCAGTGAATGTCTTTCTTTCCTCGAACCCATCACGATGGGTGATGTCAATAAGGATCTCACAAGAATGGCCGAGAACATATTCCAGTCACGCTCTTCAGATATGCTCTCGCATTATATCAGCCTCTGTGTGTTTTTATCATCAAACAACATGCTGCCGACGTTATCAACGGATGGATTGATTTTGCTTATCGTGAAAAGCAAGTCTCAGCCCAGACTCAAGGCACTCTTATATTCGAAAACCACGACCATGGAGATATTTATGAGCAATCTGTTGGCTAGTGCGGCAGCGATGGGTGAAATAGAGATCTGCCGGATTCTTATCAACGCTGGTGCAGATGTCGATGCCCCCAGTGGATTGGGCCTGCGTACAACGGCTCTTGGCAGGGCACTTCTTGGCGGACACCTAGATTGTGTAAGGATACTTCTGGATGCTGGTGCAGATCCCAATTTAGCAGTGGATGGAAGGGTACCGCTGCATCTTGCGTGTGATCTGTATGACTCGTACGACTACGTGAAAGTCTTGCTCGACTCAGGAGCCCATGTACATCCTCCACAAGACTCTGCTCGCCTCACACCTCTGCAAAGAGCCGTTGATGGGTCACAGCTTGAGGTAATTCGACTGCTTCTCAAGGCGAAGGCTAATCCAAATTGTTTCACCAAGGCTAAGCAGGGAACCGCACTGCAGATTGCCTGCAGGAACTCTGAGGCAGCCGGAGTCGTAGAGCTTCTGATAGCGGCAGGAGCTGACATCGATGCTCGCTCGGGATATCAATACGATGACGGGAAGCTCGAAGACGGCCTTTCCGAGAGCAGCGACGATGGGTCCGAGACTTCTTCTATAGACAGTTTCTGGGAGACTGACGAGTCGACCTGTTCCTGTTTCAAATCAGCCATTCTCATAGCTGCAGAAAACGAGAACTGGGAGGCAGTTCAGCTCTTGCTAGAGGAAGGGGCTGCTGTTAATCCTAGCATGAGGGGTTGTCCTACTCAAGCAATGAGACAAGAACTTATAGAACATTCTTGGGATGATCCAGCTGTCTTCACCCCACTGCAAGCTGCCGTACGAGCGCAAAATATCACAATGACCCGCATGCTTCTGAGTGCTGGTGCACATGTTGATGCACGACCCAGAAATAAATACGGCCACACCGCGCTTCAGATAGCTGCTATGATCAAAAACGAGAGACTGACCCAGATCCTATTACGGAAGGGGGCGAATGTGAATGCTGCTGCTAGTGTCTGTTTTGGACGTACAGCACTCCAAGCGGCTTCTGCACACTCAGACATTACGGTTCTGATTATCCTACTTGAAGCAGGGGCAGAGGTAAATGCCCCACCTGCTGGAGAGGGCGGAAGAACTGCACTACAGGTGGCAGTATCTGCAGGAAATATTGAAGGGGTCCGTCTCCTTCTTGATGCAGGCGCAACCGTCAACACTGACTTAAGTCGAATTGAAGGGATAACTCCCCTTCAAGAAGCTACTAAAATCCGGGATCAGTCAATTCGAGATGAAATCATACATTTACTTTTGCGGGCGGGCGCATACATCCAGCCACAGAAGGGCCAGGAAAAATATGCTTCTCTCCACACGGCAGTAAGTCAGGGAGACCTGCTTATGACAAAAACCTTGCTACGAAAAGGTGCCAGTCCGAATGTGGGTTACTGTGCACGGACGAATCGCACCCCTCTCCAACAGGCGTCGTCATTGGGAGATGAAAGTTTATTCCAGGTATTGGTGGACTATGGGGCAGATATAAACGCCCCTCCTCATTGGGACGAAGGTCGCACCGCGTTGCAATCTGCAGCTGAACGCAACCACTTGTCTATAGTGAGGAGGCTACTGCAACTTGGCGCAAGCGTGAAAGAGGAACGGGCCCTCAAGGGGATCTCCGTGATGGAGGCCGCTGTGAACAATTGCAACCTAGAGCTCATACAACTCCTGCTCGATATAGACCCCAGCATTATACGTTCGGACCCAACCACAAAGGGCATTGTTATAGGGGACGCCTTGAGCCATTGGAAATGTGATGTTTCCTTATTGGAACTTCTCCTTAAGGGTGGGGCAGATGTTAATAATATGGACACATATTCGTCATTACCGTTTCTTCAGCTGGCAGCAAGAAAAAGCAACCTGGGGTTTGTACAGTGCCTTCTTACTGGAGGCGCTCATGTAGACTGTCACGGGCAGCCCACCACTCCTGGAAACGTCACAGCCCTTCAAGAAGCCGTCGCTTCTCGTCATATTGATATCGTCCAGTTGCTACTGGAATGGGGAGCCGATGTTAATGCACCAGCAAATGAGAAAGGCGGAAAGACTGCGCTCCAGATTGCAGTATCACAAAACTATTTCGAAATGGTGGAGCTCTTGGTGCAAAACGGCGCAAATGTTAATGGCCTACCCAGTCCACGAAGAGGTCGAACAGCCCTTCAAGAAGCCGCAAGCTCTGGCTATGTGCAGATGACACAATACCTGCTGAATCAAGGTGCCGATATCAACGCTAGAGCTGCACACTTTGGCGGAATCACGGCATTACAGGGGGCTGCGAGCAGCGGCAATATTCGCATAGTCATGATGCTGCTTTCAGCTGGCGTCGACATCAACGGTGCAGCTGCCATCGAAGGTGGACGTAATGCTATTGAGAGCGCTGCAGAGAATGGCAGGTTGGATACTCTGCATGTTCTGTTAAACTACCACCCGAACACTGAAGAATTTGAAATCAAAAGGAAACGAGCAGCGAAGCTAGCACTTGCTAATGGTCATTTGGCCATTGGGCGATTTTTGCTGGCGTATCGGAAAGACACATGGATGAGGACGAGGGAAGTGCCTTGTTAGTGCTTGAAAGGTGTGGATTATGAGGCAGTTGAGTAGTTGCTGGAATGGTTACCTAGATAAATATTGCTCGTGTTTTACTCAAAAGGTACTTACCAGTAGCATGTGTAGTCCGTAGACGAATACTCCCAACGCCGAGTCGTACATATTAGAAATACGAGTTGAAACCCCATATTTCATCAGAAAACTACCTCCCTTTAACAACGTAAGCCACTTCGAAATATGGCTCGCCATGAGATAATATAGGTAACGCGTTTTGTATATCCTAGAAGGAACATTAGGGTCAACATTAGGGTCAACATTAGGGTCAA